GTCTCTTTCTGGCCTCTCTCTCTGGTCTCTCTCTTGTCTCTCTCTGGTCTCTCGCTGGTCTCTCTCTGGCCTCTCTCTGTGATCTCTCTGATGTCTCTCTCTGGTCTCTCTCTGGTCTCTCTCTGATCTCTCTCTCTGGTCCCTCTCTGGCCTCTCTCTCTGCTCTCTCTGGTCTCTCTCTCTGGTCTCTCTGGCCTCTCTCTGGTCTCTCTCTGGTCTCTCTCTGGCTTCTCTCTGGTCTCTCTCTGATGTCTCTCTCTGATCTTTCTCTGGCCTCTCTCTGGTCTCTCTCTGATGTCTCTCTCTGATCTCTCTCTCTGGTCTCTCTCTGGTCTCTCTCTGGTCTCTCTCTCTGGTCTCTCTCTGGCCTCTCTCTCTGCTCTCTCTGGTCTCTCTCTCTGGTCTCTCCGGTCTCTCTCTGGTCTCTCTCTGGTCTCTCTCAGGCCTCTCTCTGGCCTCTCTCTGGTCTCTCTCTGGTCTCTCTCTGATGTCTCTCTCTGGTCTCTCTCTGGCCTCTCTCTGTGGTCTCTCTCTCTGGTCTCTCTCTGGCCTCTCTCTGTGGTCACTCTCTGATGTCTCTCTCTGGTCTCTCTCTCTGGTCTCTCTCTGGCCTCTCTCTCTGCTCTCTCTGGTCTCTCTCTCTGGTCTCTCTCTGGTCTCTCTCTCTGGTCTCTCTCAGGCCTCTCTCTGGCCTCTCTCTGGTCTCTCTCTGGTCTCTCTCTGGTCTCTCTCTCTGGTCTCTCTCTGGTCTCTCTCAGGCCTCTCTCTGGTCTCTCTCTGGTCTCTCTCTGGCTTCTCTCTGGTCTCTCTCTGATGTCTCTCTCTGGTCTCTCTCTGGTCTCTTTCTGATGTCTCTCTCTGGTCTTTCTCTGGCCTCTCTCTGGTCTCTCTCTGATGTCTCTCTCTGGTCTCTCTCTGGTCTCTCTCTGATCTCTCTCTCTGGTCTCTCTCTGCCCTCTCTCTGGCCTCTCTCTGGCCTCTCTCTCTGCTCTCTCTCTCTCTCTCGGTCTCTCTCTGGTCTCTCTCTGGCCTCTCTCTCTGCTCTCTCTCTCTCTCTCTGGTCTCTCTCTGATCTCTCTCTCTGGTCTCTCTCTGGTCTCTCTCTCTGGTCTCTCTCTGGCCTCTCTCTCTGCTCTCTCTGGTCTCTCTCTCTGGTCTCTCTGGTCTCTCTTTCTGGCCTCTCTCTGGTCTCTCTCTGGTCTCTCTCTGGCTTCTCTCTGGTCTCTCTCTGGTCTCTTTCTGATGTCTCTCTCTGGTCTTTCTCTGGCCTCTCTCTGGTCTCTCTCTGATGTCTCTCTCTGGTCTCTCTCTGATCTCTCTCTCTGGTCTCTCTCTGGTCTCTCTCTGCTCTCTCTCTGGCCTCTCTCTCTGCTCTCTCTGGTCTCTCTCTGGTCTCTCTCTGGCCTCTCTCTCTGCTCTCTCTCTCTCTCTGGTCTCTCTCTGGTCTCTCTCTGATCTCTCTCTCTGGTCTCTCTCTCTGGTCTCTCTCTGGCCTCTCTCTGGCTGCTCTCTCTGGTCTCTCTCTCTGGTCTCTCTCTGGTCTCTCTCTGGTCTCTCTCTCTGGTCTCTCTCTGGTCTCTCTCAGGCCTCTCTCTGGCCTCTCTCTGGTCTCTCTCTGGTCTCTTTCTGATGTCTCTCTCTGGTCTTTCTCTGGTCTCTCTCTGGTCTCTCTCTGGTCGCTCTCTGATGTCTCCCTCTGGTCTCTCTCTGGTCTCTCTCTGATCTCTCTCTCTGGTCTCTCTCTGGTCTCTCTCTCTGGTCTCTCTCTGGCCTCTCTCTCTACTGTCTCTGGTCTCTCTCTGGTCTCTCTCTGGCCTCTCTCTCTGCTCTCTCTCTCTCTCTGGTCTCTCTCTGGTCTCTCTCTGGCCTCTCTCTCTGGTCTCTCTCTGGTCTCTCTCTGGTCTCTCGCTGGTCTCTCTCTGGCCTCTCTCTGTGGTCTCTCTCTGATGTCTCTCTCTGGTCTCTCTCTGGTCTCTCTCTGATCTCTCTTTCTGGTCTCTCTCTGGTCTCTCTCTCTGGTCTCTCTCTGGCCTCTCTCTGGCATCTCTCTCTGCTCTCTCTGGTCTCTCTCTCTGGTCTCTTTCGTCTCTCTCTCTGGTCTCTCTCAGGCCTCTCTCAGGCCTCTCTCTGGTCTCTCTCTGGTCTCTCTCTCTGGTCTCTCTCTGGCCTCTCTCTGGCCTCTCTCTCTGCTCTCTCTGGTCTCTCTCTCTGGTCTCTCTCTCTGGTCTCTCTCTGGCCTCTCTCTCTGGTCTCTCTCTGGTCTCTCTCTGGTCTCTCTCTGGTCTCTCGCTGGTCTCTCTCTGGCCTCTCTCTGTGGTCTCTCTCTGATGTCTCTCTCTGGTCTCTCTCTGGTCTCTCTCTGATCTCTCTTTCTGGTCTCTCTCTGGTCTCTCTCTGGTCTCTCTCTCTGGTCTCTCTCTGGCCTCTCTCTGGCATCTCTCTCTGCTCTCTCTGGTCTCTCTCTCTGGTCTCTTTCGTCTCTCTCTCTGGTCTCTCTCTGGTCTCTCTCAGGCCTCTCTCTGGTCTCTCTCTGGTCTCTCTCTCTGGTCTCTCTCTGGCCTCTCTCTGGCCTCTCTCTCTGCTCTCTCTGGTCTCTCTCTCTGGTCTCTCTGGTCTCTCTCTCTGGTCTCTCTCTGGTCTCTCTCAGGCCTCTCTCTGGTCTCTCTCTGGTCTCTTTCTGATGTCTGTCTCTGGCCTCTCTCTGGTCTCTCTCTGATGTCTCTCTCTGGTCTCTCTCTCTGGTCTCTCTCTGGCCTCTCTCTGTGGTCACTCTCTGATGTCTCTCTCTGGTCTCTCTCTGATCTCTCTCTCTGGTCTCTCTCTGGTCTCTCTCTCTGGTCTCTCTCTGGCCCCTCTCTCTGCTCTCTCTGGTCTCTCTCTCTGGTCTCTCTCTGGTCTCTCTCTCTGGTCTCTCTCTGGTCTCTCTCAAGCCTCTCTCTGGCCTCTCTCTGGTCTCTCTCTGGTCTCTCTCTGGCTTCTCTCTGGTCTCTTTCTGATGTCTCTCTCTGGTCTTTCTCTGGCCTCTCTCTGGTCTCTCTCTGATGTCTCTCTCTGATCTCTCTCTCTGATCTCTCTCTCTGGTCTCTCTCTGGTCTCTCTCTGGTCTCTCTCTCTGGTCTCTCTCTGGCCTCTCTCTGGTCTCTCTCTGGTCTCTCTCTGGCTTCTCTCTGGTTTCTCTCTGGTCTCTTTCTGATGTCTCTCTCTGGTCTTTCTCTGGCCTCTCTCTGGTCTCTCTCTAATGTCTCTCTCTGGTCTCTCTCTGGTCTCTCTCTGGTCTCTCTCTCTGGTCTCTCTCTGGCCTCTCTCTCTGCTCTCTCTGGTCTCTCTCTCTGGTCTCTCCGGTCTCTCTCTGGTCTCTCTCTCTGGTCTCTCTCTGGTCTCACTCTGGCCTCTCTCTGGTCTCTCTCTGGTCTCTCTCTGGCTTTTTTCTGGCCTCTCTCTGGTCTCTCTCTGGTCTCTCTCTGATCTCTCTCTCTGGTCTCTCTCTCTGGTCTCTCTCTGGCCTCTCTCTCTGGTCTCTCTCTGGTCTCTCTCTGGCCTCTCTCTCTGCTCTCTCTCTCTCTCTGGTCTCTCTCTGGCCTCTCTCTCTGGTCTCTCTCTGGCCTCTCTCTCTCTGGTCTCTCTCTGGTCTCTCTCTCTGGTCTCTCGCTGGTCTCTCGCTGGTCTCTCTCTGGCCTCTCTCTGTGGTCTCTCTCTGATGTCTCTCTCTGGTCTCTCTCTGGTCTCTCTCTGGTCTCTCTCTGATCTCTCTCTCTGGTCTCTCTCTGGTCTCTCTCTCTGGTCTCTCTCTCTGGTCTCTCTCTCTGGTCTCTCTCTGGCCTCTCTCTCTGGTCTCTCTCTCTGGTCTCTCTCTCTGGTCTCTCTCTGGCCTCTCTCTCTGGTCTCTCTCTCTGGTCTCTCTCTCTGGTCTCTCTCTGGTCTCTCTCTGGTCTCTCTCTGGCCTCTCTCTCTGGTCTCTCTCTGGTCTCTCTCTGGTCTCTCTCTGGTTTCTCTCTGGCCTCTCTCTCTGGTCTCTCTCTAGTCCAGTTCCACATCGCTCCCATTTGCCTCTTCTTTATGATTGACAATTTAAGGAATTACAAGTGAACTATGTTTAACCTCAGATTGAACCACAGAGAGTGATGTCACAAACTCCGGTTAAAGTAGCGATATGTAAGATTTCTTGTCAAGTCATCATTAAAGGGCCCTAATCTATCATCATTAAAGGGCCCTAATCTATCATCATTAAAGGGCCCTAATCTATCATCATTAAAGGGCCCTAATCTATCATCATTAAAGGGCCCTAATCTATCATCATTAAAGGGCCCTAATCTGTCATCATTAAAGGGCCCTAATCTATCATCATTAAAGGGCCCTAATCTGTCATCATTAAAGGGCCCTAATCTGTCATCATTAAAGGGCCCTAATCTGTCAAACGGTATAAATAAAACCCGCTCTTTTCCATTACGTCTTTAACTGATAGCAATAGGTCACAGATATTAGAAATTCAAAACTAGTTTCACACCTGCTAAATCTTGTTATTGTTTTCATTTTGATGATCCGGGCGCCAGAACTCACCGCGTGGAGCTAATCTCACTGGTAAAGTACCATGTGGCGCAGAACTAAAAAAGGTTTCGCTATGATTCTAATATAATTGACGACAAAAAGGAATAAAACCAGGATTTCTATCTTTGTGAAAAAGGTGTTAGTTATAGATTTGTTGTTGACAAAACTGTTTTCTATTCAGCTGTTATTTGTTTTGTCTGCATATCTGGCAACCTGAGTCAGGGAGAGTGGGAGAGGCTGCAGTACATATTGCTCCTTTAAAGCTGAGACCACAGAGAGTGATGTCACACTCAGGTTGAAGCTGAAAGTGGATCCTCGGAGGCTCCGGTGACTCTGATGAAAGCTTTCATTCTCTGCTTGAACACATCTATTATATCGATCAGAACCGACCAATCAGAGACCAGCTCCGCAGGGATCTAATTCATATTTAATGTGCTTTAGTCAGAGCAAACGGGTCAGAGCTGAGGTCTCTGGGGGTCTGTGAGGTCTGTGAGGTCTGAGAAGTCTGTGAGGTCTGAGAAGTCTGTGAGGTCTGAGAAGTCTGTGAGGTCTGAGAAGTCTGTGAGGTCTGAGAAGTCTGTGAGGTCTGAGAAGTCTGTGAGGTCTGAGGTTTGTGAGGTCTGTGAGGTCTGAGGTCTGAGAAGTCTGTGAGGTCTGTGAGGTCTGAGAAGTCTGAGGTCTGTGAGGTCTGAGAAGTCTGTGAGGTCTGAGAAGTCTGTGAGGTCTGAGAAGTCTGTGAGGTCTGAGAAGTCTGTGAGGTCTGTGAGGTCTGAGAAGTCTGTGAGGTCTGAGAAGTCTGTGAGGTCTGAGAAGTCTGTGAGGTCTGAGAAGTCTGTGAGGTCTGAGAAGTCTGTCAGGTCTGAGAAGTCTGTGAGGTCTGAGGTTTGTGAGGTCTGTGAGGTCTGAGGTCTGAGAAGTCTGTGAGGTCTGTGAGGTCTGAGAAGTCTGAGGTCTGTGAGGTCTGAGAAGTCTGTGAGGTCTGAGAAGTCTGTGAGGTCTGAGAAGTCTGTGAGGTCTGAGAAGTCTGTGAGGTCTGTGAGGTCTGAGAAGTCTGTGAGGTCTGAGAAGTCTGTGAGGTCTGAGAAGTCTGTGAGGTCTGAGAAGTCTGTGAGGTCTGAGAAGTCTGTGAGGTCTGAGAAGTCTGTGAGGTCTGAGAAGTCTGTGAGGTCTAAGACGTCTGTGAGGTCTGAGAAGTCTGTGAGGTCTGAGAAGTCTGTCAGGTCTGAGGTTTGTGAGGTCTGAGGTCTGAGGTTTGTGAGGTCTGAGAAGTCTCCTCCCCCCCCCCTCCCCTCTCATCCTGGTCTCTCTGGTTTCTTTCATGTCTCCTCCTTCTCCACTCGTCTCTTTCTTATCCTCCTCCTCCTCCCTCCTCCTCCTCCTCCTCCTCCTCCTCCTCCTCCTCCTCTCCTCCTGGTCTCACTGTTTTGAGTTTGAGTTAAAGTCCATGTGACTCTCTATGGTCCTGTCTGGGCAGATGTTGCATAAGATAAGAAAAGGGAGATAGATGCATGTTATACATCATTTTAAACCTTTATATTCATAGAGTAAAGAATAGAAAAATATACTCAGTAATTATTTGGTAAAATGAATTTAATAATTATAAAAAGTCACAGAAAAACCTTGATTTTTGGTTTTTGTGTTTTTGTCTTTGATCAAAAAAACACATTTACTTTTCCTGCTCTTTTTGTTTAATGGATGGAGACTTAGTTATGAACCGTGTGAGCAAAGAGAAACAGCATGAGCAAAGAGAAACCGTGTGAGCAAAGAGAAACCGCGTGAGCAAAGAGAAACCGTGTAAGCAAAGAGAAACAGCGTGAGCAAAGAGAAACCGCGTCAGCAGTTATTGTGTGTAATCTCTGCGTGGGCACTGATCACACACACAAACACATGACAAACATAACCCTGAAAATTCCTCAGCTTCACCCAGACTCCTTGTGTGGCCCCCAGAGGAACTGAGGCCCTGCACCAAACTACAGCCACGGACACTTTCTTATCCGTGACTCGGTTCTACACACGTCGCCTACATTTCCTTCTCTGTCTGTTGCTCCTGTCTCTGCCTCAGTTTCTTTACGCTCGTTAAGAATGATCCATTTTCACCTTTTTTGACCAAAAAGTGATAATGGATCATTCCCAAAGGCACGTGCACCTCCGCACCACACTCGGCCCGCGGCCCCTAGTTGAGAAACCCTGACTAAAGCCCATCAGGAGTCCTACCTGCCCGTACACAGACTTGACGATGGGGTGAAGCACAGACTCGTACTCGGACAGAGTGGTGCTCAGCCTTTTGCCGGAGCGGCCGCGCGCACCGGGGCGGGCACGCGCGCCTGGAGAGTCCGTGGAGCAGAGGCTGGAGGTGGACCCCCGGGGCGCCCTCTCTCTGCGGCTGGGCTCGAACAGGAAGGCGGCTTCATCTCTGTGTTTGTGAGGTGTGGAAGGAGACGTCCTCCTGCTCTGGAAGATCAAAGAATCAGCATCTCTCACGCATCAGAGAAAGTCCGAGATCCGAGACTCAACCCGGTCCTCAAACCTGCTCCCATTACAGCTACAGCAGTCTGGCTAAAGTCCGAGATCCGAGACTCAACCCGGTCCTCAAACCTGCTCCCATTGCAGCTACAGCAGTCTGGCTAAAGTCCGAGATCCGAGACTCAACCCGGTCCTCAAACCTGCTCCCACTGCAGCGTTACAGCAGTCTGGCTAAAGTCCGAGATCCGAGACTCAGAGGTCCTATACCTGCTACCGCCACTATCACTGCAGTTAGGGACAGTCACACCAAGGTCCGACCGTCTCAGACTCCTGGAGTCCTGGAGTCCTAAAGTCCTGGGGTAGTCCTAAAGTCCTGGAGTCCTAAAGTCCTTGAGTCCCGGAGGTAAGATACCTGCTGTGAAGGGCTCTGGTTCTTCGCTCTGGAAGTCTGGCTTCGGTCCTTGTGAGTCCGGCCCGGGACCGGGTCCTCGGTCCTACGGGGCTGACACAGGGGTCTCCTGGAGGAGGTCTCAGTCTCCTCCTCCGCGGGGACTGAGTCTCTGCCTCCGGATGCACCGCGCTGCTTCTGCCCAGAGCTGCGGGACTCACTGTGCGGGAGAGGAGAGCTCATCCTGCGGTCTGCGGGAGAGAGGAGGGCTCCTCTGGGGTCTCTCCGGGGGTCTCTCCGGGTTCTGTCTCCTGGTGCAGGTCTCTCCGGGGCTGGATCAGCAGCACACGCAGGATCTCCTGCTCACACTGAGCATCTCTGAGCCGTGGCTGCGCCGTGCTCCTGCAGGACGCACCTGATTGGCAGCGAGTCTCTCCACACAGAGTTTGGGCGCCGCGTGCGCGTGCGCGTGCGTGACACGAGCACGTGCTTATGAGCAGAGAACAAAAGTCTCGATCCGCGATGAGGGAGGAACATTATTATGTACTATACCCGAGATCTGTGCCTCAAGCCTCGTTTCCACCAGCTATACTCTACACTCTCTACTCTATACTCACTTTACTCTATTCTACTCTACTCTACTCTACTCTACTTTACTCTACTCTACTCTACTCTATTCTACTCTACTCTACTCTACTCTACTTTACTCTACTCTACTCTACTCTATTCTACTCTACTCTACTCTACTCTACTCTACTCTACTTTACTCTACTTTACTCTTCTCTACTCTACTCTACTCTATTCTATTCTACACTACTCTACTCTTCTCTGTAAGTAAGTAAAGTTTATTTATATAGCGCATTTCACAGACCAGGACCACAAGGCGCTTCACACATTAAAACACATTAAAACACAGAAAATACACAGACAAGTCAGAAATGAAAACAAAAACACAGAAAAACAGTTCACAGAGGCCTGAACAGTGAGGTGAGAAAACCTGTCTAAACAAATGTGTCTTAAGTTGGGACTTAAAATCATCAACAGTCTCTAAGATGTGCAGAGACTGAGGAAGCTCATTCCAAAGGAGAGGAGCAACTACCTGGATCTGTCTCCTCTGGTTTTTGAGCGAGTGCAGGGGACCATCAACAGGTTCTGAGCGGAGGACCATCGACAGGTTCTGAGCGGAGGACCATCAACAGGTTCTGAGTGGAGGACCATCAACAGGTTCTGAGCGGAGGACCATCAACAGGTTCTGAGCGGAGGACCATCGACAAGTTCTGAGCGGAGGACCATCAACAGGTTCTGAGCGGAGGACCATCAACAGGTTCTGAGCGGAGGACCATCGACAGGTTCTGAGCGGAGGACCATCAACAGGTTCTGAGCGGAGGACCATCAACAGGTTCTGAGTGGAGGACCATCAACAGGTTCTGAGCGGAGGACCATCAACAGGTTCTGAGTGGAGGACCATCAACAGGTTCTGAGCGGAGGACCATCAACAGGTTCTGAGTGGAGGACCTCAGACTCCTGTTTGAGACATAGGGATGGATCAGGCCCTGGATGTATTCAGGCGCCTGACCATGAAGTGCCCTGCTCTACTCTACCCTACTCTACTCTACTCTACTCTACTCTACTCTACTCTACTCTACTATACTATACTCTATTCTGCTCTGCTCTACTCTACTTTATATCATTCTACTCTATTCTTCTCTACTTTCTACTCTACGCTACTCTACTCTACTCTTCTCTACTCTACTCTACTCTACTCTACTCTACTCTACTCTACTCTACTCTACTCTACTCTGCTCTGCTCTACTCTACTCTACTCTACTCTACTCTACTCTACTCTACTCTACTCTGCTCTACTCTACTCTACTCTACTCTACTCTACTCTCCCCTGATTGGGAGTGTGTCCTCTGGTCCTGTGTAACCAGTACCAGGTCCTTCTTTAGTCCGTCTTGGTCCTGGTTCTATCCAGGCCCAGCTGGTACTGAAGTGTTCTAACTGACAGTGATTGGTCAAAGTGCTGCTAGAAGCCATGGTTACCAAGGAATTTCCCTGAATACTGGTTTGTTGTGATTAGGTTGCCAGGATACTGTACCAGCTACTAGAGATGAATGAAAATGCAGAGTAGAGTAGACACAATGAGTATCTCTATTAGTAACATAATTTTCTCTCTTCCTCCGATCTCTCTCTTGTCTCTCTCTCTGGTGTCTCTCTGCTCTCTCTCCCTGTGCTCTCTCTCTAGTCTCTTTGTCTGATCTCTCTGCTCTGTCTCCCTCTCTCTCTGGTCTTTCTTTCTCCTGTCTCTGGTAAAATAATGTGTGACTGAAGAACAAACACAAGTGGCATCAAATACACAACACAACAACCTAAATACACAATGTTTACACTATCTCATTCAAAATAAAAAAACATAGATTTTTATTGTTTATTCAAAGAAGGTATTTTCCTCTGAATGACTTCCAGAGTGCAGCTTGTCCTGATCTTGCAGAATGAATACAAGATCAACTTTATGGATTGTCAAAAGGGAAATGTACACGTCACATTTGGCACAGAATTACTCAGTTTGTGTGAAAGACAGAATTGCTGATTTGTAATAGACATACTTGCTATACCACCTGTGGGGGTGTACCCAGAAAGAGAATTATATGGCGTCTTCTTTCCCCTGGAGAACCTCTTTCCAGGACGGTCCAAAGGTGGCTCTTGGTTCCAGATGCTGAGGGGAAGATTTTTTTTCTTTCGTTCTCTCACATTTCACATCTTGAGGGAGGGCGCGGCCATTTAAAAAAAGCCCCATAGAAGCCAAAAGTGGTGGCACATGAGTTTGAACGGCGGAGAAAGGCGTGACTACATCATCTTTAAGTCTGTGAAGTGAACTCAGGTGTGATTCCCTCACAGATACATTGCTCTGGTTCTCCTGAAACTTCAGGTCAGAGCAGCGGGAAATGCATGTTTCCTGACATGGAACGGTCACTGTGATAAGTGATCGGATTCATCTAAACTAGGGCGGGGACTTTGACGCTTAAGATGAATTAATTACACAAAAATAAGCACGTTCAAAAATGTTACGCATTCTAATTCTTACAGTGTGGTCTCTCTCTTTCTGGTCTCTCTCTGGTCTCTATCTCTGGTCTCTCTCTTTGATCTCTCTCTGGTCTCTCTCTGGTCTCTCTCTCTGGTCTCTCTCTGGTCTCTCTCTGGTCTCTATCTCTGGTCTCTCTCTTTGATCTCTCTCTGGTCTCTCTCTGGTCTCTCTCTCTGGTCTCTCCCTGGTCTCTCTCTTTGGTCTCTCTCTGGTCTCTCTCTAGTCTCTCTCTCTGGTCTCTCTCTAGTCTCTCTCACTGGTCTCTCTCTAGTCTCTCTCACTGGTCTCTTTCTGGTCTCTCTCTGGTCTCCCCCTGGTCTCTCTCTAGTCTCTCTCTGGTCTCTCTCTGGTCTCTCTCTCTGGTCTCTCTCTAGTCTCTCTCACTGGTCTCTCTCTCTAGTCTCTCTCACAGGTCTCTCTCTGGTCTCTCTCTGGTCTCTCTCTAGTCTCTCTCTAGTCTCTCTCTGGTCTCTCTCTGGTCTCTCTCTAGTCTCTCTCTGGTCTCTCTCTGGTCTCTCTCTGGTCTCTCTTTAGCATAAACAGACTTCAGCTTCTGTCTCTTGGGACTCAGAGCAGTGACATCTGTGGCTCTGCTCCCGGGACTCGCTCCACTGCCCTCAACTCACTTCACTCTTTTCATTTCAATTCCATTTATTCTTTTATCGCCCTAAACCACAACAAAACTGTTCAAAACTGTTGATTTCTCAAACACAGATCAGAGAATCAAACCGTTCAAACACAACAATAACAAACAAAAGAGGCCGAGATCAAAGTCCATGAAGGTCTGACGCCGGGGTCTGTCGGGCTGCGAGGGTCCAACTGAGAGGACTGATCCAGGACTGACTCTACATCAGGCATGTCAAACTCAGGCCCGTGGGCCAAATCCTGCCCGCAGGACAAGTTTTAGTGGTCCCTGAAATTACCCTCAGTTATCTTAGTAACTTGTGGCATTGATGGTAAGGCTGCAATGGAATGTTATACTTCATTTTAAAACCTAATGTTTAGTGGTGTTTGGGAGGGAAATCCCTAATCCATGATGAATCCCTAAGCCACGGCGGGCAAAACAAGGCGGAGAAACGGATGATGCGCAGATGCAGCAATTGCACAGTATTTTGGAGTTTATTGTGGAGAGTGGAAATGAATCAGGCTCTTACTGGGAACATTATGTATGAGGAAGATGAAGATGAAGATGCCTCATGCAGATATTTCATTGATGGAAAACATGTGGTCAACAGAAACTTCCCTTCCCGGCTCACCTCACTGCCATGACACACACACACACTCACACAAAGTTTCACACACGCACACCCCCTGCTGTTTAGACGGAAGAGGCGGAGCTACACGTTTGTGCCAGGAGTTCCTTATTTAAGCGTGGATGGAGTTAAAAACAACTCCAGATCAGTGACTGATGAGGAGATAGGTCTGGTTTGAAAAATTATCTTGTAAAAGTAAAATCCTGTAAATCATGAATAAATGATATAATACAAATTTGATGTATTTTCAAGGTTAAATTGTTTTTAATCAACTTCAGAATTAAGTCAGTGTTAAACGAACACGTCCCACATTTAAAAATGTTTGAATAATGTTCAGTTTGTTTCTTTTTAAAACAATACAGATTTGAATCCTGATTATACTGTATATTCTGACATTAAATAAAAGGACAGGTTGCCATGGGAACATCCCCCACTGTTCCGGATCCCGATGACGTCACCGGTTGCTAGGTTACGGCGTTCTTGTCAAAGCAATGAAGACGTCATAAAGTTCTGAAAAGTTAGCCTTAGGGCAACGTCACGTCTCAGACACAAACACAGCGTTCGGAGTCCGGTTTGAACGAGCAGAAGATTGATTTAACGAGAGCAGGACTTAGACAGAAGCAAAACGGAGGAAAGTCTTAACAGTTGGAGGTTCTAAGACACAGTATGGACGACATTACACTGACCATGGAAGGTCCAAAAGTGGGAGACGTCGGCCCCAAAGACAACGACATCAGAAAGATCCTGTCACAGCTGAACCAGGAGCTGCAGGAGATGGAAGAGATGTTTGAGGACAACATCATTCACAGACAGACGGACCTCCAACCACCCACCTGGTCCAGCAACGAGGTCCAGACTCAGGCCTGGTCCAGCAGCGAGGTCCAGACTCAGGCCTGGTCCAGCAGTGAGGTCCAGACTCAGGCCTGGTCCAGCAGCGAGGTCCAGACTCAGGCTTTGTCCACCTGCGAGGTCCAGACACAGACTCAGGCCTGGTCCAACTACGAGGTCCAGACACAGACTCAGGCCTTGTCCACCTGCGAGGTCCAGACACAGACTCAGGCCTGGTCCAACTGTGAGGTCCAGACACAGACTCAGGCCTGGTCCACCTGCGAGGTCCAGACACAGACCCAGGCCTGGTCCAACTGCGAGGTCCAGACACAGACTCATGCCTGGTCCAGCACCGAGGTCCAGACTCAGACAGTGGACCTGCCATACTCCGAAAACTGGTATGAGGAATTTGAGATTGCGGTGAGGTGTATGCAAGTCAAAGAGGCAGAGTTGGAGCTAGCAAGAGAAAAGTTAGCAAAGAAGGAGAAAGAGAATCAGGAGGTTTGTGAGAAACTGATGCAGCTGCAAACTTTGAACCTCAGTCTGGAGAAAGATCTGGAACAAGCCAACGACAACTCACGTAAACATGAGTCTGAACGTCAGGAGGCTTGTGAGAAGTTGAAAGAGCTGCAACTCTCACACGAGAAAGAGCTTCAAGAAAACTTTGAGGAGCTCAGGGTTTTAAAGCAGTCTTTAGAAGAGCGGGACTCAGTTGGAAAAAGTTCAGAGAAACAGATCAGTGAGAATGAGAAACAAAGCCAGAAGATCGAGACGCTGGAACGCCAACTTCAGGAGTTCGAAGAGTTGAGAGACGAGTTGTCTTGGTCTGTTCGGCAGAATCAAAATCTGGAGAAAGAGCTGCAACTTTTACAGATGAAAGTGGAAACGCAGTGTGAAGCCCAGGGTTCAGTTGGCACAAAAACACAGAGTTCAGCTCAGAAGAAGATGGAGATGCTTGAACGCCAGCTGAAGGAGTTCGAGGGCGTGAAAGAGGAGTATATTTGGTGTGTGGAGCAGAATATGAGTCTTGAGAAAGAGCTGGAACAAGCCAAAGAAACCTCACAGAAACATGAGGCCGAACATAAGGAGGCTTGTGAGAAATTGATGGAACTAAAGCTGTCACAGACGAAAGCGTTCGACGATCACCTCGAGGAGTTGAGCGTTTTCAAGGAGGGCTTTAAACAACAGGTGGAAGCTCGCAGACGTTTGGAGCAACAAGTAAGCGAGGTCGCACCCCAGGAGAAGCCGTCGGTGTGTGAAACGCAGACGCAAACGGTGGCTAGCGCGGAGATGCTAACCGATCTAAAAGCCGTGAAGGTTGAGACCTCTACCTCAGATGTACCAACGCAGAATCTGGATCAAGCGACAAGGGTCTTATTTGAGAAACCACAGACGAGTGCAGAGGAGTCCAGACCTCAGAGTCACAAGGATGACTGCACAGAGCTCAAGGGAAATGTGAAAAATCTAGCAGAATTATTTGAGAGTAAACTTGAGCAGGACACGCAGAAGCAGGGGCCCGAGCTGCAGAGGAACCGGGTCAAGGGGAAGAGCGTTTCGGCGCTGATGAAAAAGTTTGAGTTTTAAGAGAATAACACATTCTCATCAGCACAGGTCAGACGCTGTAGCTGCTAATTCAAATCTAAAGTCTGAAAGGGGAATGGGGAATTTGGTAAAGGTATGAGGCTGTCTCTCTCTGGTCTCTCTCCACTCTCTCGCTCTGGTCTCTCTCACTGTTTGAAGCTGTACATTTTCAGGACTTTTCAAAGCGTCATTGTCAGAGAGAGATGGAGGGGAAGGACTCTCAGCCTAGAAATATAGATTACAAACAGCAGGTTGCTCTGGACCAGGGCATCAGGCTGTTTGTAGCTGTAGCTTCTGAGGTGGAGAGTCCAACTTCTTCACCAGGAGCTCTCTTTCCTCTTCTGTCTCTGGTCTCTCTCTGGTCTCTCTCTGGTCTTTATCCACTTCTCCTCACACCCTGTTAACGAACCTTCATGGTTAAAGTTGGAATTGCATGCAATAAATAATAAAAATACAAAATACAAAGATAGTTTTCTGAATGATTTGTGTCTGAGACATTTAGACAAATGGTCACACACACGCACACACACGCACACGCACACACACGCACGCACACACGCACACACACACGCACACACACACAGACACACACACACAGTATAGTTGTATCTGCAGTCTTCCAATACATCACTACATTTTGTTTTACCCAGTTGTGATTGATTTCAAACCTACCAGAAAATATCATCCAAACTTACGTCAAATAGTTAATTTGTCCAAAACCTTTATACCACTTTTACACTTCTGGCCCCAACCGGATCTTCCATCCATCCATCCATCCATTTTCTTCCCCTTAATCCATTTCTGGGTCGGGGGGGTGGCCAGAGATGCCACCCAGTACACTCAGCACCAGCCCCTCACTGATCCTCCTGCAGGTGGTGAGTCCACAGGAGCTGAGATCTTTCAGTGGGAGCTTCAGGCAAAGTGGGGTTAAGTGTCTTGCCCAAGGACACAACGACAACAGTCATCAGTGGGAGTCGTGAAGTCGGTCTTACAGTGGGCTCGAACCCACGACCTTCAGGCTCAAAGGTCAATGCTCTACCAACTGAGCTACTGTCGCCCTCAGTCAATCCCAACCGGATCTTATCTTTTATAATTTGGCACACAACCAAATTGAGTTTGTCACCCCTGCTCTACATTCTGCCACATTTATGGACGGTCTCTGCTCCTCTGGACCAAAGGCTCTGTGTGTTTTTATTGTTGCATTTCCTGACTTTAAACAGTTTGTCTTCCCTGAGTTTTACCTTCTCGTGGATGAGGAGCTGATCCCACAGCAGGAGCTTCAACACTGCCTCCACTCTGCACTTTTTATTATTTTTGTATTTTATATGTGACGACTCTACAAGTTCAGGATATGGTGAAAGAGGAGACAAAAGGACAAAGATGAGGGTTAACAGTATTTATTACAAAACGTAACCAGCACTGATTTGATTTATTTAGGGAAAACCCCTTGAGACGCAGCATCTCATTTTCGAGAGAGTCCCATGAACACAACACAAACGCAATACATATAATACAGCACAATACAAACAATTAACATTTATACAATTAACACACACAGGTTTGCTCCCTCAGATCCCACTCCGCCTCCTACTATAATAACACTTTCAAAAAAACATGTTCATAATTTCTGTATACAATATGGTCAAATACAGGCAATACAGAAGCTGATAGAATAATACAACTTAAAATATAAATCCAGATAATACAAAATAATAATAATAATAATAATAATAATAATAATAATAATAATAATAATAATAATAATAATAATAATAATAATAACAATTATAACAAAAATAATAATAATAGAGAAAGAAAAAGAACAGCTAGTAACATGAACAGGGAGTGGTAAGATATCTAGATAATTCGGATTCAAAGGAACGAGCAGAACATCTTCAACAAAAACTACAAATGTAAACACACAGACATTTACCAGACACGGTTATGTTCCAGTCAGTGTCAGGCCTTCACGGGGCGCGTCAGCAGAGAGCGGAGAGGGGAGGGAGGTGCGGGGGAGACCGAGGGGGAGGCAGAGGGGGGGACCGGAGGGGGGCGGCCGCAGGGTTATGCTCCTGGTGCTGATGGTCCTGGCCCCAGTCCCCTGCGCTCTGCTCCATGGCGCAGTCCCGGCCCTGGCTGCTGCGCGCGGCGGTGATCGCGGGGGTATTGTGCTTGGCTGCGGTGGTGTGTGTGTGTGTGCTGGGGCTCCCGGGGGCAGGATGTCCCGGTGGAAGCTTCAGACGCGGGGCAGTGGCGGCGGACTCCCGGATCTGCTCTGACATCGGCAGGTTCGTTATTATTCCATTCTTATTGAACAGACAGAGGCTCAGAACCGCTGAGTCAGAAATCTGTAATCTCTTTAATCTGTGCGTCTGCCTCCAGCATTGAGTACTTTAATATGTACTTTATATCACTGTGTACTATACTGTGTACTTTACTGTGTACTTTACTGTGAACTTTACTGTGTACTTAAATACGTACTATGATATATTAATATGAACTTGAATATATTTTAATATTCTTAACTATGTACTTTATTGTGTACTTTATTGTGTACTTTATTATGTATGAGAGAGAGAGACCAGAGAGAGACCAGACAGAGAGACCAGAGAGAGACAAGAGAGAGAGACCAGAGAGGGACCAGAGAGAGACCAGAGAGAGACAAGAGAGAGAGACCAGAGAGAGACAAGAGAGAGAGATCAGAGAGAGACCAGAGAGAGAGAGACCAGAGAGAGAGATCAGAGAGAGACCAGAGAGAGAGACCAGAGAGAGACCAGAGAGAGAGAGAGAGAGACCAGAGAGAGACAAGAGAGAGAGACCAGAGAGAGACAAGAGAGAGAGACCAGAGAGAGACAAGAGAGAGAGATCAGAGAGAGACAAGAGAGAGAGACCAGAGAGAGACCAGCGAGAGAGACAAGAGAGAGACCAGAGAGAGACCAGAGAGAGACAAGAGAGAGACCAGAGAGAGACAAGAGAGAGACCAGAGAGAGACAAGAGAGAGAGACCAGAGAGAGGCAAGAAAGAGTCCAGAGATAGACACCAGAGAGACACCATAGAGAGAGACCAGAGAGAGAGACCATGAGAGAGACCAGAGAAAGAGCAGAAAGACACCAGAGACAGACCAGAGACAGACCAGAGAGAGACCAGAAGGAGACCAGATACTAAAGACCAGAGAGACCAGAGAGAGAGAGAGAGAGACCAGAGAGATACCAACTTACACATCCATTTGTCAACTTTTTGGCAAATGTTCAAACAGAGATAAGTGTTTTTGCGTCGTCCTCTGATGCACTTCATGCTCATGGTCTCTTGCTGCTGGTATTTCTTCCGGCTTTTGTTTTCTTAGAGTAACAATCTGTCGACTGGTGCCAAGAACGCTCCACAGTTCACATCCAGGTTCATGGTCAGCGCCATGTTTCTCCCTGACAGAGACCGACCCTGGACCCAACACAACACTTTGTCTCTCAGAGTCATTAGTGTTGTTTATGTCCTGAAATAACATCCTCCTTCAGATTCAAAGACCTGATACTTCACTTTAAAGGAGCCATATTTCACTTTTCTGCATGTTCCACAGTCATCCTCTGCACTGAGTGAAAAGGAACACTCAAAACTTAAGTTGTCAAGTCAAAATGTAGCCCTTTGACGCTTAGATGTGATGTCACCTCTTTTGGAAGGAGCTGATCCAGAGAAGATTCTGCTCCTCTGTCTGTGATCACGCCTCCCCCACCCTCACCCTGCCTCCCCCACCCTCACTGAGACCAGGACTAATGTGAGAGGACTTCAGGACAGAGACCTGAGAATAAGAAAAATATTGAAACTTTCTGAATCTTCCGTTCATGACACAGATGCTCCTCTCTATCCTTTCTCATCTCTCTCTTCCCCCTCTCCCCCTCTCTCCTCCCTCACCCTCTTCTCTCTCCCCCTCTCCTCTCTCCTCCTTTCCTCTCTCCTCCCTCCCCCTCTCCTCTCTCTCCCCCCTATCTCCTCCCTCACCCTCTCCTCTCTCCCCGTTTCTTCTCCCTTCCCCTTTCCCCCCCTCTCCTCTCTCCCCCTCTCTCCTCCCTCACCCTCATCTCTCTCCCTCTCTCCTCTCTCCCTTCTTCTCTCTCCCCCCCACCTCTCTCCCCCTCTCTCCACCCTCTCCTCTCTCCCCCTCTCTCCCGATCTCTCCTCCCTCCCCCCTCTCACCCCCTCCCCCCCCTCACCCCCTCCCCTCTCCTCTCTCCCAGCTCTTCTCCCTTTCCTCTTACTGTATCTCCCACTTTCTTCTCCCTCACCCTCTTCTCTCTCCTCCTCGCTCCTCCCTCCCCTCTCCCTCTCCTCTCTCCCCCTCTCTCCTCCCTCCCCTCCCTAACCCTCTCCTCTCCTCCCCCTAGTTTCCAGCACCCTTTGTATTGCAGCACCTCCTAACATTCCTGTTGTTTGCATAAAGGTGGATTTATTTGTGTAGAACGTAGAGTCCCACTGAGCTGACTCAGAGCTGCTGCTGGGGGCTGTGACCTGGGGCTGCTTTTCCCACACTCCAGGCTGCGGTTGCTCAGAGGATGAACTTTGCCTCTGCCAAAGAGTCTGCTTATCAGGAGAGGACTGAGTGTGACATCACCACAGTGTGACATCACACAGTGTGACATCACCACAGTGTGACATCATCACTGTGTGACATCACCACAGTGTGACATCATCACTGTGTGACATCACCACAGTGTGACATCACCACAGTGTGTAGGGTCGTTAATACAGTAGAAGCCAATGTGATAAGCTGGAGCCAGTTTCCTTATATGGGCGTTTGTTCTGATGGTGGTAGCTTCCCAGACGTGTTGCTAAGACTATATTGTGTTACTTGTAGGTCGAGCTAGCATGTTAGCATGATGTCAAAAGTTTAATAAAATTCTCACTGTGGAGTTCACTGTTTTGAAGCACTCAAAATAATCACAACCAAAGTCCATCCATCCATTTTCTTCCCCTTAATCCATTTCTGGGTCGGGGGGTGGCAGTCAGAGCACCAGCCCCTCACTGATCTTCCTACAGGAGGTGAGTCCACAGGAGGATGGCTGATCTGTCACTGTGAGCATAGCCTGGATCTTTCAGAGGGGGCTTCAGGCAAAGTGGGGTTAAGTGTCTTTCCCAAGGACTCAATGACAGCAGACATCAGTGGGAGTCGGTGGAGAAGGTCTCATGTTGGGCTCAAACCCATGACCTTCAGGCTCAAAGGCCAATGCTCTACCACTGTCGCCACAACCAAAGATTTTTATCTAATTTCAGACTTTCCTTTGATCGCTCAGGAATTTCAATGTTGTACTTATCCTTACTCTCTTCTCCTCTCTCTCATCTCTCTCCCCTCCCTGCTTTTTCCCCTCCCTTCTCCCCTCTCTCTCCCTTCTCCCCTCTCTCCTCTCTCTTCTCTCCTCTCTCTCCCTTCTCCCCTCTCTCCTCCTCTCTCCCTCCTTATAAAAACAAAAAGTAAAAGTTGCCGTTATCAGTCGTGTTTTCACAGTGCTATTGGGTGAAATACTTCTTTTATTGTCCTCAAAAGCAGAATCGTCAGAGTAACGTGCTCCTCGTTCCTGTCTATGACGCAGGGATATGCTGCAGCGCGGCGGCTCGGCAGTAGATGGCGCCATCGCAGCTCTACTCTGTACATCTGTGGTCAACCCCCAGAGCATGGGGCTGGGAGGAGGGTCTATAGTGACCATCAGAGAGAGGAGCGGTGTGTACCATAGACACACACACACACACACACACCTAACACAGGAGGGTCTATAGTGACCATCAGAGAGAGGACCGGTGTGTACCATACAGTAGACACACACACACACACTCACAGACGCACATACACAGAGACACACACACACTTGCTTACTCAATACTATGTTATGTTTAATTAAAGGTTATTTTAAGAACACGCACCTCCCAGATTCCTGCTTCATGAAAACCAGGGACCTCTGTTTATGGCATGAACAGGGGTTGGATGAAGCGGACATCATGTTTTCCTGTTGTGTTGTTTTTTCAGGCAAAGTCAAAGTGTTCAACTTCCGGGAGACAGTGCCACATTCGTTTAAAGAGAACCTGTTAGAGGACTGTCCCAGGACGTTTGGCATGTCTTCAGGTACTCGTCCTACAGGACTGAGCCTAAACCACTCCCTGTGCAGAAGTCAGTGGAGATCACTCTCTCTGGTCTCTCTCTGGTCTGTCTGGTCTCTCTCTGGTCTTTCTGGTCTCTCGTTGGTCTCTCTCTGGTCTGTCTGGTCTCTCTCTGGTCTCTTGCTAGTCTCTTGCTAGTGTCTTGCTGGTCTGTTGCTGGTCTCTCTCTGGTCGCTCTCTGGTCTCTCTGGTATCTCTTTCTGGTCTTTCTCTCTGGTCTCTCTCTACTCTTTGATCTCTCCCAGGTCTCTCTCTGGTCTGCCTCTCTATGAGAGAGAGATTGGAGAGAGACCAGAGGGAAACCTCTGGTCTCTCTCCAATCTCTCTCTGATTTTTCTTTCTCTGGTCCCTCTCTCGCTGGTCTCTTTCTCTCTGGTCTCTCTCTCTCTGGCCTTTCTCTCTCTGGTCTCTCTCTGTCTGGTCTCTCTGTCTCTCTGGTGTCTCTCTCTGATCTTGTGGACTCTCTCTTATGCAGGCTCTCAGTGGGTGGGAGTACCAGGTGAGCTCAGAGGGTATGACCTCCTCCACAAACACTATGGGAGACTCCCCTGGTCCCAGCTGTTCGAGCCCACAGTCCGTCTGGCCCGACTCGGGATCCCTCTGCCTCAGTACCTGTCCCAGTTCCTTCGCTCTCCCCTGGTCCAGCACAGAGTAGAGACCTCATCCCTGTGGTGAGAATCAGACACTTCCTCTGGTAACTTCTCTCTCTTCTCTGGTCTCTCTTTCTCTCTCTCTGGTCTCCTGCTCGTCTGTCTTTGGTGTCTTCCTGGTCTCTCTCTGATCTCTCTAGTCTCTCCCTGGTTACTCTCTGGTTTCTCTCCTGTCTTTCTCTGGTCTCTCTCTGGTTTCCTTTCTTGTCTCTTTCTAGTCTTTCTCAGGTCTCTCTGGTCTCTGTCTGGTCTCTCTCTGGTCTCTCTCTAGTCTCTCTCTAGTTTCTCTCTGGTCTCTCTCTGGTCTCTCTCTGGTCTCTCTCTAGTCTCTCTCTGGTCTCTCTCTGGTCTCTCTCTGTTCTCTCTCTGGTCTCTCTCTATTCTCTCTCTGGTCTCTCTCTGGTCTCTGGTTTCTCTCTGGTCTCTCTCTAGTCTCTCTCTGGTCTCTCTCTGTTCTCTCGCTGGTCTCTCTCTGGTCTCTCTAGTTTCTCTCTGGTCTCTCTCTAGTCTCTCTCTGGTCTCTCTCTAGTTTCTCTCTGCTCTCACTCTGGTCTCACTCTGGTCTCTCTCTGGTCTCTCTCTGGTCTCTCTCTGGTCTCTCTCTGGTCTCTCTCTGTGCTCTCTCTCTGGTCTCTCTCTGTGGTCTCTCTCTGGTCTCTCTCTGGTCTCTCTCTGGTCTCTCTCTGGTCTCTCTCTGTGGTCTCTCTCTGGTCTCTCTCTGGTCTCGCTCTGTGGTCTCTCTCTGGTCTCTCTCTGTGGTCTCTCTCTGGTGTCTCTCTCTGGTCTCTCTCTGGTCTCTCTCTGTGGTCTCTCTCTGGTCTCTCTAGTCTCACAGTGACTCACAGGGTTCTTTCTCACACCTTTGTGCTTGTGTTGAAATGTTGTGTGAGACGATGGTGAATTGTGTTTTTTTCCCAGTGATATTCTCTGCACCAGAAACAGAACAGTTTTGGGACCAGGAGACGTTCTAAAGTTTCCTAAACTCGCTGAAACCATGGAAACCATCGGGAAGTTTGGGGCCGACGTGTTTTACAACGGGAAGATCGGACAAGACCTCGTGGAGGACGTCCAGGCTGCAGGTCAATCTAACATACAATCAACACATATGGGGATTTCTGGTGTAGGACCATGGTTTTCTCCTAGTACTCCTGTTTCCCCTTCCACGAAGCACATGTACAATCGGGAAAATCTTCCAGCTCTGGTATCTCTCTGGTCTCACTCTCTCTCTGGTCTCTCGCTGGTCTCTCTCTGGTACCTCTCTGGTCCCTCTCTGGTCTTTCTCTCTGATCTCTCTAGTCTATTGTCTCTCTCTCTGGTCCCTCTCTGGTCTCTTTCTGGTATCTCTCTGGTATCTCTCTGGCCTTCTGGTCTCTCAATGATCTCGGGTCTTTCTTTGGTCTCTCTGGTCTCTCTGGTCTCTCCCTGGTCTCTCTCTTGTCTCTCTCTGGTCTCTCTCAGTCTCTCTCTGGTCTCTCTCTGGTCTCTCTCTGGTCTCTCTCTGGTCTCTCCCTGGTCTCTCTCTGGTCTCTCTCTGGTCTCTCTGGTCTCTCCCTGGTCTCTCACTGGTCTCTCTGGTCTGTAACCTTCACCTGGTCTGCAGGTGGATCACTGACCATGAAGGACCTGGGGGACTTTATGGTCAGAGTGGGTGACGCTGTGTCAGTTCCTCTGGGAGACTCAGTGCTGCACATCCCTCCTCCACCTGCAGGGGGCGCTCTGCTTGCCTTCATTCTGCTGATGATGAAAGGTCAGTGTCCTCGTCCTCAGAGGAACTCTTCAGATGTAACTTAATAAAGAAAGTCTCGTTTGTGCAGAGTCTGCGTTGAGTCCTCAGTCTGTGGGAGCGGACCAGAAGACACAGATGTACCATCGATACGTGGAGGCGCTCAAGTTCGCTAACGGCCAGAAGAAGACCATCTGTGACCCGGCGTTCAACCCTCACAAGGTACCAGAACCATGTGGGTCTGACAAGGTACCAGAACCATGTGGGTCTGACAAGCTACCAGAACTATTTGGGTCTGACAAAGAACCAGAACCATGTGGGTCTGACAAGGTACCAGAACCATGTGGGTCTGACAAGGTACCAGAACCATGTGGGTCTAACAAGGAACCCGAACCATGTGGGTCTGACAAGGTACCAGAGCCATGTGGGTCTGACAAGCTAACATAGTACCAGGTACCAGAACATGGTACCTATTACCTTGTACCACAACCTCGTGTCTCTCTGTGTCTCTCTGTGATGTCTCTGTGTCTCTCTGTGATGTCTCTGTGATGCCTCTGTGATGTCTCTGTGTCTCTCTGTGATGTCTCTGTGATGCCTCTGTGATGCCTCTGTGATGTCTCTGTGTCTCTCTGTGATGTCTCTGTGTCTCTCTGTGTCTCTCTGTGATGTCTCTGTGTCTCTCTGTGTCTCTCTGTGATGTCTCTCTGTGTGTCTCTGTGTTGTAGAGTGCGGCTCCTCTTACTGACTCTTCCTTCGTGGCTCACGTCTCCTCCTTGGTCTCGAACCAAACCAGAGACTCCTCCTTCTACTCCTCAGTGCCACCTCCTGCGGACTCCTTTGGGACCACACATGTCTCTGTCCTGGACCAGGAAGGACTGGCTGTGTCTGCCACCAGCACCATCAACCAGCTGTGCGAGAAACCCCTGTCTTTATAGTCTATAGAGAGAGACCAGAGAAAGAGACCAGAGAGAGAGACCAGAAAGAGAGACCAGAGAGAGAGACCAGAGAGAGAGACCAGAGAGAGACCAGAGAGAGACCAGAGAGTGACTAGAGAAAGAGACCAGAGAGAGAGACCAGAGAGAGAGGCCAGAGAGAGAGACCAGAGAGAGACCAGAGAGAGACCAGAGAGAGAGATCAGAGAGAGACCAGAGATACGAGAGACCAGGGAGAGACCAGAGAGAGAGAGAGAGAGGGACCAGGGTGAGACAGTAGGTGGGTGGATAGCACTCTCGCTTCTCAGCAAGAAGGTCCTGGGATTGAATCCCGGTCGGAACAGGGTCTTTCTGAGTGGAGTTTGCATGTTCTCCCCGTGCCTGCGTAGGTTTCCTCCGGGTACTCCGGTTTCCCCTACCACTAAAAACATGCACACTAGGTTAAATCCTCCAGCTCTGGTCCTGACCAAGCCGAGCATCAACATCTGGAGATGGGTTCCCGGGCACTGTTACTACGGCAACCACTGCTCCTGACGGATGGGTCAAATGCAGAGGATAAATTGCCTTACGGGGATCAATAAAGAGCACCTTTGCCTTTACTTTACTAGAGAGAGACACCAGAGAAATACCAGCGAGAGTGACCAGAAAGAGAGAGCAGAGAGAAACCAGGAAGAGAAGATTGGAAGAGCACCTTGAACACCTCTCACCTTGTTGATTATAGTGTAAATACTATTGTTTTTAACTGGTGTTTTACTGGTTTGTGGATTTGCTCTGGCACCTCCTGCACCAGCACTTCAATGGGACTTTAACGATTCCTGGTTCTCCTCTGGTTGTAGGTTTGGAGGCGCCGTGTTCTCCCCAAAAACTGGCATCATTCTCAACAACGAACTGGCAGATTTCTGTGGCAGAGCAGAGTCACTGAAGCCAGGTACAAGTGTGACCAGAGACCAGAGAGAGACCAGAGAGAGACCAGAGAGAGACCAGAGAGAGACCAGAAAGAGACCAGAGAGAGACCAGAGAGAGACCAGAGAGAGAGGCCAGAGAGAGACCAGAGAGACCAGAGAGAGACCAGAGAGAGGCCAGAGAGAGACCGAGAGAGAGACCAGAGAGAGACCAGAGAGAGACCAGAGAGAGACCAAAGAGAGACCAGAGAGAGACCAGAGGGGAGACCAGACAGAGACCAGAGAGAGACCCAAGAGAGACCAGAGGGAGATCGGAGGGAGACCAAAGAGAGAGACCAGACAAAGAACAGTGCGCGATCAAAGAGAGAGACCAGAAAGAGAGAGAAGAGAAGGACAAGGGAGAGATCAGAGAATATTTTTCTAGTTTACAACAACACAAATGTGTATTATGCAGATGAGTTCAAACACAGTCCTCAGATGACTTTGCATTGGTCCAAATTAAAGCTCATGTCCATTTTTTCCTGCAGGTGAACAACCGCCTTCCTCCATGACTCCTGTCATCCTCGAATCCAAGTCTGGGAGGCTGTTGGTGATTGGTGGATCAGGGGGAAGTATGATCACCTCTGCAGTGGCTTTGGTAAGTCCTGGACCTCCCCATAGTGTGACATCACAGCGTTTGGGTTAGAAGCCAATTTGAACTTAAGCTAATTGGGGTGTTTGTTCTCATTTGATAGCAGGTTAGCATTGTCCATCTGTATACAGTCTGTGTTAGCATTGTCCATCTGTATACAGTCTGTGTTAGCATTGTACACCTGTATACTCTATTCTCAGTCCGTCATGAACCGCTTGTGGCTGAAGATGAGTCTGAGAGACGCCATTGCGGCCCCCATCGTCTTTGTGGATTCCAAACACAATGTGAACTTTGAACCTGGCTTCGATGAGGTGAATCTTGACACGCACACTCTGAAATCTGTGGATCTTCAGACATGCAGGGGTCTGTTCATGTTTAATCCTAGAAATGTAGTGTTTGGTCTTATTCCTGAGATTATGAACAAGGACAGACGCATCCCCCTCATCATAAGTTTCCACCCCCCTCATCATAAGTTTCCATCCCCCTCATCATAAGTTTCCACCCCCCTCATCATAAGTTTCCATCCCCCTCATCATAAGTTTCCATCCCCCTCATCATAAGTTTCCATCCCCCTCATCATAAGTTTCCATCCCCCTCATCATAAGTTTCCATCCCCCTCATCATAAGTTTCCATCCCCCTCATCATAAGTTTCCACCCCCCTCTTCATAAGTTTCCATCCCCCTCATCATAAGTTTCCATCCCCCTCATCATAAGTTTCCACCCCCCTCTTCATAAGTTTCCATCCCCCTCATCATAAGTTTCCATCCCCCTCATCATAAGTTTCCACCCCCCTCATCATAAGTTTCCACCCCCCTCATCATAAGTTTCCATCCCCCTCATCATAAGTTTCCATCCCCCTCATCATAAGTTTCCACCCCCCTCATCATAAGTTTCCATCCCCCTCATCATAAGTTTCCATCCCCCTCATCATAAGTTTCCATCCCCGCATCACAAATTTCTATCCAAAAATAATAATAAATAGATAGCGACCTTGGGTCGCCTTTGCACTGGGCCGGTCCTGCAAACAGGAGAGCTGATCCCTGGTCCTGGTTTGTTTCGTGTGTTCAGTCCGTGGTCGCCGGCCTGCGAGAGCGAGGACACTCCGTGGGGAACTGGAAATACTTCTTCAACGTCGTGAACGGCGTGGAGCAGGAGCACGGCTGCATCGCCGCCTTTTCAGACCAGAGGAAGAGCGGGGAAGCATCAGGATTCTGATCTGTCCATATCACATGTATTAGGAGGGGACTGAGTGTGTCATCACCACAGTGTGACATCACCACAGTGTGTCATCACCACAGTGTGACATCACCACAGTGTGACATCACCACAGTGTGTCATCACCACAGTGTGACATCACCACAGTGTGACATCACCACAGTGTGACATCACCACAGTGTGACATCACCACAGTAATACATCAGAAGCCGATTTGAACAAAGGCTGGAGCCGTTTTTTTAATATTTTTTTTTAATAATCTTTAATACATTTACAAAACATTAAAACCTTACAAAGATTGAATTGAAAAGAAACCCGTTACATTTCCATGGTCACATGACCGTTGGAATTAAATGCCCCCTCCCACCCCAGAGTCTAATTATGAGGAAAGTTTTCAAACAGTTCATCCCTGAGCCTCACCCTGAGGTGCTCCTTGAATTCCCCCAAAGTTTCACTAGAGACACAGTCAGAGTCCAGCATGTTCCACATTCTGGTGGCCAGAGTGAGACACGATCTCTGCATGATATGGGCGCTGGGCAGTGTCCCGTCCGGAAAAGCACAGCTGACCAAGCGCACATGGTATGGCAGGACCCTTTGTGTGGGTCGGTATGATCCCAGCGCCGCAGGCGAGAGTCCATGGAACAGTTTAAAACCAAAACATGCAAGAGCAAAGTTCCGCCTTGTTTGCAAGGTTGTTAGTCCGAGCGCTCTATAATGCTCTGCTGTCAACTGGGCACGATACGGCAGATTTAGAATAATGCGCATGCATCTTCGTTGGATGCTCTCTAAACAGTTTATCAGAGTCTTTCCTATGCCACAGATCAGCACTGAGCAGTACTCTAGTCGGGATCTAATGTATGCTTTATAGATCCGAAGCAGGATTTCTTTACTTTGTGGTGGTAGCTTTGATTTTAAGAGCCTCAACACAAACATTTCCTTTCTAGCCCCTTTACACAAGTCCTCAACATATCGCTTCAATTTCAAATCACTGCTGATTGTTATCCCCAAGTGCTTTGTCTCACTTGAGAAGGAGATGTTGTGGCCCTCAAACATGACTTGACCATCTATTTGTTTATTAACTGGCGCTTTAGCAAAGCACAAGCATACAGTTTTTGAAGGGTTGAATTTCATACCCCAGGTGTTGGCCCAACTGCTTGCAGCAGCCAATGCACAGTTCAAACCTGCAGCCGCGAGGGCTGGATATGCACTAGTGACAGTTAGTAAAGTGTCGTCCGCATATGCAGCTGGTGTAACTCTTATACTGTCTGGTAACAGCCCAGAAAGCTCCTCCAATGCATTTAATAAATCATTTAAGAAGATAATAAACAGTGTTGGTGCAATAACACTGCCCTGGGGTACTCCAGACTGCACTTGAAGAGGTGAGGAAAATAAAGACCCAACTCTTGTTTGTTGCTGGCGAATACTTAGTCGCGTATCCAGGCAAGCATTTTTCCTTGGACTCCAAATGCTGGAAGTTTGTGTAAGATAGCCTTGTGTGGAATCGATGTGAATGCATTACTTAGGTCTAGGAAGGCTGCAAGGCAGGTGTCCTTTTTTTCAGCAGCGTTTAACCAAGTGTGGTAGTCCAATGCCAGTTGGTCCAGTGTAGAGTGTTTTGGCAGGAACCCAAATTGGTGCTTTGATATTAATCCATTGTCCAAGCAGAATGCCATCAGCTTGTCATTTATAATGCTCTCTAGGATTTTCACAATGCACGAGGTCAAAGATATTGGTCTGTAGCTGAACGGGCTTGATCTCTCGCCTTTACGCTTGTAGACTGGTGTCACATAAGCAGATTTCCATATTTGGGGCAGTTTTGATGAGAAAAACTAAAGCTTAAAAAGGTGAGCGAGTACAGGTGTTAATTCAGCAGCACAGTTTTTAAGGAAAACATTTGGGACACCATCAGGCCCACTCGCTTTGTTAACATCAAGCTTCATTAACTTGCTGTACACACATTCAGGGGATATCTGTACATCAGTCAATATACCATTCTGGGTTTGAGTTAAAGGGCTGTCAAACAGTTGCTGTTCATCATAACCACTAGTGGAATAAAGGTGATTTAACATGTTTGCTTTTTCAGCATTATTCACGTATGATTTCCCCTCATATACTAAGTCAGGAATTGTATCACAAGTTCCAGAGAATTTATATAGCTCTGAAAGCATGCCCCAGTAGTTTTTTGGGGAGTAGCTTGATGCCAAGTTCTGAGCTCGCTGTGCATAGTGTAAACGCTCGATATGTTTGACTTCATTACGTAGTGCATCCCTTGTTTTCCTATAGGCATTCAGGTCGTGATCACTTCTAGATAACTTGAAGTCTGCCCAGTGTGCTTGCTTCAGTGATCTCAGCGTTCTGAATTTGGATGTAACAAAAGGTAAATTCTGCTTTCCTGCGTTAGTCTGACTTCGCTTAGTGGGTATGAGAGGACTCAATATTAAAGTCAATATGGCATAAAAATGTTTGGCTGCTGTCTCTATGTCTTCACTAGAGTAGACTGTGGCCCAACTGTGGTCCCTCAGTGATTGGCAAATTTGTGTCCAATTCTTGATTTGCTTGAAATTAAGGCAAGATAAATGATTGGGCCTATGTTCTGGCTGCACCTCAGTGGTACTAGCTGTAGAACTAAATTGTGACAATGATAACTCAATTACAGCATGATCTGATGTTCCTAATGGGGCAGAGACATTCACATCAGAAAATATTTCAGTGGAGTTAGTAAGTGCTAGGTCAATGAGGGACGGTGTTCCAGGGAGTCTGTCTGGGAATCGGGTTGGTGAGGAGACAATTTGAGACAAGCCTTGTTGTGTACAGAACAATTCTGTTTCCAACCCTTGTTTATCAGTTTTGTCCTCAGACCACCATTTAGAATTATGCACATTGAAGTCACCAATTATTATATTAGAGTAATTGTAGCCAATTGGGCAATTTTCTAATGCGTCCTCAAGATGGTGCAAAATAGACATGTCCTCATCTGGTTTGCGGTATATACAAGAAATAAACAGCTTCACAGAGTTCAAATATATTGAAAAAAACAGACTTTCATAGCTTTTGTGCTCCAATTGTGCATGTCGTTTGTATTTCACACCATTGCGTAAATATACAACTAGGCCTCCACCAAATGAAGTGCGATCTTTGCGGATTAAATCATAGCCATCAATAGTAAATATCCTATCAGGTATTGCAGAGGTTAAAAAAGTTTCAGATATAAATACAAAAATATGTTTATGTAATACAACATGATAGGAGATTTCATCAAAGTTTGCATGAAGGCCTCTAATGTTGGTAAAAATTAAATTGTTTTTCACATTAAACATTTAATAAGGATTGCTTGATTTCCGCAAAGCGCTTGAAGTACACAGGGCAGGAGGGGCTATTGGCCGCGTGAGAACCGGTGCAGTTACAGCATTTTGGGTCAACTGTACAGGGGTGAGCGTGGCTGGGGTCACTACTGCCGCAGTTAACGCAGCGCCGCTGAGACCGGCAGACGCTGGCGATGTGGTCATATCGATGACAGTTGAAACAGCGCGTAGGACGTGGCGCAAGTGGATGCACTCGATAAAAACAGAAGTCGTGGCGAAAACCATATTGGAGCGCTCTGGAGTAATCACTTTGATCTGCAATGATGAATTTAAAAGTTACGTATCTGCTCTGCTCCCGCGGGGGGAACTTGGTCAGCTGTTTGGCAGAGGGATATTCCAACTTGAGCGCTGTCTCGAGATCCCCGGGGTCCGTGTCACGGGATAGACGGGATACAACAACCCACCTCTGTTGGCTCTGGTTCGGACGTTCACCCATCGGATGGAAAGCAGCATTGTCCCCAAACAACTGCGAGTCCCAACCGGTGAGCAAAATGTCTCTGTACGATTTATCCTTGAGTTCAATCAGCAGCTTGCCAGAGTTTAACAGTCTAGCACAGCCATTCCCAAACTCAGTAACACCAAGGCCCCCTTAAAAATTTGACGGGTCTGCGTGGCCCCCCAAAATAATAACCAAGAAGACAACATTAAGAATAGGCTCTTCTGGTTATTTTATTTTGGGGAAATAGCCTCTGCTACAAACATTGTAATATAAAAATGATTACAGTGGATTATTCAAGTCAAATAATGAACACAAATATTTTAATATTACAAACAAAACATTATAAATTTAACATTAAATAATGATATAAATTTTTTTATGACCTCCCGCGGCCCCCCTGCAGTACCCTCGCGGCCCACCAGGGGGCCGCGGACCCCACTTTGGGAGACACTGGTCTAGCATATGAAATCAGGGGCACTGCACCGGGGCGGCTTTCAGTGATCAGTTGCTTGATTTCGGCAGGTACAGAGAATCGCTTTGGTTCTGAAATGTGGGTCACTAATATTGTGCGTAATGGGTCTGCTTGGTAAGGCGCATTGGTTATGCGCGCAGTAGGCTGTTGAGATGATACTGTGTGTGATCTGTTTTGTCCCACAACATCGGCAAATGTCTTGATTTTAGCTTGGACATCGGTGGAGAGATCAACAACACTGGATAGTAGTTTAGTCTCAAGGGTGGTCACTCTGCTATCTATCTTCTCCATGAAATCAGTAGTAGACTTGATACAAGTGTAACGTGTAAGTTCGTGGTGATAGAAGGATGACTCTCAAGGTAATAGAACAGCAGGATGGAGCAGGATTCTTTTAAGCCAGCAGTCAGTTTTATTATCAACCCATTTTCAACTCTTCCCTTCCTCTCTTACGTCACCGTCACATGACCCATTTTACCCAATCACTGCACTGCTCCAAACTAACAAAGATATAACTCATCAAAATAATATCACTCTTACATTACTCCTCCTCCCACAAAAGAAACGTCCCCGTTTCAGACAACAGGTTAAAAAAAAATCAAATATAACATAAAATCACTCAGTAACATAATCCCTGAGGTAAGCAGGTGGCCTAACAGTACGCCGGATGGGCCGTGAAAACGTACTCATACCGTCACACACAGGAGGAACATTGGGAGAACCCTGGGAGTCCGCAGGAACAAGGAGCAGAGGCTCGGACTGGGGCGAGGCCGCAGGTAAAGTTACCGGCGGAGTAACATCTCTGCACGTGTCACTATTACCCATGCCCTGAGAGAACGAATAAGGCAAAGCACCAGACAAAGCATTCAATGCAGGCAGCCCGGGCTGTGTAGGTACAGTCGGAACAGGGGCCCTGACATTGCTTTCTGGAACTGGAGCTCTGTAAGATCTGAGCCGATTATAGTGAACAATTTGGGAGCGACTCGAATCATCAACAAATAACGAATCTTATAGGTCACACCCTGCGTCTGCTCTTCTAAACCACCTAGACACTCCTGAACCACAAATGGACCTTTCCAATGAGGAGCCAGTTTTTGCTTAGACTTTGTAGGATCATTTAACCACACGAGGGCGCCAGGCACATATGGAACATGTTTAACACGTTTATCATACTGCACTTTCTGTTTGTGTGAAGCATCATTCCTATTGTTCACTGCAGTGATGAAAGCGGTTTCAAGTTTCTGCGTTAACCTCTCTGCATACTCCGTAGGAGAGTTTTGTGCAGAACGCTGTTGTCAAGTAACAGATTAGCGGACATCCTCGCTTCAAAACCATGTGTAAGAAAAAATGGAGTAAAGCCAGTAGTGGAGTGGGGAGTGGTATTATAGGCTAATGCTACTTGATTAAGACAGTCATCCCATTCACCTGACTGTTGTAGCAGAGTCTTAGCCAATTGGTCAATTAGAGTCCTGTTAAACCTCTCAATCATGCCATCACATTGTGGATGGTAAGCACTCGTGCGTGTTTTTTGTACGCCCATCATTTGACACAGGTCTTTAACTATATCTGACTCAAACTGTCTGCCTTGGTCGGTATGCAACACTTGGGGAATGCCATGTTCACATATATAGTTTTCAAATAAACACTTGGCAACTGTGACAGCTCGCTGGTCTAATATTGCATAAAGGTTGACATATTTAGAAAAATAGTCCTGTACCACCAGCACATACCTGTTGCCACGAGTAGTAATAGGGAGTTCAAGGATATCTGCAGCGACTTTCTGAAATGGCTCTGTGGCAACAATGGTTTTCATGGGAGCCCTCTGCTGAGGAACAGGGCTGCGTCTAGCATCACAAGGAACACATTTGTTACACATTTGTTTTATATCCCGCAACATAAAAGGCCAATAACAAAACTGCTGCGCACGTTTGACCACTTTGTCTGGGGACATGTGACCTGCTACTGGATTACCATGAAGCAATTCCAAAATTGTGTTCTGACATGCCTGCGGAACAACAATTTGATGCATGTCTGATTTTGTCACAGTATTATAGACCTTACGACAAAGAAGTCCCTCATTAAATGAGAGCCTGTTGAATTCATGCCACAGAGCCTTTTCTACCTGGGTGCGCTTTTTCATACACCAATAAGGCGGTTTGTGTCCCTTCCTTGTCCAGTTTATCACCTCAGACAAAACTGGATCCTGTTGTTGAGCCGTTTTGAGCTCCTCTGCCGGGAGCTGCAGCATGCTGGAGGAGGCAACAGTCTGTGAAACTCCTTGTATGTCCGAATAATGGGGCGGAGCCTCCACTGCTGAACTCACATGTGATAAGTCTGTATCAGTGAATGTACCTGTGACAGCCGGTTCTGCAGCTAGAGGGTCCTTTGGGCGGCGCGACAAAGCATCTGCATTCAAATGACAGTAGCCTTCTTTGTAAACCACTCTCCATTCAAACGGGTCAAGTTCAAGAGCCCAACGTGCGCGTCTCCCAGTCCTGTCACTGTCAATAGGGATTTTCCTGAGACCCAATAGTGGTTTGTGATCCGTCACAATAAAAAATGGCTGCTTGTAAAGATAATGCCGGAAATGACGTACTGCCCACACAATAGCCCAAAGTTCTCGGTCATATGTGGACCACTTCTTCTCCGCTTTCGTCAAGACATGACTGCCGTAAGCCACTACTTTTTCAGTCTGCTCTTGTTTCTGTCCCAGGACGGCGCCCACAGCAGTGCATGATGCATCTGTATAAAGGACAAATGGCAATGAAAAGTCAGGAAACGCAATGACTGGAGGCTTTGATAAAGCACTCTTCAAATAGACAAAGGCATCTTGGCAGTCTGTAGTCCATGCAAAAGGAGAATTCTTTGCAGTGAGGGCATGCAATGGTGCACTGTGGTGTGCAAAACTTTTTATAAACTTGCGATAGTACGAACAAAGACCAAGAAAAGCCCTCACCTCTGTCGCAGTCCGTGGGATAGGCCAGCTTTGCACACTGCTCACATTACGTGGGTCTGGGTGTACCCCCGCTCCTGATACCACATGGCCCAAAAAATTCACCTGCCTCTGGGCAAAACTGCATTTGGATGAATTCAATTTGAGTCCACTTGACTTGAACCTGGAGAAAACCTCTTCCAAGTGCTGGAGGTGCTCACTAAATGTGCGACTAAATATCAGAACATCGTCCAGATAGACAAGACACATCTTCCAAGGGAGTCCACGTAGCACCATCTCCATTAAGCGTTGGCATGTGGCAGGAGCATTGGTGAGGCCCATGGGCATCACTTTAAAATGATAGAGCCCGCTGCCTGTTGTGAAAGCTGTCTTCTCACGGTCATGTTCCTCCAGCTCCACTTGCCAATAACCATGTTGTAAGTCCATTGTTGAAAACCAGGCAGAGCCTGATAGAGCATCCAATGCATCGTCCACTCTGGGAAGTGGATGAGAGTCCTTTATTGTCACCGCATTTAGTTTGCGATAGTCCAAACAAAAGCGCCATGTCCCATTTTTTTTACGCACTAAAACAACTGGCGCTGCCCATGGACTAAAGTTCTCCTCAATAATGTCAGCTTTCAGAAGTTCATCAACCTGTGCTTGTATCTCCGCCCTCTGGTCAGGAGTCACTCTGTATGTTCTTTGTTTACTAGGCATAGCGTCACCTGTGCGAATATGGTGCCTTATCACCCCTGTGCGGCCCCTATCCTGGGAATTCAAACTGAACACCTCAGAATACTTCACTAAAAGATGATTTAATGCTGCGGTCTGGGAGTGTGATAGGTGTGTATTTGTTAACTGCACTAATGGTGACAAATCCCCATTGGCCAATGAGGACGCCTCATCAAGTGGTGCTATGTCAACAGAGGAAACTGAATGAAATTCACCCAGATGTTGGCCTGGATGTAGTTCAATATCCTCTCTAGAGGAGTTCAACACTCTAACTACAGTGGTGCCATGCCGGACAGTACTAACTGTGTGCGCCACAATGACATCAGTGTTTGTATTGGGCATTATTACACCACAATAGTCTGTCGGTACTGGCGAGGCAGGAGTAGCAGAAGATACACAAGCTGAAATTAATGTTTCACTCATAGCTGGTATTTTAGTGGGTACTAAGACTGACACATTACAGCATGCGGTCACTTCAGGTTGTTTTGGTAACAGTGGGATTGTCATGTCCCAAAGCTGTAGTACTTTGTTTTTAATGTCCAGCAAGGCACGGTGTTGCACCAGAAAATCCCAGCTTAAGATAACTGGTTGATAAGCCCCTCTGAGCACTTCAAACTCACGTTGCCAAACTTTGTGTCCCATCCTAAGTCCTATCGTTAACTTGCCTAAAATGTCCAGACTCTGACCACTCACAGAGCGAGCGGGGACAGTGGAGACAGTCATTGGTCGCTTCCTCAAAGCTGGGTGAGAATTACGAAACTCTTCACTAACAATGGAAACAAATGAACCTGAGTCAATTAAAGCACACACTTCAATGCCCTCCACAATAGCAAGAACTGTGGATGAAACCACTTTTGTGCTCTGGGGCGCGGACGTAGTAGCTGGCGTTTGCCCCTCAACATCAGCTAATGGAAGTTTCCCGGCTGCGAGAGTGGTGCTTGTCGCTCAGGGGATTGAAACCTCACACTTTGTCTTGAACGTGGGCTGGGATCCCTACGTCCCCTCGCCGCTGGGCTGGGACTGCGAGGATAATCCGTACGCTCATATCTAGCATAGGTCCCTGATCTGGGGGAGGAGGGATAGTGGCCTTTCCAGTCAGTGTCCTGCTCCCTGTATCTCTGGTGTGCATTGGGGCTAGGACTGGATCTCCGGGAAGTATCTCTGCCATAACGCTCAGGGGAGTAGTAGCCCCTCTGTCTGAAACGGGCCGCAAGAAGACCATGTTTCTCATGTAACTGGTGAACTTCCTGTCTGAGACCATCAACAGTGAGTGTTAGCTGTTCTACTGCTTGAAGGAGCTTATCCTCCGAGGGTCTGGGCCTGACCATTGCCACCTGGTCAGCAGACGTGACCCTGCAGGCGTGATCCGTGGAGTTTAACTGAAGAGCCACACGTGCCCTCTCACAGCGACTTGCTACACGCAGGGCCTCTTCAATGTCCTCTGCCCCCTGCTCATGTATTTTGGCCTGAAGTGACGGGTCCAAACCAGCCACAAAACGACGAAATTTCTCCCCCTCTATGGCATTGTGGTCATACCTCGGAAAAGCCTCCAACACCAATCGGGTTATATCTGCACTATAAACATCCAAGCTCTCCCAGGGGTTAACGAGGACGAGCATTTACATGAGTTTGGAAAAAGGGCAGGGAGTACTTTGGGCCAAAAACAACACCCAGCTTCACCTTGACCGTGTCATAATCCTTCTTTGTTGCTGAGGGTAAACTGTCCCAGAGCAAAAATGCAGCATCAGAAAGTCTAGTAGGTAGAATAGCAGATCTCATAGCAGAATAGTCCATATCCGGTGAACTCATAGCTTCAACGGCAACCTCAAAGCGACGAGCCCAACTGGAGAAAGATTCAGTGCCATCACCTTTGAATGGCGGCGGGAGGTCTATCTTCAGCGCTTCTGAGACCGCGCCTTGCGCCGACAACGTGGAGTCACTCAGAACCCCCGACAGCCGTACAGGGAGCCCTCGAGGAGGCGACGACTGCAGTTCATGCACTGTAACGTTGTCATCCATGGTGATAAGGGCACTTCACCACCCACACGCAAAAAAAAATTATATATGACAAAAAGAGCCGTAGCAAAAATCCGTAGTAGCTCCAAAACCGCACTTTAGCAGCTAGCCGTTCACAGAGAGACAACAACCGGAGCTCAAAACTCACCGGACGTCCAAATAACCAAAATAACCAACACCGCTGCCACCAAATGTAACGTGTAAGTTTGTGGTGATAGAAGGATGACTCTCAAGGTAATAGAACAGCAGGATGGAGCAGGATTCTTTTAAGCCAGCAGTCAGTTTTATTATCAACCCATTTTCAACTCTTCCCTTCCTCTCTTACGTCACCGTCACATGACCCATTTTACCCAATCACTGCACTGCTCCAAACTAACAAAGATATAACTCATCAAAATAATATCACTCTTACACAAGTGTTGTGAGAAATCACGTCGAAAGTTGCTTGTTCAAACTCGAAGCATGTATTATTGGGGTGATGTTTTTTCAAAGAGTTAATGTCCTTTCTATTTACCCGTTGACTACACATTTTGCAAATGTACAGCCCTGGCTCTTGGTTTATCAGGCTACTTAGCTGCATCATAGTTAGCCCGAGACATTCATAGTGCATGTACTTTTGGCAATTGGAGCATTTGACTTCTGCTTCATGGCGTGGCTTGTCGCACCAGCACATAGTGTCACCATCAGAGTCCAGTGGCATTCTGCTGCGTATGAGAAGTTTTGCCTATGAGCTGTATCCAGGCTAGCCCGGCAAGCTAGCCGGCTCTCACCCGGTTGACGCCTGTGTCAAATCCACTTGATATTCTTCAAGTAGACGAGGTCATGCACCAGAGAAGTTGCAATCCAGAAGATAATCCTGAAGATACTTGAGAAACTTGTTGTGGTGCGTTCTGGAAGATATTTAGGAGTGAAAATCCACACGGACTTGAGCAAACTGCGGCGAACCCGAATCTACAGCCGCAGCAGATATTATATGCCCATATAAGATTTCCTTATATGGGCATTTGTTCTGATGGCGTTAGCGTCATGATGCAACAGGGGCAGATGTGTTGCTATGACGGTTGCTAAGGCAAACTGAAGGCTAGATGCCTTCAGTTTGCCTTAGCAACCGTCATAGCAACACATCTGCATTGATCAATCCTTCTGTGGGTCATCTGGATTTACAACACAATACAAACAGCAGGCTCTCAGAGAGCGACAAACCACAGATTTAAGCAAAGAATAATGAGTGTGACATAAACAGTTACTGAGACAGGAGTGACCTTCTACACGTGAGTCAGTAGGAGCCAGGGGGAGGAGCCAAACTTCCCCATGAGCACTTCCTAGCTAGAGGGTCAGTATTGAGACACTGGGTCTGCATTGTCCGTCTGTATACAGTCTATGATCTATTCTCAGTTCAATAGTGGTTGGGTTTATTTGCATTTGTTTTTATTTTGTACATAAACATTGGCTCCTGTTCCTTTAACAGAAGAAAAGAAGTGTTTTGCAGCTGACAGATAAATCAGTGTTAAGGAATCTTTATATTTTATTTTAGCGTTTTATTCTTTATATTATACATGGTGAATGTACCGTAGACATTCCTTTGGTGCTAATGCTAATGCTACTTAAAGCTGCAGTACTTCACTTTACTTCTTGTTCTGGTCTGTGAAAGGCGGTGAAGAAATCAGACCTACACCTTCAGACTTGTGGCGCCCCCTGGAGTTCAAGGCCAGATCCTGTCAGACCTCTGAAGCTAAGCAGGACAGGGCATGATTAGTACTGTGATGGGAGACCTCTGGTAACAGCAGGTGCCACAGTGGGGCGGCTGCGGCTGTAAAGTGCCAAACTGTGTTTGTGTCCTTAGGCAAGACACTTCACCCACATTAGAATCAGTCTGGTGTGTGTGTGAATGGTTGGTGGTGGTGGGAGGGGCTGCAAGCACAGACTGGTTGCCTCGCTTCTGTCAATATGCCCCAGGGCAGCTGTGGCCACAATAGTAGATTATCACCACCGTGTATGGAGTAAGGAATAATGTAAACTCAAAGGAGAGCACCAGACTGCTACATTTTATGTTCTTTAAAATATAGATACCCCAGCTTTAATCATATGCGTCTTCCTTATGGTGATTGGTTTTGTTCATCAGTAAATAATGCTTTGAAGTATTACGTGTTACTACTGGGTCTGAGGAGTGACTTTTATATCTGTTAAACTAGGGTATATATTTCACATTTAAACACTTTTGTTTAAAATATATTAAACATGTTCTTCTGACACCAAACCAATACTGTGGGTCTTTCATATTTAATACGTAAAGTTACACCATCCTGCACCAATGTCTCTGTCAGGAGCAGAGGTCCTGAACCTACATATCTACAGCCTCAGTCCTGGATCTACAGCCTCAGTCCTGGATCTACAGCCTCAGTCCTGGATCTACAGCCTCAGTCTTGGGTCTGCAGCCTCATATCTGAGCTGCTCTAAAGTCCTCCCTCATCTGTGGACTGTGAGCTTTAATAACTGATGGAATGTTGGACAAAAAATAATCACAAAATGATTTACAAAACAGCATTTATAAATAGATTAGATTCAAGATTTGTACATGCAGGATGCAGTTCTTAAGGTAAACTCCAAGTGCAGACTTCACATAAAACATTTGAATAAATCAAATCAAAGGAGAATGAGGTGTTGTCTTTTAGACTTAGAATCACAGTGTGCGTTTGTGCAGGTCAGAGACCAGAGAGAGATCAGAGAGGCCATAGTGAAAAACCAAGGAGAGAAAAGAGAGACCATAGAGAGAGTCTATGGTGTGAGCACAGCTGGTGTCTCTCAGTATCCGGCTGCATAGCTCCACTTCCTGGAGTCAGACTGAGCGTGGAGCCCATCCTGATACTGCACCACGGCCTGCACCACTGCTCCACTCGCCTTCAGCAGTTCCGTTGGGTGGTTCTTCACCTCCAGACCTGTCAGGATGTTCTGGAAGAAAGACAGAGACAGTTTTCATAGCTCAGTATAGTTCAGTGCCACAGACCACAATTCAAGCTCCACGTCTCTACAAGATGTCTGCCCAGGTCACTTCAAGATATCCGCAAGATCACTGGTCTGTGCTCATTGGCTCACACTCGCACCACGGACGTCCAAAACGTAAGCAGGATTGACGCGTTCCGGCCAGCTCTGGTCTCTCTCTGGTCTCTCTCTGGTCTATCTCTGGTCTCTCTCTCTGGTCTCTCTCTCGTCTCTGTCTGGTCTATTTCTGGTCTCTCTCTCTGCTCTCTCTCTGGTCTCTCTCTGGTCTCTCTCTGGTCTATCTCTGGTCTATCTCTGGTCTCTCTCTGGTCTCTCTCTGGTCTTTCTCTGGTCTCTCTCTGGTCTCTTCTCTGGTCTCTTCTCTGGTCTCTTCTCTGGTCTATCTCTGGTCTCTCTCTCTGGTCTCTCTCTGGTCTCTCTCTCTGGTCTATCTCTGGTCTCTCTCTGGTCTCTCTCTCGTCTCTGTCTGGTCTATTTCTGGTCTCTCTCTCTGCTCTCTCTCTGGTCTCTCTCTGGTCTCTCTCTGGTCTCTCTCTGGTCTCTCTCTGGTCTATCTCTGGTCTATCTCTGGTCTCTCTCTGGTCTCTCTCTGGTCTCTCTCTGGTCTTTCTCTGGTCTCTCTCTGGTCTCTTCTCTGGTCTCTTCTCTGGTCTCTTCTCTGGTCTCTCTCTCTGGTCTCTTTCTGGTCTCTCTCTCTGGTCTCTCTCTGGTCTATCTCTGGTCTCTCTCTCGTCTCTGTCTGGTCTATTTCTGGTCTCTCTCTCTGCTCTTTCTCTGGTCTCTCTCTGGTCTATCTCTGGTCTATCTCTGGTCTATCTCTGGTCTCTCTCTGGTCTCTCTCTGGTCTCTCTCTGGTCTCTCTCTGGTCTCTCTCTGGTCTCTCTCTGGTCTTTCTCTGGTCTCTCCCTGATCTCTCCCGTTCTTGGGCAGTGGGTGCAGTGGTTCTACTTTCGCAGGACCAGAGAAACCAGAGATCAGACAGAGACCAGAAAGAGACCAGATCACATTAATAAGTCTGTTGTTGGTACTGAGTCATATCTTCCTGGTTCACCATGGGAGGTCTCACCTGGTCGAAGCCCGGCTCGGCCACGGTGGTGTTGGGGCTCAGCTGGTTATGAAGCCGACGATCCTCTACTGACCTCTTCACATCAAGACCAAAGAACAGAGCGTTGAGGATCACCTGCAGAAGAGACCAGAGTGAGCCCAAAGGGAGACGGGAGAGAGACCAGAGTGAGCCCAGAGAGAGACCGGAGAGAGACCGGAGAGACCAGAGAGACCCCAGAGGGAGACCAGAGAGACCAGAGTGAGCCCAGAGTAAGAACAGAGTGAGCCCAGAGTGAGCCCAGTGAGACAGAGTGAGACCAGAGAGAGAGACCAGAGTGAGACCAGAGAGGGGAACCAGAGAGAGAGACCAGGTAGATACCAGAGAGAGAAGAGAGAGACCAGCGAGGGACCAGAGTGAGACCAGAGAGAGAGACCAGGGAGACCAGAGAAAGAAGAGAGAGACCAGAGAAAGACCAGAGAGAGAGACCAGAGACCAGAGAGAGACCAGAGAGAGAGACCAGAGAGAAACAAGACAGAGACAAGACAGAGACCAGAGAGACACCTGAGCGATGGAGGTGGTGATCTTAGTTCCTCCTGATCCTCCAACCACCATCTTCACTTTGTTGTTGTGGTCGAGGAGGATGGTGGGACACATGGAGGACATCGGCCTTTTGCCTGAACAGAAACACAGCAGATGCTCAGACGTCTCTGAAGCAGGATGTGTGAGGTCCACACAGAGGGACCTGGGGTCAATGACACTGTGGTCCTGGTTCTATCCAGGCCCAGCTGGTCCTGAAGTGTTCTAACTGTCAGTGATTGGCCAGAATGCTGTGGAAGTCATGGTTACCAAGGAATTTCCCTGGACACTTGTTTGTTCCTGCAAGGTTGCTAGTCAGCAGTACCAGATACTAAAGCATAGAGCAGAGTAGAGTAGAGTACAGTATTGTAAAGTAGAGTACAGTACAGTACAGTATTGTAAAGTAGTGTAGAGTAGAGTAGAGTAGAGTAGAGTAGAGTAGAGTAGAGTACAATGCAGTAGAGCAGAGTAGAGTACAGTACAGTACAGTACAGTACAGTAGAGTTGAGCAGAGTAGAGTAGAGTAGAGTACAATACAGTAGAGTAAAGTAGAGTAGAGTAGAGTAGAGTAGAGTACAGTATTGTAAAGTAGAGTAGAGTAGAGTACAGTATTGTAAAGTAGAGTAGAGTAGAGTAGAGTAGAGTAGAGTAGAGTAGAGTAGAGTAGAGTAGAGTAGAGTACCCCTGACCTGGCCTGATGAAGTTGTTGGGAGATGGTGGGACCCCGAAGCCGTTGGTGATCAGAGGAGAGCTGAAGTCGTCCATCTCGTTGTTCAGGAGGATCCCAGTCGAGCGAGACATGACCTTCGACCCCAGACTGAGGAACACAGGGCTATTCATTAGTGCCACCCACTGGGGAAATGTCAGTATTGCAACGCCAGGTACAGGGCAGAAGGAAGGAGCAGCACACAGATACATGGATATTAGGTATAACACGACTTTAGGAGACATCATAAAATAAAATATCTGTCTGTAGCTTAGTAAAGAAGCAAGGAAAACACACTGCAGAGACCCCAGAGCACACAAAGACACACAGAGACCACAGAGCATACAAAGAAACACACAGAGACCACACAGAGACACACAGAGACACACACAGAGACACACACTGAGACCACACTGAGACCACACAGAGACACACAGAGACACACAGATCCACACAGATCCACACAGAGACCACACAGAGACACACAGAGACACACAGAGACACACAGAGACCACACAGTGAGACACACAGAGAGACACACAGAGACACACACAGAGACACACACAGAGACACACAGAGACCACACAGAGACACACACAGAGACACACACAGAGACACACACTGAGACACACACAGAGACACACACTGAGACCACACAGAGACACACACAGAGACACACACAGAGACACACAGAGACCACACAGAGACCACACAGAGACACACAGAGACACACAGAGACACACAGAGACACACAGAGACCACACAGAAACACACAGTGAGACACTCAGAGACCACACAGAGACACACAGAGAGACACACAGAGACCACACAGAGACACACACAGAGACACACACAGACACACACTGAGACCACACAGAGACACACAGAGACACACATACAACTGGTTGATGGTGCTGGTCGCGGCCACAGCGCTCCCGTCCTCAGAGACCACAGAGATGTGGGCCGTCCCGTGGGTCTCAGGGAGGTAGAACTCGGGCTCGTAGTACTGTATGGGGTGAGTGGTGTCGTCCGTGATCTTACTGCGCAACTCGTCCGCGAACCAAAGGGACGTCATGTTGAGAATCACCTGAGAGAGAGAGTGAGAGACCACAGAGGCATCATGTTGAGAATCATCTGAGAGAGGGAGAGAGAGACAGAGACATCATGTTGAGAATCACCTGAGAGAGAGACCACACACAGAGAGAGAGTGAGAGACCAGAGAGAGCAAGAGAGAGACCAGAGAGAGAGAGAGAAAGAGACCAGAAAGCGAGCACACAGAGGCATCATGTTGAGAATCACCTGAGAGAGAGAAAGAGTGAGAGAGACCAGATAACTAAAATCATTGTGTAAAGAGGCTGTATATAGAGCCCCCTGCTGGAGGAGTGTGGAAACAGCCTTGTCCTCTCTTACTTCAGTCCTGGATCTACAGCCTCAGTCCTGGATCTACAGCCTCAGTCCTGGATCTACAGCCTCAGTCCTTGCTCTACAGCCTCAGTCCTGGATCTACAGCCTCAGTCCTGGATCTACAGCCTCAGTCCTTGCTCTACAGCCTCAGTCCTTGCTCTACAGCCTCAGTCCTTGGTCTACAGCCTCAGTCCTGGGTCTACAGCCTCAGTCCTGGGTCTACAGCCTCAGTCCTGGGTCTACAGCCTCAGTCCTTGGTCTACAGCCTCAGTCCTGGGTCTACAGCCTCAGTCCTGGGTCTACAGCCTCAGTCCTGGGTCTACAGCCTCAGTCCTGGGTCTACAGCCTCAGTCCTTGGTCTACAGCCTCAGTCCTTGGTCTACAGCCTCAGTCCTGGGTCTACAGCCTCAGTCCTGGGTCTATAGCCTTATGTAAGTTGCCAGTTGCTGTTAAAATGACGCAGGAATGTAAACAGTGTCACACCCAGCCCTGAGTTTGTCCTGTTTCTGTCTAAACTCCAGCAGGTGGATGGCATCAGTAATCAGTATTGCACCCGTCGGACACCCGCGTCTGTATTTGACCCGTCCGTCTGCTCTGACTCGACTCTGGGTCGATAACTACAGACACTGAGACGTCCTCTTCTGGTTTTATCAAAGTGTGTGCGCTGATAAAGAGGAAACATCTTATCAGACCGTTATATAATCTACAACTGGGACATACACCAGGTGGTCTAGACCTCAGACCTTAGACCTTCAAGACCTCAGACCTTCAAGACCTCAGACCTCAGACTGCAGACCTCAGACCTTCACGCCTTCAGATTTCTTTGTGGGTCTAGTGTGTGCATGTGCAGGTGTGTGTGTGTTTGTGTCTATTTATGTGTCTGTGTGTCTCTGTGTGTGTCTCTGTGTGTGTCTTTGTGTGTCTTTGTGTGTCTCTGTGCGTGTCTCTGTGTGTCTCTGTGTTTCTTTTTGTGTGTCTCTGTGTGTGTCTCTGTGTGTCTTTGTGTGTGTCTGTGTGTGTGTCTGTGTGTGTCTAGTGTGTGTCTTTGTGTGTGTCTTTGTGTGTCTCTATGTTTGTCTTTGTGTGTGTGCTGAAAAATCATTGGAGCACAGAGGTTGTCTTCACATTCTTTAACATTAACAAAGAAAGTGTCTTCTGGGACTGAAACAAACTGGACCAAAAGCAACAACGTTTTGTGTCACACTTTGATGTCCACTAGGGGGCCGCGGAATACCATTTTACAGGCCACAAATGGCTCGCGGGCCACGTGTTTGAGATCACTGCTGTAGATTGCTGGATGAAGCCTCGGTCCTCACCTGTGAGATGTTCAGGTACCGAGGGTCTCCGAGTAACGTCCGTTTGGCGTACGCAAACTTGAACGCCTCCACGACACGATGGTACGTGAGAGTCCTCTGCTCCAGACCAGAAACACTGTCAGCGCTGAGATTATACCCTGCAGAGAGACACACCTGGGTCTACAGCCTCAGTCCTGGGTCTAGAGTCTCAGTCCTGGGTCTACGGCCTCAGTCCTGGGTCTAGAGTCTCAGTCCTGGGTCTACGGCCTCAGTCCTGGGTCTAGAGTCTCAGTCCTGGGTCTACGGCCTCAGTCCTGGGTCTAGAGCCTCAGTCCTAGGTCTACAGCCTCAGTCATGGATCTACAGCCTCAGTCCTGGGTCTACGGCCTCAGTCTGGGGTCTACAGCCTCAGTCCTGGATCTACAGCCTCAGTCCTGGGTCTGGAGCCTCAGTCCTGGGTCTACGGCCTCAGTCCGGGGTCTACAGCCTCAGTCCTGGATCTACAGCCTCAGTTCGGGGTCTACGGCCTCAGTCCTGGGTCTACAGCCTATTTACTGGATCTACAGCCTCAGTCCTGGGTCTACAGCCTATTTACTGGATCTACAGCCTCAGTCCTGGGTCTACGGCCTCAGTCCTGGATCTACAGCCTCAGTCCTGGGTCTGGAGCCTCAGTCCTGGGTCTACGGCCTCAGTCCTGGGTCTACGGCCTCAGTCCTGGGTCTACGGCCTCAGTCCTGGGTCTACAGCCTATTTACTGGATCTACAGCCTCAGTCCTGGGTCTACAGCCTATTTACTGGATCTACAGCCTCAGTCCTGGGTCTACAGCCTCAGTCCTGGGTCTACAGCCGCCAACACTGACCGTTTAGGATGTTGAGTATGAGGGAGAGCACAGGGCCGCTGGCCGGTGCGTTGGGGACCGCCATGGAAAAGTCTCCCACAGGGACCCTCAGAGGCTCCTCCACCAGCGCCACATAGTCCTTCAGGTCCTCCTCCGTGATGATCCCACCTGAGCACCAGAAAGAGAGATTTGTTTAATTTTCTACTGACAAAACACAGAGCAACCAGAGAGCGACCAGAGAGAGACCAGAGAGAAACCAGAGAGAGAGACCAGAGAGAGACCAGAGAGAAACCAGAGAGAGAGACTAGAGAGAGACCAGAGAGAAAGACCAGAGAGATAGACCAGAGAGAGAGACCAGAGAGAGACCAGAGAGAGACCAGAGAGAGACCAGTGAGAGAGATCAGAGAGAGATCAGAGGTAGACCAGAGAGAGAGAGAGACCAGAGAGAGACCAGTGAGAGACCAGAGAGAGATCAAAGAGAAACCAGAGAGTAAAAAAAAAAAAAAAAAGTCACGTTATCTGAACAATATTTTTGCTGTAGTTTGAGTTGTGTGTGATTTGTGCGATACAAATAAATACCTGCCCTCTGGATGTCTGACACCAGCTTGCGTGCCAGCTCTCCTGTATAGAACACATCTGGTCCGTCCTCTGCAATGGTCTTGTAGGTTTTGGCGAGCTGCGGGAATTTGATGGTTTGGTTTTCTTTGAGAACGTCTCCGTCTGGTCCACAAAACACTTCACTACAGAGAGAGAGACCATGTAAGAGACCAGAAAGACCAGAGGGAGAGAGACCAGAGTGAGACCAGAGAGAGACTAGAGGAAGACCAGAGAGAGACCCAAGAAAAACCAGAGAGAGGCCAGAGAGCGACAAGAGAGAGACTAGAGAGAGACCAGAGAGAGACCAGAGTCCCAGAGAGAGAGAGAGAGAGGCCAGTGAGAGAGAGAGACTGTAGACCAGAGAGAAACCAGAGGGACTGTCAGAGGGAACAGAGGGAGACCGGAGAAAGCCCAGGGAGCAACCAGAGAGACCAGAAAGACCCGAGAGAGCGGAGAGAGACCAGAGGGAGACCAGAGAGAGAGAGAGAGACCAAAGACCACAGAGAAACCAGAGGGACAATCTATGAGACCAGAGAGACCAGGGAGAGAACAGAGAGGAACCAGAGAGAGACCAGAGAGAGAGAGAGAGAGACCAGAGAAACCAGAGAGAGACCTGAGAGAAACCAGTGAGAGACCAGAGTGAGACCAGAGAGAGACAAGAGAGAGACCAGAGGTAGACCAGAGAGAGACCAGGGAGGAACCAGAGAGAGACCACAGAGAGAGAGAGACACCTGAGAGAAACCAGAGGGAGACCAGAAAGAGACCAGAGAGAGACACCAGAGACTCACCATAACGCCAGATCAGCAATGATTGTTTTTCTGTGACTTTTCAGAGCTGAGGCCAGAGCGCGACCCAGAGGGAAACCTGCCTCTGCCAGCTCTATACTGGGCTGGAACAGGTCCCGCCAGGGCAGACGACCGTGGCGCTGGTGAGCCACCTGGTATCCCCTGATCTCCCCTGGTACGGCTACGGACAACCCACCTGTCCACCACACACAGCACAGGAGAGAGAGGAGGATAATTTAGTTTTATGAAACGCTCTGCTCTCCTCAACATATAACAACGTCCTAAGACCAAATATTGTGTATAGATCAGATGGACAATGCTAACATGCTAGCTTACCTCAACCGGGAAGTGCTCATAGTGAAGTTTGGCTCCTCTCTCTGGCTCCTACTGACTCATATGTGAAAGTAAATTCCTCTCGCTCAGCTTAAATCTGTGGTTTCTCTGTGATCCTGCATTTATTTGTGAAATTGTCTTTTTAAATTAGATTGTAAAGCCGTTGAAGGATCGACCAATCAGATGCCTTAAGTAAGTAAGTAATCTTTTAATTATATTGCGCCTTTCACAGACTAGAGTGGGCCTTTGTCCTTTCACTCCACACAGAGATGGGAGCGAGATCACTGTACAGGAGGCGACCTATTGTACATGTTTTAAGAGGTAGGGGGAAATCGGAGCACCCAGAGGAAACCTTCACAGACATGTGGAGATCTCAGAAAGGCTCTGTTCCGACCTGGATTCGAACCCAGGACCTTTCTTGCTGGATAGATAGATAGATTCTTTATTGATCCCGTACGAGAAATTGAGGTGTCCAGTAGCAGCAAAAATAAAGAATAACATTGATCATTCTAAGAAGCTAGCAATAGTAATAATCAGCAACAGCCCTTCAGGTCACAGCAGCAGAGGTTGAGTAGCCGCTTGGTTCGAACCATTTTCTCTGCTCTAGTCCAAAGTAAATTCAAAAAGTTAGCCTTCCTCCAGTGGATTTTCACCTGATTCACTTGGTTCGGACCATGAATCCTCTCTGCTCTGGTCTGGACCAGTGTAAAACCATGAATACTGTACTACAGCAACATCTCAAAAAATAAAAATTGTAAAACACAAAACAACAACTGTTTCAGAGCTACTTAGGACCTGCTGCCGTTTCACAGCGCATTCAAGCGTAAGAGAGAAGCTATTACAAAGACAATATAATTATACAAAATATTTGTATTGTTCTGTCCTGAATAATTATAATATCCAAATTGAGCTTCACTAGCAAGTCTGCATTGAGTTCTCTGGTTAGCATTGAGCTAGTGGGTTAGCATTGAGTTCTCTGGTTAGCATTGAGCTAGTGAGTAAGCATTGAGCGAGTGGGTTAGCATTGAGCTAGTGGGTTAGCATTGAGCTAATGTGTTAGCATTGAGCGAGTGGGTTAGCATTGAGCGAGTGGGTTAGCATTGAGCTAGTGGGTTAGCGTAGATGTGTTTACAGACTTCCCTTGTGACAAACGCAGTAAACCTTCTGGAGCAAAGAGAATGAACAGTTCACTGAGGATCAAAGGTAACGAGATTCTTTATACGAACAAATGAGTTAAACATTACCAGACCTACTCCAACTGCTCCCACTAATGTCTGCTGTCATTGTGTCCCTGGGCAAGACACTTGACCCCACGTTGCCTGAAACCCCTGCTGAGAGACCAGAGAGAGACACCAGGGAGGGACCAGAGAGAGACACCAGAGAGGGACCAGAGAGGGAGACCGGTGAGGTACCATGGAGAGAGATTAGAGAGAGAGACCAGTGAGAGAGAGACCAGAGAGAGACCAGAGAGAAAGACCAGAGAGAAAGACCAGAGAAAGAGACCAGAGAGAGACACCAGAGAGGGACCAGAGAGGCAGACCAGCGAGGGACCATACAGAGAGAGACCAGATAGAGAGACCAGAGTGAGACATTACCTCTCTGTGACAGGTCTGTGCTGTTCCCAAACATGTTTTCCGTCGCGTTCCGAGGAGCCACCTCTCGGGCGTTGATGATCTCCACTTTACCTGAAGAATAACGCTGGATTAGATATTTAATAATAACAATAATCAGAATAATAATCATAATCATAATGGATCATCATAATAATAATCATCATAATAATATTACAGTGAACTATGTGGTGCTGGTTGTTGTGTCTGTTACTGTCATGTCTCTTTCAGGAAACAATAAACATTTATTCTAATCATAAAAGACGGAAAAGTACACCGTGGACCACAACAAACTAAGCTCAGCCCTACTCTACTCTACTCTACTCTACTCTACTCTACTCTACTCTACTCTACTCTACACTACTCTACTCTACTCTACTCTACTCTACTCTACTCTACTCTACTCTACTCTACTCTACTCTACACTACTCTACTCTACTCTACTCTACTCTACTCTACTCTACTCTACTCTACTCTACTCTACTCTACTCTACTCTACTCTACTCTACTCTACTCTACTCCACTCTGCTCTATTCTACTCTACTCTACTCTACTCTACTCTGCTACATTCTACTCTACTCTGTTCTTCATTTTTCCTGAATTATTTTCAGTTCTGGAATTTTGTGTTTTATTTTTATTTAATTGATTCTTTGACACTTTTCTTTCATTGCTCCATTTAGGGTTTATTTTTTTGTCACTTAATTTATTTTTGTTACTTGACAATAAATCTTGTACCAGTCTGTGCCTGTGAATCTCTTTGTGAATGTGCTATACAGATAACCTTGCCTGCAAGCTGAATTCTCGCGGTATTTGTGAGTTCACAAACACTCGAGAATACATCTTGTACCGCTCCCGCTTACACTTTTCGAGTCGAACCACTGGGTGTGCGAGCCAATCACGCGCCAGTCTGGGGGTTTAGGGCGGGATATCCGGGTTTGACGAAAGCAAGAAGTGCCGGGCCGAAGCAAAACAAACATGGCTACGCAGGAGGACGGACGCAAAGTCAGTTTTAGCAGAATCTCCAATTTCTTTTTTGAAAGATGAACAGCGAGAGGCGCTTTGTACATTTCTGGACGGCAACCTTGGTAGGCGGGCACACAGCGTCACTTCGCCCAATCAGCTTCAAGTATTCTGCTGCTTACCCCTCCTTTCCCCGAAAGGATTCTCCGGGAGAAATCCCAGATTGATATCGCGGAGAACGCGTTAGAGTTCTACACAATCATCAATCTGGCTTTTGCCAGGTTACTATACAGATAACTTTGACAAAAACGGTACCAGTCTGAGAGTTGTAGATGGTGAGGAACAGGCCTCCCCCGATGCCCATGCTGTGGGCGTTGACCAGACCCACGCACAGAAGAGCCGCAATGGTCCCGTCCACCGCCGACCCCCCCTTCTTTAGGATGTCCCTGAAACCAGATCTCACTCGGTCACACATGGTCCAGTCTCAGCTCATGTGTAAAACGATGGTACCGGCCGTCTGACCTGCCGACCTCGGAGCACCTCCCGGCGTCCGCGGCCACAGCTGCCTTGAAGAAGACCGTGTCGCCGGAGGAGGATCTGTGACTGACGCCGAAGAAGACGCCGAGAAACGTGGCGACGGAGGCCAGTAGCAGCAGCAGCACGGCCAGGACGACCACCGCCTTCCCCATGTCTCACCCCTGTCTCAACCCTGTCTCACCTCCTCTTTCTCACTTCTGTCTCACCTCTGTCTCACCTCTTTCTCACTTCTGTCTCACCTCTGTCTCACCTCTGTCTTACCCCTGTCTCTTCTCTGTCTCACGTTAATCTCACGTCTGTCTCACCTCTGTCTCACGTTAATCTCACCCCTGTCTCACCTCTGTCTCACCCCTGTCTCACCTCTGTTTTGCCTCTGTCTCACCTTTATCGCTCCTCTGTCTCACCTTTATCTCACCTCTGTCTTACCCCTGTCTCACCTCTGCCTCACCCCTGTCTCACCTTAATCTCACTCCTGTCTCACCTCTGTCTCACCCCTGTCTCACACATAGGTACATGAACTTGAAACCTTTGGCCTGACTCAGCATTGGAGAGGCCCCACCCACAACAGAGGGCCCACTCCAGACCTGGTTAATATTTCAAATGTAAATATAGTGGATGTTGCTCTGTTGGTTCACTTCTGTGTATTTTTGGACATGTGTTTCGATAGCAAACCACCAGCTGAATCTGCAATTGTAAGAACATAAATGAAAACACAAGTGAATGTTCATGGGAATTATACATTTTGAGAATTGTATCGTGTTCTACTGTAGAAGAACTGTTAAACTCTGTAGTGTTTCAAATGTTCTAGACGCAATCGCTCCTGTGAAGGTTAAAAGCATGAGAAAAAATAAGTAGAAGGCGCCGTGGACTAAAGCGGACTCTGTCAGAGCACAGAAGAGAGAGCTTTATCTGAAACTGCCGTAGCGATCTGCGTTCACAACCTCCCTGTTAGGCTGCCATTAGAGCAAACTTGATAACTTAAATGTAATCTAATGTTTGCAACTCACTTTGCACCTGTAGATGATAAAACCGTCCAAGGGATAATCACAACTCTGAGTTCCTCCACATGAAGCCTGGATGAACTACCCACTAGATTTCTGAAGTTTGTTCTGAGGCAAACCAAGTGGAAGGTACAGGATTGAAACAAAGTCTCAATCTTAATCCTGATAGATCTGAGTGCAGCTTTTACAGTTTTTCTCAGTCGCTTTGGTGCATTTCTCACATCATTCTTCACATTTGCACAAGGTAGTGCATTTCTCAGAACAATTAGTGCAAACTGCAAAACCTGGTGGATAGCCTGCAAAAGTGCATCACTTTCTCCAAATGAAAAGTTAATTCCTCAAAAGCAAGTCTTCATGTCAATGAAACTGTCTGTGTCTCAGAATAATAAGTCCTAACAACACTGAGTATCAACAACAGACACATGACTTAGTCACGTTTTCATTATGAAAGTTTACTCTCTCTGTGTTTTCAATGTAAAAAAGTCAGATCTCAGTGACACTTGAGCACGACTATGAGCACACAGTACACAACCTATACAGACATTTACAGTAAAAACTACAGTAAAGTTACAAGACTGTATTTAGAGGCAACTGACATATGTATGTATGTACTGTATGTATGTGTGTATCTATGTATGTGTTTATGTACTTACTGTATGTATGTGTACTGCATGTCTTTCCCATATTTACTGCATATGCTCCTTGCAATTCTACAGCATTGTGCAACATACTGTACATGTATATACATAGAGCAAACATACAAGAAATTTCAGTATGGTCGAACTGTGACAAATGTAAACAATAAAACACACACCTCCTCAAGAGTGAAAGCTGAAATTCACCTGCGAGAAATTGTTCAATTTAGGAAAGATTTACGGGAAAGCTAGTTCAACAATTGGTTATATAGAAAATGACTATTCAGAAGTGATATGTTTCATTTTGACTGACTGGACAGAAGCAAATGATACTGTTAAAAAACAGCAGAAAAACTGTTACACTTCCAAAAGCATTTGAAATTTTTTCAAAGGAGAAACTGCTACAATGATGCGCATAAATTACTCAATGTTCTGGAGGTTGAACTAATAATTTTGAGAACTTTAAGTCTGAGAAATGCACCAAAGCCACAGAGAAAAACTGTAACACTGTAGACCATGAGATCTTCTCACTGAGACTAGACTGGGTGGTCCTCACAGAGACTAGGAAGGAAACTGGAAACTGGTCGGCACTAGATCATAAACGGAATCGGGACGAAACCGGAAGCAACAATCCTACTTAGTTTTAGACTAAAAAGTCCTTAAGTGGTGACTGGTTAAGTTTTAGGTGTCTGATTAAGATGGTTAAGTGTGGGTTGGGGTTATTTTATGGGAATGGCTCGTTAAGTTTAGGCATGAATAGGTGGTTTGTTATATTTACTTCCGCTTCCGTCCCAATTCCGTAGATGATCTAGTGCTGACCATTAGAAACTGTGTCTCAGATCATACGGCCCTGACCTGTGGAGTACCACAGGGGTCTTTCAATCAGGATTCAGAGCTCATCATAGCACTGAAACGGCCCTAGTCAAAGTCACAAATGACTTACTACTAGCTGCTGATAATGGACAAGTGTCAGTGCTGGTCCTACTGGACCTTAGTGCTGCAATTGACACAATAGACCACAGCATTCTACTGCAGAGGCTAGAATGTGATATAGGTCTTAGAGGAACAGCCCTTGGCTGGTTTAAATCCTATTTATCAGATCGGTATCACTTCGTCAACGTAAATCAGAACTCGTCACCTTATTCTGGAGTAGAATTCGGTGTGCCGCAGGGTTCGGTACTCGGACCGATTCTTTTCACTCTCTACATGCTGCCGTTAGGAAACATTATTAAAAAGCATGGAATTAATTTCCACTGCTATGCAGATGACACACAGCTTTATCTGTCGATGAAGCCAAATCAGACGGATCAGCTGGAAAAGCTTAGTGCCAGCATAAAGGACACTAAAATGTGGATGACTCTTAACTTCCTACTTTTCAACCCGGAGAAGACAGAAGTGATCCTACTCGGTCCGAAGCGCCTGTGTGACTCCCTCACTAACCAGATGGTTACTCTCGATAATGTCAGTATAATACCCAGTAACACTGTGAGGAATCTTGGAGTCATTTTTGACGAAGAACTCTCCTTCAAGGCTTATATAAGCCAAGCGACTAAAACGGCGTACTTCCACCTACGGAACATCGCTAAAATTAGGAATCTCCTTCCTAAAAGTGACGCGGAAAAACTTATTCACGCTTTTGTCACCTCACGACTTGACTACTGTAACGCTTTATTGGCAGCATGCCCTAAAACCTCTTTGAAGAGCTTCTAGCTCGTTCAGAATACAGCAGCTAGGATCTTAACAGGTACCAAAAGGAGGGAGCACATAACTCTGGTGTTAAAATCACTCCACTGGCTCCCTGTGGAGTACAGAATAAAGTTTAAAATCCTTCTCTTAACATATAAAGCCATAAATGGCTTGGCTCCCTCTTATCTCCAAGACACGTTAGTGTCGTATCAACCAAGTCGAGCGTTGCGCTCACAAAACGCCAGACGTCTGGTGGTTCCTAAGGTCTCAAAAATCACTGTCAGCGGCAGAGCATTTAGCTCCAAGCTCCTTTACTGTGGAATCAGCTTCCCATTTATGTTAAGGAAGCAGATACGGTCTCCACATTCAAGGCCAAGCTTAAACTTTAATTTTGCATATAATTAGGTAATATATAATATATGGTGTATATATTATATATATATATGTATTATGTTGTGTACTGTGTTATGTTGTATATTATGAATGAAATAAATACTGTATTTCATTCATTTCATTCATATATTATGCTGTATATTATGTTATGTATTATACTATATATAATATATATAATATGTATGGTACATGTGATATATATGATATATAATATATAATTGGGTTTGCCTGGATCGGTTTGCACACCTGGTGTGCAATCCATGAATCTTGGTGCTGTAACCTAGGCTAGACTAGCCGTGGCTGCTGCTGTCTCACCTCCTTTCAGATACGCTCTCTTTATTCAAGGCTAGGTTTAAAACAGTCCTCTTTAGTTTAGCATATGGCTAGGAAGGTAAGACTCAGGGAAGGCTAAACTCCTCAGACTGTCAGTCAAGCTGCATAGGGAGTCAGTTTGCTGGGAGAAGTATGGTAACTTGAGCACTATCCTCTCCTCCTTCCTACTTTACATGTTTAGCATTATTAGGATTTTGACTGTAGTTTGTTCATTGCTATTCACCCGTTGTCCCATTGTCTGTTTCATGGTACGATGACGGGATCTCTGAGCCTGGCCTCCTCCATCTACACCTGCGGACTGCCCCGCCCGACCCGCCTGGGAGTGCTTCAGTCCTGCACCGGACCTGTCCACGTTCAGCGTCCACTGGTCCACGTTCTGTAGCTAGCTTAGGTCCTGGATCATTAGCCTGTCCGTCCGGAGGAGCGGATCCCTTTCTCATATGGGTCTCCCTCCCTGTGGGTTTCCCTAGTTCTCCCCAAGGTTTCTCACTTTTTCCCACTGGGTTTTTTAGGAGTTTTTCCTTGTCGACGCAGGAGGGTCTTGTTGGACAGTTAGTGTCCAACAGAAAGGATTGGTGATGATCAGGACACTTTAGCATTCTACAACATGTATGGACATTTTCTTCTGTGTGTGCTTTATATTCTTCATGTGTTTTAACTGTTGATTCTCTGACCTGTGTTGGTGATTTCAATGGTTTTGTAAAGTCCTCTGAGATGACTTCTGTTGTGACCTAGGGCTATACAAGAATAAATTGTATTGTATTGTATTGTATTGTATCTTGGGACCTCTTCTGTTCAGTCTCTACATCCTGCCGTTAGGTCAGCTAATACACAGGAACAACACAGACAACACTTACAGTAGATCTATGTCTCACTGAGACATGAGGACATGGACAGAGGACTCACTGAGACAGGAGGACATGGACAGGACTCACTGAGACATGAGGACATGGACAGAGGACTCACTGAGACAGGAGGACATGGACAGGACTCACTGAGACATGAGGACATAGACAGGACTCACTGAGACATGAGGACATGGACAGGACTCACTGAGACATGAGGACATGGACAGGACTCACTGAGACAGGAGGACATGGACAGGACTCACTGAGACAGGAGGACATGGACAGGACTCACTGAGACAGGAGGACATGGACAGGACTCACTGAGACATGAGGACATGGACAGAGGACTCACTGAGACAGGAGGACATGGACAGGACTCACTGAGACATGAGGACATGGACAGGACTCACTGAGACAGGAGGACATGGGCAGGACTCACTGAGACAGGAGGACATGGACAGGACTCACTGAGACAGGAGGACATGGACAGGACTCACTGAGACAACAGGACATGGACAGGACTCACTGAGACAGGAGGACATGGACAGGACTCACTGAGACAACAGGACATGGACAGGACTCACTGAGACAGGAGGACATGGACAGGACTCACTGAGACATGAGGACATGGACAGGACTCACTGAGACATGAGGACATGGACAGGACTCACTGAGACAGGAGGACATGGACAGGACTCACTGAGACAGGAGGACATGGACAGGACTCACTGAGACAGGAGGACATGGACAGGACTCACTGAGACAGGAGGACATGGACAGGACTCACTGAGACAGGAGGACATGGACAGGACTCACTGAGACAGGAGGACATGGACAGGACTCACTGAGACAGGAGGACATGGACAGGACTCACTCCTTCATCTAACAGATCAGTGAATAAAACAACTTACTGCAGCTAAACACAGACAAAACTGAAATGATTGTCTTTGGTCCAGTCTCTGCCCCTAAAACCCTCAAATCAGGTCAGAAATCTAGAGGGTAATAATGGACACCAGCTGCTTTTAACACCAACACGACTTTTTAAAATATAGAAATAGACTAGTTATCTCTAGCTACAACAGCGGCAGTTCGTTCAAAACACTGCAGCTCGAGTCCTGACTAGAACAAGGAAGTACCATGGCATTAGTCCTGGTCTCGGGTCTCAGTCCTGATGTCGCATTCAGAAGGAGCACAGGGACTGGTTCTACTCTGACAATGTTCAAATCCTGGTTGAAGACTTTTCTGGTCTTTGTCCTTGGTCTTTCTCTAGTCTCTCTCTGGTTGGGTTTTTATGTAGTCTCTCTCTGGTCTTCTGTAGTCTCTCTCTAGTCTCTCTTTGGTCTTTCTCAGGTCTCTTTCTGGTTTCTCTCTAGTCTCACTCTCTGGTCTCTCTCTCTGGTCTCTCCCTCCTCTCTTTGAGTTTAAAAGTATGCTAACTTTCCCGGATAAAGCGCTGATAGTATCTGGTGACGGATTCCAAAACCAAAAACATTTAAAACCAGTGTAAAACAGTCTGTGTCTCCTTGACTTATGGTTCTGTAGTCTCTGGTAGTCTTACCGTGTGTGCTCCTGACCTGTGCAGAGCTGAGCTGGACTGGACGTCTGCCTGGACTGATCCCAGACCTGTCACACATTGAACATTAACCACACACTGTTGTGAAGAGTCCCACGTCTGTGAGACCAGAGGCACAACCAGAGGCACAACCAGCAACACCTACACCCCCACCACGCTACTCTCAGGGTCTTTATAGGGCACTTTCACTGGTATCTCTCTGCTTTTTCACTGGTCTCTCTGGTCTCTCTCTCTCTCTCCAGTGTCTCTCTGGTCTCTCTCTGGTCTTTCTCAGGTCTCTTTGGTCTCTCTCTGGTCTCTCTCTGGTCTCTCTCTGGTCTCTCTCTCTGGTATCTTTGGTCTCTCTCCAGTGTCTCTCTGGTCTCTCTCTCTGGTCTCTCTCTGGTCTCTCTCTAGTCTCTCTAGTCTCTTTGGTCTCTCAGATCTCTCTCTGGTCTTTCTCTGGTCTCTCTCTGGTCTCTCTCTCTGGTCTCTCTCAGGTCTCTCTCTCTGGTCTCTCTCAGGTCTCTCCTGGGTCCCTCTCGGGTCTCTCTGGTCTCTCTCTTGTCTCTCTCTGGTCTCACTCTGGTTTCTCTCAGGTATCTCTCTGGTCTCTCTTTCTGGTCTCTTTTCAGTAGCAGTTTCCTGAAGTCACTACAAAGTGAAAGACTTTTATCACAGAAACTGTTAAAGGAAAAACAAAAGATTAACCTGCTGCTCACAAATACATGATATATGACTGATTACTGGACAAAGTACATGTTGTTTTACTACTACTGCGGAAGAGACCAGAGAGAGACCAGAGAGAGCAGAGAAAGACCAGAGAGAGACCAGAGAGGGACCAGAGAGAGAGAGACCAGAGAGAGACCAGAGAGTCCAGAGAGAGACCAGAGAGAGACCAGAGAGAGACCAGAGAGAGACTAGAGAAAGAATGGTGTATTTGTAATTATTGTTACATTATTATTATTATTATTTCCTTTGTTTTATTTATCTCCCTCTCAGGTCTATTTTTGTGGTCTCTCTCTCTCTCCCTGGTCTCTTTTTCTTTGCACTCTCATGCTGTCCCTCTGCTCTCTCTCTGGTCTCTCTCTCTGTTCTTTCTCCCTGCTCTCTCTCAGGTCCCTTTGCCCTCCCTCTGCTCTCTCTCTGTTCTCTCTCTCTCTCTGCTCTCTCTGTCAGGTCTCTCTGCTCTCTCTCTGCTCTCTCTCTGTTCTCTCTCTCTCTGCTCTCTCTCTCTCTGCTCTCTCTCTCTCTCTCTCAGCTCTCTCTGCTCTCTCTCTCTGCTCTCTCTCTCTCTCTCTGATCTCTCTCTCTCAGGTCTCTCTCTCTGATGTCTCTCTCTGCTCTCTCTCTTCTCTCTCTCTGCTCTCTCTCTCTGCTCTCTCTCTGCTCTCTCTCTCTGCTCTCTCTCTCGCTCTCTCTGCTCTCTCTCTGCTCTGCTCTCTCTCAGGTCTGTTATGATCGTTAAACATATCCATAGATTACAGTACTCACAGTTCTTGTCCATGCTGCCTCTGGATCCTCCTGCGTCCTCGCGTCCCACAGACGCTGCAGGAAAAGCCAAATGTCCTGTTCTGAACGTGGAGCCGTCCTTGGATGTGACATCACAACAGCTGCGAAAACAGACTGTGTTTGTGTTCTTATGGCTGAGGCCCATTAGTCTCTGAGACTTCAAGATCACTGCCTTTTATTTCAATTTGATCATTTTATGAATATTAGTCACACAGAGATAGGGAAGGATGAAGACTCTCTCTCTGGTCTCTCATTGGTCTCTCTCTGGTCCCTCTCTGGTATCTCTCTGGTCTCTCTGTGGTCTCTCTCTCTGGTCTCTCTCTTTGGTCTCTCTCGCTGGTCTCTCTCTGGACTCTCCCTGATCTGTTGTTGGCAAATCCACATAATCTCTATATTATAAGCATAATAAAGAAGCAAAGTACAAACGTGTTCACTGTAGAGCAAGGATTATAGTTATATATCCTATATATCCTATTATCCCTCTCTCACTTGGGCCTCCCTGAGGTTTCTCCTCTCTCTCCCATTGAACCAATGTCTCTTGTGTTTGAACTGTTTGGTTCTCTGATCTGTTGTTGATGAATTCACAACTTTGTAAATTCCTGTTTCTGCACTTATGGAGCTCTCTCAGAGTCTCTGGCTCAGAGCTTCAGGATCAGACTCTTCAGGATTTGCAGCTCGGGCTGTGATTGGCTAAGGAGCGCACGAGCTTAGTGTAGAGCTGAGGATGACAGAGCGCGCGGTCGCAGTGCACGAGGCACCGCCGCTGCGCGCGCACAACCGAACACCGCTCACCGGACACTGGACGTGTTGGAACTTTAGTTCCATCACCAGAGAGAGAGGGACCGGGGAGAGAGGGCCCGGAATGTGTTCGTTGTACTCTGACCCTCCCGACCCCGCCTCGGGCTCACGGACCCTCGCGCAGCAGTGATGGGCTCCACGTGGAGCAGACGTAGAAGTCTGGACTTGGACTCACAGACCCGCAGCAGAGCGCGGGGAGAGGCGTCCGCAAAGAGCGAGCGGAGCGGCCCCCGGAGCCCCCGGAGGTTCTCCTCTCTGATGTCTCTGATGCTGAAGTCCTCGCCCCTACCCGGAGTGCTGAGCAGGAGCGCGCACAGTCCGTACGTGCGCAGAGTCTCGTGGATCCGTGAGATTCAGAGACTTCTGCGGGAACAGAGACCGGAGCGAGCCGCAGGAGTGCTGCAGCTGCTGAGGAAGGTAAGCTCCAGGGCATCCGGGCTAAACAAACAGCACTCTGAATGTGTCCGTAGAATAAGGCTGCAGATCCAGGACTGAGGCTGTAGACCCAAGACTGAGGCTGTAGACCCAAGACTGAGGCTGTAGACCCAGGACCGAGGCTGTTGGTCCAGGACTGAGGCTGTAGCCCCAGGACTGAGACTATAATCACTCAGGGTTAGAGGGAAATGTCAGCACAGATTGTGCGTCTGACGAGGTTCAGAATCTGATGAAGAAATAGAGAAAGACCAGAGAGAGACTGTAACTGTTTTGATACTGTGGTTCTATGATGTTGGGGAAACCCATCATCAGAAAATCCACCAAACGCTGCAGCAGGAAGAGAAGAGTCTTCCTCTGACGATGATGGTCCAATCTAATACCCCCCCTCCCCCCATGTCTGCCTGTTCTTCCCTCAGGACCTGGGACTGGAGGGAACATCTCTCACTGACGTCTTGTACAAAAAGGCAGCGTACCTGAACCTGGTGGACCCTCTCTCTCATGAGCTGCTCCTCCGTCTGTCCAGAGACCTGCAGTGTCCCAAACCAGTACGATCTGATCCTCACCGAATGTTACTGATGTTACTGCTCTCTCTCTGGTCTCTCTCTGGTCTCTCTCTGGTGTCTCTCTGGTGTCTCTCTGGTCTCTCTCTGGTCTCTCTCTGGTGTCTCTCTGGTGTCTCTCTGGTCTCTCTCTGGTGTCTCTCTGGTGTATCTCTGGTCTCTCTCTGGTCTCTCTCTGGTCTCTCTCTCTGGTCTCTCTCTGGTCTCTCTCTGGTCTCTCTCTCTGGTCTCTCTCTCTGGTCTCTCTCTGGTCTCTCTCTGGTCTCTCTCTCTGGTCTCTCTCTCTGGTCTCTCTCTCTGGTCTCTCTCTGGTCTCTCTCTCTGGTCTCTCTCTGCTCTCTCTCTGGTCTCTCTCTGGTCTCTCTCTGGTCTCTCTCTCTGGTCTCTCTCTCTGGTCTCTCTCTGGTCTCTCTCTGGTCTCTCTCTGCTCTCTCTCTGGTCTCTCTCTCTGGTCTCTCTCTCTGGTCTCTCTCTGGTCTCTCTCTGGTCTCTCTCTCTGGTCTCTCTCTCTGGTCTCTCTCTGGTCTCTCTCTCTGGTCTCTCTCTCTCGTCTCTCTCTGGTCTCTCTCTGGTCTCTCTCTCTGGTCTCTCTCTCTGCTCTCTCTCTGCTCTCTCTCTGCTCTCTCTCTCTGGTCTCTCTCTGGTCTCTCTCTGCTTTCTCTCTGCTCTCTCTCTGGTGGTGTCACACACTAAGGCCCCGTTTAGACGGAGACGCTGCAAAGCAATTAACAAAAACGACCAGGCTCCTTATTCAAAGTGCAGAGCGTTTACAGAACGACGGAAAACGATGTCGTTGTAGCGTGCGGCCTGTAGGGGGCAGTGAAACTTTTCAACACGACACCCCCAGCAAAAATAGAAACTGAAACTACCGCTGTGGTTTTGTCTTCTGTTAATTCTGTCATTTACAGTCAATCCTGACAAAATCACAAACACAAAAGGCATAGTTAAGCATTCTTTATACTTGGTTGCATTCCAAGGAGAAGGGATTTCTGAAACAGAGACAGAGCAGAGAGAGCTGCTCTCTCTCTGGGTCCAAAATCAGATCTGAATCAGACCGTCTGCAAAGTCCTTTTGATAGAAAAGACACACCTTCATATGCAGATAGGACAGGAAGTACCAACACCACAAACGACACTCCGTATCAGCAAAGCCTGCTTCCTCCTGATGTTTAACTTCGTGGAGTCTTCCTGGAGCTAAAGTGAATTACAATACCAGCTTTCTACAATATATTTTAGCCACATATTACTTATTAAAATTATAACTTCTTCCAATGACACTTCACAGAAACAGCCCCCGCCGCAGCGTCTCTGTTCTGTTCCACTCCGGAGGTTGTTTGTCAGATACATTGGAATACACCTTCAAATGTCCCCAGAGTGCACACATGTAACAAGGGCGACAGTAGCTCAGTTGGTAGAGCATTGGCCTTTGAGCCTGAAGGTTCACTTTCTCCACTGACTCCCACTGATGTCTGCTGTTGTTGTGTCCTTGGGCAAGACACTTCACCCCCATTGCCTAGAATGAGTCTGGTGTGTGTATGAATGGTTGGTGGTGGCACAGACTGGCTGCCTTGCTTCTGTCAATGTGCCCCAAGGCAGCTGTGGCTACAGAAGTAGTTTATCACCACAATGTATGGAGTGAATGAATAATGACGTCTTTGAGAGTACAAAAAAGTGCTATATAAAACTTGGACCGTACGCGCGCTCTGATTGGCTGATTTGCGGTCTGATATTTTCCCATCTCGGACCGTTACCATGACAATTGGTCCGCAGCGCGTATCACATTTGATATCTTTCCTCGGACCGTTACCATGACAATCGGTCCACAGAGGGTATCACACTAAAAACACGATAAGGAAAACCAAGTCGGACATGAACACACTACACAAATATTCGCTTGCTCGGTTAATAAGCTGTTAATATTATTATTATTTTTTTTTTCTAAGGATAAAAATACAACAATTGACACTGTGAATTCAACTGTGAAATCGATCATCAATAATAGTTTCAATGAGACAGCTGCTTGTGTTTCCACCTGGAACACCGTCTTCATGTAAACGTGAGCCCAAACTGATATCAACGCTAACGTTTTACTGTCCTAGCGTCTCCGTGGAAACAGCCCCTGAGGGTTTGTTGTTTTTCTTCAGGATCGTAGCTTCTGTCTTTTCTCCTCGTTGTTTAAACATTAATGAGATTTCTGTGTAAGTCTCAGGAGCGGGAGTTACTGATACTACTGTGGAGGTGATGAGGGAGCAGCGTCTGCAGTCAGAGCTCTATCAGACTGTGGAGGTGACGAGGGAGCAGCGTCTGCAGTCAGAGCTCTATCAGACTGTGGAGGTGACAAGGGAGCAGTGTCTGTAGTCAGAGCTCTATCAGACTGTGGAGGTGACGAGGGAGCAGTGTCTGTAGTCAGAGCTCTATCAGACTGTGGTGATGCAGAGGGAGCAGCGTCTGTAGTCAGAGCTCTATCAGACTGTGGAGGTGACGAGGGAGCAGTGTCTGTAGTCAGAGCTCTATCAGACTGTGGAGGTGACGAGGGAGCAGTGTCTGTAGTCAGAGCTCTATCAGACTGTGGTGATGCAGAAGGAGCAGCGTCTGCAGTCAGAGCTCTATCAGACTGTGGTGATACAGAGGGAGCAGCGTCTGTAGTCAGAGCTCTATCAGACTGTGGTGATGCAGAGGGAGCAGTGTCTGTAGTCAGAGCTCTATCAGACTGTGATGATGCAGAGGGAGCAGTGTCTGTAGTCAGAGCTCTATCAGACTGTGGTGATACAGAGGGAGCAGCGTCTGTAGTCAGAGCTCTATCAGACTGTGGTGATGCAGAGGGAGCAGTGTCTGTAGTCAGAGCTCTATCAGACTGTGATGATGCAGAGGGAGCAGTGTCTGTAGTCAGAGCTCTATCAGACTGTGGTGATGCAGAGGGAGCAGTGTCTGTAGTCAGAGCTCTATCAGACTGTGGTGATACAGAGGGAGCAGTGGCTGTAGTCAGAGTTCTATCAGACTGTGGTGATGCAGAGGGAGCAGTGGCTGTAGTCAGAGCTCTATCAGACTGTGGTGATGCAGAGGGAGCAGCGTCTGTAGTCAGAGCTCTATCAGACTGTGGAGGTGACGAGGGAGCAGTGTCTGTAGTCAGAGCTCTATCAGACTGTGGAGGTGACGAGGGAGCAGTGTCTGTAGTCAGAGCTCTATCAGACTGTGGTGATGCAGAGGGAGCAGCGTCTATAGTCAGAGCTCTATCATACTGTGGAGGCGACGAGGGAGCAGTGTCTGTTGTCAGAGCTCTATCAGACTGTGGAGGTGACGAGGGAGCAGTGTCTGTAGTCAGAGCTCTATCAGACTGTGGTGATGCAGAAGGAGCAGCGTCTGCAGTCAGAACTCTATCAGACTGTCGTGATACAGAGGGAGCAGCGTCTGTAGTCAGAGCTCTATCAGACTGTGGTGATGCAGAGGGAGCAGTGTCTGTAGTCAGAGCTCTATCAGACTGTGGTGATGCAGAGGGAGCAGTGTCTGTAGTCAGAGCTCTATCAAACTGTGGTGATACAGAGGGAGCAGTGGCTGTAGTCAGAGCTGCTTCTGTCTCTGTACGTGTTGTTGGTTGAGGCACTTATAACAGACGCCTGTGATTGGTCGTGTTGCAGGAGGGCTCCTTCAAGTCGACCAATAAGACGTGTCGACAGCTGCTGTACCACCTGAGCCCTCACTCCAAGTGGACGAGACCGAGCGAGTCCAGGAGAAAGTCTCAGACCTGGTGAGTCTCCAGACCAGACCGAGTCCAGTCTCTTTCTCTGGTCTCTCCCTGGTCCCTCTCTGATCTCTCTCTGGTCTCTCTCTGGTCTCTCTCTGGTCTCCCTCTGGTCTCTCTCTGGTCTCTCTCTGATCTCTCTCTGGTCTCTCTCTCTGGTCTCTCTCTGGTCTCTCTCAGATTAAGATCAGATTCATTTATTTGCCATTTGCAGTAAAACTACATTGGAATACATTAGCAAAAGTCTCCAGTGTGCACAGACAAGTACAGACATAAAACAACATTAAAAGACAGAAATAAAACAAATAGAACAGTAAACAATTGTCACTGTGAAATCGATCGACTAAAACAATATCAAGTGCAAGATCATTTTAAAGTGCTCTGTTCACACTGATAACAGCCTGTGGAAAAAAACTGTTAGCATGTCGAGATGTCCTGCATCTCAGAGAACGATATCTTCTACCAGAGGGAAGAAGCTGGAACAAGGCTTTTCCAGGGTGGCCAGAAGAGTCATTGACAATCCTAAGAGCTCTGTTTAAAGCTCTCTGGTCTCTCTCTCTGTTCTCTCTCCGGTCTCTCTCTGGTCTCTCTCTGGTCTCTCTCTGGTCTCTCTCTCTGTTCTCTCTCCAGTCTCTCTCTGGTCTCTCTCTCTCTCTCTCTGGTCTCTCTCTCTGGTCTCTCCCTGGTCTCTCTCTCTCTCTCTGGTCTCTCTCTCTCTCTGGTCTCTCCCTGGTCTCTCTCTCTCTCTCTGGTCTCTCCCTGGTCTCTCTCTCTCTCTCTCTCTCTCTCTCTGGTCTCTCTCTGGTCTCTCTCTCTCTCTCTGGTCTCTCTCTCTGGTCTCTCCCTGGTCTCTCTCTCTCTGGTCTCTCTCTGGTCTCTCTCTCTCTCTGGTCTCTCCCTGGTCTCTCTCTCTCTGGTCTCTCTCTGGTCTCTCTCTCTCTCTGGTCTCTCCCTGGTCTCTCTCTCTCTGGTCTCTCTCTGGTCTCTCTCTCTCTCTGGTCTCTCCCTGGTCTCTCTCTCTCTGGTCTCTCTCTCTCTGGTCTCTCTCTCTCTGGTCTCTCTCTGGTCTCTCTCTGGTCTCTCTCTCTCTGGTCTCATTATTGTCTCATGAAGGTGCAGAAGTGATGAGAATCCTAACAAACCTGACGTCTGTAATAAGCTAAACTCCCACTCGTCTGTTTTCCAATTAAAAACATAAAAGTGGTAATGAAAGCGGAGGATTCTCTGTGACTCAGCAGCAGAACTCTCTCTCTGTAAACAGCAAATATAAGCTGTGTTTGTGACAGAAACACAATGTCTCACTCTGAGCCTAAAGCTGAGTTTTCTACATCTCTGTGTGAGTTAAGACTCTGCCAAAGGATCACAGCGGTCAGAGCAGCCTCTGCTCTTTCTAATCTCTCTCTGGTCTCTCTCTGGTCTGTTTCTCTGGTCTCTCTCTGGTCTCCTTCTGGTCTCTCTCTCTGGTCTCTCTCTGGTCTCTCTCTTGCCTCTTTCTGGTCTCTCTCTAGTCTCTCTCTGGTCTCTCTCTGGTTTCTCTCTTGTAACACAGTAGAGTAAAGTGTTGTGTCCCAGATCAGTTCCTCAGCTTCACAGTTGGAGTTCTGCTGCTGGTTTCATAAGTCGCTGCACGTCACTCGGTTACGTAACAACTCTCGTCTCGTTCTGGTATCTCTGGTCTCTCTCTGGTCTCTCTCTGCTCTCTTTGGTCTCTCTCTGGTCTCTCTCAGTCTCTCTCTGCTCTCTCCCGGGTCTCTCTCTGGTCTCTCTCTGGTCTCTCTCTGGTCTCTCTCAGTCTCTCTCTGGTCTCTCTCTGGTCTCTCTCTGGTCTCTCTCTGGTCTCTCTCTGGTCTCTCTCTGGCCTCTCTCTGCTCTCTCTCTGGTCTCTCTCTCTGCTCTCTCTCTGGTCTCTCTCTGGTCTCTCTCTGCTCTCTCTCTGGTCTCTCTCTGCTCTCTCTCCGGTCTCTCTCTGCTCTCTCTCTGCTCTCTCTGGTCTTTAATCTTAATGAGCTTCAGGCGTCTTCCTCATCCCCAGAAACTCTTTCTTTATCCCAAACACGAGGTGGGAGCGAGATCCTCTTTCATGTTTGGTACAAAAGAAGAACGAGTTAAGGATGTGGGTCAGAGCAATCCTCCTCGCTTCTGTTAGAGATTCAAGATTCAAGATTTTATTTGCCATTTGCAGTTAAACCACATTGGAAAAACTGTGCAGTGGAAGGGGTAGGGAAAACTTTAGCTGACACTGGGAGAACATCCAAACTCCATTCAGAAAGGGCCTGACTGGAGGTGGAGTCAAACCCTGGACTTTCAACAAAAAAGCGAGAGTCTATAAGTACAGACCCAGGACTGAGGCTGTAGACCCAGGACTGAGACTGTAGACCCAGGACTGAGGCTGTAGACCCAGGACTGAGACTGTAGACCCAGGACTGAGACTGTAGACCCAGGACTGAGGCTGTAGACCCAGGACTGAGGCTGTAGACCCAGGACTGAGACTGTAGACCCAGGACTGAGACTGTAGACCCAGGACTGAGGCTGTAGACCCAGGACTGAGGCTGTAGACCCAGGACTGAGGCTGTAGACCCAGGACTGAGACTGTAGACCCAGGACTGAGACTGTAGACCCAGGACTGAGACTGTAGACCCAGGACTGAGACTGTAGACCCAGGACTGAGACTGTAGACCCAGGACTGAGGCTGTAGACCCAGGACTGAGGCTGTAGACCCAGGACTGAGGCTGTAGACCCAGGACTGAGGCTGTAGACCCAGGACTGAGGCTGTAGACCCAGGACTGAGGCTGTGCACACTGAGAGATTCAGATCGAAGCAGGGAATAAACATGTCAAGATCCCAGCGAGAGATCGATCTCTGAGTCTTTGTTTTCACGTTTATCTCATTTTCTCTGCAGACTCAGCATGGTCCCATATTCTCAAATACCTCTGTAATCTCTCTTTCTGGTTTCTTTCTGGTCTCTCGCTGGTCTCTCTCTGGTCTCTTTCTGGTGTCTTTCTGGTCTCTTTCTGGTCTCTCTCTGGTCTCTCTGGTCTCTTGCTGGTCTCTCTCTGGTCTCTGTCTGGTTTCTCTCTGGTCTCCCTCTGGTCTCTCTGGTCTCTCGCTGGTCTCTCTCTGGTCTCTCTCTGGTCTCTCTCTGATCTCTCTCTGGTCTCTCCGGTCTCTCGCTGGTCTCTCTCTGGTCTCTATCTAGTCTCTCTATGGTCTCTCTATGGTCTCCCTCTGGTCTCTCTGGTCTCTCTATGGTCTCTCTCTGGTCTCTCTCTGGTCTCTTTCTGGTCTCTCGCTGGTCTCTCTCTGGTCTCTCTCTGGTCTCTCTCTGGTCTCTCTCTGGTCTCTCTCTGGTCTCTCTCTGGTCTCTCTCTGGTCTCTCGCTGGTCTCTCTCTGGGCTCTCTCTGGTCTCTCTCTGGTCTCTCTCTGGTCTCTCTATGGTCTCTCTATGGTCTCTCTCTGGTCTCTCTCTGGTCTCTTTCTGGTCTCTCTCTGGTCTCTCTCTGGTCTCTCTCTGGTCTCTCTCTGGTCTCTCTCTGGTCTCTGTCTGTCAGGTTCCTTCAGTTTAATCCTCTATACATTCTATAAATCTTGTGTCGTTCTCAGCTGCTGCTCTCAGACTAATTACAAGATCTCTTTCACCAACAAGACGACAGGGGGAGGGGGGGAGGGGGTGAGGAGAGGAGGGAGGATGGGGAAAGAGGTTGAGGGGGTGGGGGAGGAGGGGGAGGAGGAGAAAGCATCTGTAAATTATTCTGTCCTAAAGTGATATTCATCCATCTATTTTCCTCTGCTTTATACATGAGAGACCAGAGAGAGAGAGCAGGGAGAGAATAGAAAGAGAGAGAGACCAAAGAAAGACCAGAGGGAGATCAGAAAGAGACCAGAGAGAGAGATCTTTAGTATTAAGGTGCCGTATAATTTGTGGGTCTCAGAAAAGCCCTGTTTCTGTTATCCAGGGGACAGGTTTAAACGTAACACAAGATACAAGCGGAGAGACTGACGCTCGCAGCAGGCGGGGGCCGGGGGCCGCGTTTATGGTCTGAGTCTAAGGAACCAGCGGTGGTGTGGGTGTGTAGTGACGTACAATGATAGAGACATTATGTATCTCATAAAAAAGAGAACAGGTGAGAGATGAGAGAGACCAGGGGGAGAGACCAGAGAGAGAGACCAGAGAGAGATCAGAGAAAGAGACCAGTGAGAGAGACCAGAGATAGACCAGAGAGAGACCAGAGAAAGACTAGAGAGAGGCCAGAGAAAGACCAGAGAGAGACCAGAGAGAGACCAGAGAGAGACCAGAGAGAGACCAGAGAGAGACCAGAGAGAGACCAGAGAGAGGCCAGAGAAAGACCAGAGAGAGACCAGAGAGAGGCCAGAGAAAGACCAGAGAGAGAGATCAGAGAGAGAATAGAGAGAGGTCAGAGAGAGACCAGAGAGAGATCAGAGAGAGAGAGACGAGAGAGGGAAAGATTAGAGAGAGAGCGAGACCAGAGAGGGTGACCCCCTGTTAGCTCTGACTGCAGCTGCTGCTCCATCCTCCATAGTCTCCCTTTATGGTAGTGATGGATCTTTTCCATTCAAATTGTAAAAAACAAAAAGGATCAAACACATTTGTCCGAGAACCATAACCGTGTCCTGTGTGTTTCAGTCTGAAGTCTGCGCTGAAGAGGAGAGCCTCAGGGGACGTGCTGAACCTGTCGGGGATCCCGCTGTCGCCGCGGGACGTCCAGAAGGTGGCACTGTTCCTCCAGAGCAGCCTCTCGCTCTCGGCTGTGGACCTGAGCTTCACGGCGCTGCAGGACCACAGCCTGCTCCTGCTGCTGCCAGCCCTGGGAGCCCTGCCCCAGCTCACCGTCCTGGCTCTGAACGGGAACCGCCTCACGTCCTCCGTCCTCCAGACCCTAGCGGAGGCTCTGAAGGACCTCAGCAGGTTCCCGTCTCTGGCCTGGGTCGACCTGGGGAACAATGTAGACATCCACATGGTGCCACAGCCGCTGCTGGTGGCCCTGAGGCGCAGGTTTGACCTCCGCAGCCGTCTGCCCACTATCCACGAGTGCAGAGAGATGCACTGTTTCAGCGGCTCTACCCCGAGCTCCCAGACGTCTGTGGAGGAGGCCAGACTGTACCAGGAGGAGCCCAATCTGTACCAGGAACAGCCCAGTCTGTACCAGGAGGACCAGGGGGTGGAGGAAGAGGAGGAAGACCAGCTGGAGATCAGGGTCTGGGGTCTTCAGCATCAACATCCAGAACAGTGCAATTTGAGACTGTAGACCCAGGACTGAGACTGTAGACCCAGGACTGAGACTGTAGACTCAGGACTGAGAACTGTAGACCCAGGACTGAGACTGTAGACCCAGGACTGAGACTGTAGACTCAGGACTGAGAACTGTAGACCCAGGACTGAGAACTGTAGACTCAGGACTGAGAACTGTAGACCCAGGACTGAGACTGTAGACCCAGGACTGAGACTGTAGACCCAGGACTGAGACTGTAGACCCAGGACTGAGACTGTAGACCCAGGACTGAGACTGTAGACCCAGGACTGAGAACTGTAGACCCAGGACTGAGAACTGTAGACCCAGGACTGAGACTGTAGACCCAGGACTGAGAACTGTAGACCCAGGACTGAGAACTGTCGATCCAGGACTGAGACTGTAGACTCAGGACTGAGAACTGTAGACCCAGGACTGAGACTGTAGACCCAGGACTGAGACTGTAGACCCAGGACTGAGACTGTAGACCCAGGACTGAGACTGTAGACCCAGGACTGAGACTGTAGACCCAGGACTGAGAACTGTAGACCCAGGACTGAGACTGTAGACCCAGGACTGAGAACTGTAGACCCAGGACTGAGAACTGTCGATCCAGGACTGAGGTTATAGATCCAGGACTGAGACTGTAGACCCAGGACTGAGACTGTAGACCCAGGACTGAGAACTGTAGACCCAGGACTGAGAACTGTAGACCCAGGACTGAGACTGTAGACCCAGGACTGAGAACTGTAGACCCAGGACTGAGAACTGTCGATCCAGGACTGAGGCTGTAGATCCAGGACTGAGGCTGTAGATCCAGGACTGAGGCTGTAGATCCATGACTGAGGCTGTAGACCCAGGACTGAGGCTGTAGATCCAGGACTGAGGCTGTAGACCCAGGACTGAGGCTGTAGACCCAGGACTGAGGCTGTAGATCCAGGATTGAGGCTGTAGACCCAGGACTGAGGCTGTAGACCCAGGACTGAGGCTGTAGACCCAGGACTGAGGCTGTAGACCCAGGACTGAGGCTGTGGACCCAGGACTGAGGCTGTAGACCCAGGACTGAGGCTGTAGATCCAGGATTGAGGCTGTAGACCCAGGACTGAGGCTGTAGACCCAGGACTGAGGCTGTAGACCCAGGACTGAGGCTGTAGACCCAGGACTGAGGCTGTAGACCCAGGACTGAGGCTGTAGATCCAGGATTGAGGCTGTAGACCCAGGACTGAGGCTGTAGACCCAGGACTGAGGCTGTAGACCCAGGACTGAGGCTGTAGACCCAGGACTGAGGCTGTGGACCCAGGACTGAGGCTGTAGACCCAGGACTGAGGCTGTAGATCCAGGATTGAGGCTGTAGACCCAGGACTGAGGCTGTAGACCCAGGACTGAGGCTGTAGACCCAGGACTGAGGCTGTGGACCCAGGACTGAGGCTGTAGATCCAGGATTGAGGCTGTAGACCCAGGACTGAGGCTGTAGACCCAGGACTGAGGCTGTAGACCCAGGACTGAGGCTGTAGACCCAGGACTGAGGCTGTAGACCCAGGACTGAGGCTGTAGACCCAGGACTGAGGCCCCAGAACTCTTTAAGTCGCTTCTTTGTTCAGTTTCTTTAAAGCCATAATATTTTATTAAAGCTGTTTTATTGAATCCTGTTCCATTATTTTGACTCCATCGTGAGGTCGATTCTGACTCAGACTCTCACTGAAACATCTCATATGTGGCGCCCCCAGCAGGTGAAAGCCAAATCCTGTCAGACCTCTGAAGCTAAGCAGGTGGGCCTGGTTTGTACTGTGATGGGAGACCTCTGGGACAGCTGCGGCTGTAAAGTGCCAAACTGTGGTTGTGTCCTTAGGCAAGACACTTCCCCCACATTAGAATGAGTCTGATGTGTGTGAATGGTTGGTGGTGGTGGTGGGAGGGGCTGATGGCACAGACTGGTTGCCTCAATTCTGTCAGTGTGCCCCAGGGCAGCTGTGGCTACAGTAGTAGTTCAGCAGAAACATAGCCATCCATACAAACCCTTTAGTTTTGTTATTATTATTATTTCAGCCTCAACTTGTGACTTTTGCTACTTTCTACAAACGTGGACAGAAAAGTGTCCTGTTTCTGTTGTTTACATAAAAGTTAGTTCTGTGACGTCACTTTCCTGTTGCGTCTTGGATCCGCGTTAGTCTGTGCTTGTAGATCCACCAACAACAGATCAGAGAATCAAGCAGTTCGAAGACAGGAAATACAACGGTAAAAACACAGTGGTTGGTAGTTCGACTCCGGCTGCTTCCATCATCACCACTGCAGCGGTCTAAGCCACAGTGACTGCTGCTGTGTCCATGAGCAAGACACCTCTCCCCAGGGTCTGATATTGGTTCCTGTGAGTTTGCAGCATAAACGTGAGCTTTCTTCACCCGCAGAAGTGACACACAACACGTCACACACGTCACACACGTCACAACACGTCACACACGTCAGGGAGCTGAGAGTGAAACACAGAGTTCAGAGGAAACAGGAGCCACAGACACAGGTTTCAGAAGATCCTGGACTGATCTGACCTGTACGTGCACGTCTGTGGGGGAAACTGCTCAGTATACATAGTTCCCACATGACGTCACTACATACGGGGATTTGCCGACCCGGCGCCATTTGTGTTGGCATGCTGTGGGCTGAAACGTGTTAATGTCGTGATAAAGTTGAAAATGGTCATCTCCTGCTGGGTCAATGGATGTTCAAATCGTGCCGGAGGTTCCGTTAAACTTGGATTTTACAGTATACCCATCATTAGACTTCATGAATGTGAGAAGACTAAGCTTTTGTCAGAACAACGACGGAGGTTATGGCTTGCGAAGATAAACAGGCAAGAAACTCCCTCAAAACACGCAAGAATATGCTCGGAGCACTTTGTGTCAGGTGCGTATCGTATCTCATAATGTGTTGACAGACGTAATTTACTCAGTACTAACTTGTGTATGCTGATATCTGGTAACTTGAGAGTTTCATTATTTAGCGTTAGATTACTTTATTATGAGGAGGATCGGTGTCGCGTCCGAGGCTCTCGAGGGCAACGTAAATGTATTAAATAGATAATAATAGTTCTATGGTGGGCTAAAACAATGTTCACAAACAGCATTGCTTCTGTAAAAAGATCTGTGTCATAAAATAAACTGCTCTTTACGCCTGGAAAAATCAGTTGCCCACCATTCACCAAAACATACGGTCAAAAACGCGGAAATAAACAATAACAGCAATCCAGAGTGTCCGTGTGGCATTAGCATTAATTAAATTAATTGTTAATATAATTAAAATAATTAAATGGAGCTCCAACTGGTATTAAATCTAAAGTTTTTGAGAAATGTTTGCATTGCTGCATAATTTTTGCTGCATAATTTGATCAAATATGTAAAACATGTCCGTAGCACGTTAAACTGTGGTGCCATTGTATTAATATACAATTATTTGCTCAAAAGTTGCCCTTTTTTTTCCAATTTGCGTTTGAATATCTACATTTATTCTCATTCTTCTGTTTAATGGAATGCACAAACACAGCAGCGTGCCATCAAAGATGGCGTCTCCGAGGAGGTCATGTGACATTCATTGGTCTGTGGGAACTATGTATTGTGATATTGTTGCCCATAGTTAAATGGATACAGAGCAATGTATTGCGATATTTCATGAAATAATTATCTGCTTCACTTTAGTGTTTTCTCTGGGTTTACTGCAGTCAATCACAGTGTATTACATCCACAAGGGGGCGCTTGCTCAAATGTTGTGCACTTCCCGCCTCAGTGTTTGCTTCAGTTCATCCAGACCATAATAACTGTCACAGAGACTTGTTTGTAGAATCTGTGAATGATATCAGGAACATTTATCACAATATATCACAGAATCATAATAACATTGAATTGTGAACATCATAATACTGTCACATCCTCACAGGGACTGGCCTCCTGCTGGGACTCTGAGGAGCAGAGGGACTGGCCTCCTGCTGGGACTCTGAGGAGCACAGGGACTGGCCTCCTGCTGGGACTCTGAGGAGCACAGGGACCGGCCTCCTGCTGGGCTCTGAGGAGCATAGGGACCGGCCTCCTGCTGGGACTCTGAGGAGCACAGGGACCGGCCTCCTGCTGGGACTCTGAGGAGCTCTCACACTTCCCTGTGTGTGAACTGTGTTATACAAATAAACATATTCTCATGTTGGATCAGACTGAGCTCACGGAGATGGAGTTCTGCTGCCCCCTATGGACCACGGTCGGTAATGCCGTGTCTTCAATCAGCAAAGTGCAGACACCGCGCACTCTCACGCACACTCTCACGCACACTCTCACGTACACGCTCACACGCACACTCACGCACACTCTCACGCGCAGGCTTATTTTAGGTTGTCTATTGAGGTTTATTTTAAGTCCCGTAAGAAGAAGAAGAAGAAGAAGAGGAAGAGGAAGAAGAGGCCTGAGCGGAGGAGTCTGTCTGAATGACGTCTTTATAAATATCTGATATTTAAGAACATTTGGACTGTGGCTCCATGAGTTTGTTATTATCTGTTTGAGATGATTCTCGGATCTGTTGTTGGTGATTCCAAAACTTCGTAAAGTCCTTAAAGAGGACAATAACATGAAGTCAAAATACTGTGAAATATATTGTTCTCTGCAGCGGATCAGAAAAACCTGAGTTTGTGTCATTCACATTTCAGCAGAAGAAGAAAGACTTATTTACATCCAACAAGATCAGAGAGAAAACACTATAATATATATAATATATGATAATTATATATAAGTCTGGAGCTGTGATGTTCAGATACTCTCAGAGTGTATACGGATACTCTCAGAGTGTATCCGTATACTCTCTGAGTGTATCCGGATACTCTCTGAGGCTGATCTGCTCATGTGTCTTTCCCGCTTCTCTCCGCCTCTAATCAATACGTTTCCTTCTCGTCTGAATCGATGTTGATGTGTTTTCTCTGTAACAGACAACAGACTGTTGTGGTGAACAGGGAGCAGCGTCTGCAGTCAGAGTTCTAGTGCCCTTTCTCACCTCTGGTCATGAGGCAGCAGTGTCTGCAGACAGAGCTAGCTCTCTGGTGCTGATCTTTGGATAACGACTGAAAGGACAAAATTGCAGTTTCCTCCAGAAGAGAAGCTCAGTCACATAGGAGGAGCTCGGTGTAGAGCCGCTGCTCCTCCATGTGGAGAAGAGCCAGTGGAGGTGGCTCTGTTTGTGCCTCCTGGTCTCCTGGACATGTCCCACAGGAGGAGACCAGGACACGCCTCTTCCCCCGGATGAGCTGGAGGAAGTGTGTGTGGAGAAGAATGACGCATGTGACGTCACACGTGATTGTACCTTACCAACTTGAACTAAACTCATTTATTGAGTGAAAGTGAAAAGACACTGATGCGTCAGTACGTCGGATCCTCGTGTGTCGCCTCTGATTGGCTGCTCACAACCTGCTCGGTGTACGTGCGCTGTGATTGGCCGCGGTTGTCTGTGGCCATTACGTCATGCTCTCGCTCCTGTGAGGACACGCGCACAGACGCACAGACAGCTGGACCCGGAGGAGAGCTCTGAGTCCCGGTGCCATGGTCCTCGTCCTGTCGCTGCAATGAAGGTACGTGCCTTCTGTTTCTGCCACCGCACCTGCGCCCGGCGGCTGCCCCGGGGACAGGCTGACGTCATGTGTTTGCGTCTCTGCACAGCGGTCTGTGTGCAGCTGTAGATGCGCATCAGTCCGAGGTGCAGAGACCTCAGAGACACAGAGCGTCGCGCGCAGACGTCCATTCCCGCCTCTAATCCCGCTAATGGGATGAAGCAGAGTGAGGATTTCCTCCGTGCGCGCGGCTGCTGCGTCAGGTCTCGCGCACGGGGGTCCCACGCTGCAGCAGGGGGGTATGGGATGATGTCATTGATGATCTGGAGACAGGGGTCCTAAGGCACGGGGGGGGGGCACAGACCTGAGGCTGTGTTTAGCCTCCGACACTCATTAGTATTCTCCAAACAGAAGGGCTTCCCCTACACCCCCCCCCCCCCCCTCCCCCCTCACCGCAGCAGTTTGGTCTGAGTTTACCACAGGGACAGTGTTCAATAAGGTTGTAGCTGATGTCTCTGATCAGATCAGGTCTGAAAATACTGCAGAATGAGAATTTGGAACGTTTTTATTTTTGTGGTTTTGATAAAAAACATTCAATGTTTTTGTGTATTGCCCTAAACCAGAGCAGCTGCAGTTTCAGAGGAGACTAAAGATCAGAGGCTGTAGACCAAGGACTGAGGCTGTAGATCCAGGACTGAGGCTGTAGATCCAGGACTGAGGCTGTAGATCCAGGACTGAGGCTGTAGATCCAGGACTGAGGCTGTAGACCCAGGACTGAGGCTGTAGACCAAGGACTGAGGCTGTAGACCCAGGACTGAGGCTGTAGACCCAGGACTGAGGCTGTAGACCCAGGACTGAGGCTGTAGATCCAGGACTGAGGCTGTAGACCCAGGACTGAGGCTGTAGACCCAGGACTGAGGCTGTAGACCCAGGACTGAGGCTGTAGATCCAGGACTGAGGCTGTAGATCCAGGACTGAGGCTGTAGACCCAGGAGTGAGGCTGTAGACCCTTCTCTCGGTTTCTGTCTCAGCACCAAACATATTTTCCAAAGCAGTGTGTCTCTTCTTTCACATGTGGGTCACAGCGATTGGGGTTTTTTCTCCAGACGAGACTCAGACGAGACTCAGAGAGCGAGTTCCTCGAGAACACTCAATAATGAAGTGTTCTTGACAGTTTTGTGTCTCGCGACTAAACGGTCGTCACGGCGATGTTTCATCACAGACGAGACCGAGACGAGATGTGTTTGTGTTTCTCAGAACCTTCGATAAACAATGACTGAATCTGAAATCTGTCAAAACAATATCTTTATCTTCATGAACTTTTGTCTCTGTCGCTTCTTTGGGTCAACTTTATCAGTGGAAAAGACGGCCCTGCTCTCTCAGCCAATCAGCTCTCAACCTGAAAACATTTATTCATGTTTGTCCTAATTTAGTGACATCGGGGGCTTTACAAAGTTGTGGATTCACCAAGAACAGATCAGAAAATCAATGGAAATGCAATAGTAACAAATAGAACCGTTGGTCTACATGGAACTGAGGCTGTAGACCCAGGACTGAGGCTGTAGATCCCGGACTGAGGCTGTAGACCCAGGACTGAGGCTGTAGACCCAGGACTGGCCTCCTGCTGGTCCCAGAGTCAGGACTAAACATGGAGAGGCAGTGTTTCCATACAATACAATCTATTCTTGTATCGCCCAAAATCACAACAGAAGTCATCTCAGAGACTTAACAAAACCATTGAAATAACCAACACAGATCAGAGAATCAACAGTTAAGACACAGAGAGAACACATGTTACTGGACCATAGGGAGAGACCAATGTCCATGAATGTTGATGGTCCATACATGTTGTAGAATGTTAAAAGTGTTCTGGATCATCACAGTCCTTCTTGTTAGACACTGTCCAACAGACTCCTGCATCAGAGGAAAAACTCTAAAACCCAGTGCGAGAACAGTGAGAAACCTCAGGGAGATCCACATTGAGAGAGAGATCTGCTCCACACGGACAGACGGCTGTAGAACCAGGACTCAGACTGTAGAACGAGGACTGAGGCTGTAGACCCAGTACCTAAGACTTCTTCTCTGATCACGTTCAAATCCAGGTTAAAACGTTCTGTTCATATCTTTTTTGTCCTCTGTGATTGTGAGCACTGTGAGCTGTGTGTGAACTGTGCTATACTAATAACCTCGCCTCAGTCGGACTTGTTTGTTGACCATAAGACACTGGAGCAAAGATGGCAGCACAGTGATGAGGGGGAGGAGGATGGGGGAGAGGGGGAGGAGTACAGGGACGTCTCTGTGTGCAGCCTCCAGGACCGAATCGATGTCCCACAGTAATGTCCAGACCACAGGTACTCTTAAGGTGGTATTGTGTTGTCTTAAGGTGGTACTTTGTATTGTGTTAAGGTGGTATTGCCCTAAATCAGTCACCTCAGGGTGTGTTGTCTGAAGGCGGTACTTTGAGTTGTGTTAAGGTGGTACTGTGGGTTGAGTTAAGGTGGTATTATGTGCTGTCCTAAAGGTGGTATTGTGAGTTGTGTTAAAATGGTATTGTGTGTTGTCTTGAAGTGGTACCGTCAGATGTCATGTGGTCCTGTGTGTTGAATTAAGGAGGTACTATGAGTTTAGTTAAGGTGGTCCTGTGTGTTGAGTTAAAGGCGCTATACCCGTTTCTGCAATGTTTGAATGTTTAGCACCGCCCCCCAACTCGCTCAATGGCTTCTCATTTCCCCTACGCTCTCATAACACAGAGCCATCTAGCTCAATTTGCGATCTGATATGTATGCTAACATTAGCATTAGCACAACTTTTTGTAAGCTGTACAACAGTCACTGATGAAATAGTACTAAAGCAACGCACCGCTAGTTTTGCATCCGAATGTATTCATTTAACAGTATAATATATTCGAATATTTAATTATAATTTATTATACAGCTCCGCACAGCAGCAGAACACTCCATTGACTTGAATGCAATTCTTCCGATCATTTTTTCTTGATAACAGAACTCTCAAACCAATAATGACCACTGCCCTTTGGCAATATCTGTTTGTAATTCAGTTGTGTAAAATACTGCCATAACTCTGCAAGTACAACGAGAGAAGCTAGCTGAGCTAGCCACGCTCAATAAACAAATACATATCTATCAATCAACACCATTAAATGTTAATCGGACAATACTGTACACATATACATCCTTAACACACATACACAGACGTTTTCAGAATTTCTTGTTATCGTTTTCATGACCAAATTACTATTTTAATGTGACAAAAAGCGATCGCGAAAAACCCGAAAGTTACCATTAACATGTAGTTCCAGGGAGCTAGCTAGCTTAGCTGTTACCTGCCTAGCACGTCCCGGTGAAACCTTTGGGAGCTAACTATTTTATTTGCAGTCATTGAATACATTTTGAATTATAAGGGCTGTCTAATATGTGTTCGAATATATATTTTTTATTTATTTTAGAATTATATTAGAATTTCGAAGCCGAAGCCCTAGTTTTTAGCAGCGCTGTAGGGGCTAGAGGACGCAGGCTGTTCGCTGCTCGTTCTGTGAGAACGAGCGTCCCGCTCAGACTCTACTCAGCACTTTTCACTGCTTGTAATTCTTACACAGCTGAATCAATTACCTCAAGTTTTCAATTAAATTATGTATTATGATACAACTTGTATGTAGTAATAAGCATTTTTATCAACTAGTTAGAACAAAAATTGGGTATAGCTTCTTTAAGGAGGTACTGTGTGTTGAGTTAAGGTGGTACTGTGAGTTGAGTTAAGGTGGTATTGTGAGTTGAGTTAGGGCAGTATTGTGAGTTGAGTTAAGGCGGCACGTGCTGCTCTGACCTCTCCCATCTGCTCAGAAATCTGTTATGTAATGTACCAGGAAGCCTCTATAAGTGGAATCCTCGTGTGAAAGCCGCGGTCTGCAGCACTTTGACTCCAGTGACAGAGAGAGGATGATGATGAGGATGAAGATGACAAGGTCCCGTCACCGTCCCACTGCGGGGAAATGTCAGTGTTGCAGGTTACAGAGCAGGAGGAAGGAGGAGAAACACGACTGAAGTGAATGTTCAGAACAGCACAACTCTTAAGCTGTAGATAAAAATAGCATCTGTAATTTAGCTGTTGGTATTATTTCTGATGTTTATTCTGCTCCTAGTCTCACATTCTCCACTGCTAAAGTACAATATAGATATCTGTAAATACTTCTGAACCAAGTGCAATTATAGCCCCAGAGTTAATCTTATTTTATTTTGTTATCTATTATTTTAAATAATAGACTTATTTGATGCGTGCAATCTGAGTGCTCTTATTTCCTTCTTTCTCTGCTGTAATGTGCAACGATGACACTGAAATTTCTCTTGTGAGACGAATAAAGAAATATCTTATCTTATCTTAAATAAGTATTAAAATCATAAATAATCACAGAGCGTTAAAAAGAGAGAAGTGAACAGGAATTGGGACGAAACCAGAAGTAACAATCCTACTTTCGAATTAGTTTTAGACTAAAAAGTCCTTAAGTGGTGACTGGTAAAGTTTTAGGTGTCTGAGGAAGATGGTTAAGGTTAGGGTTAAGGTGGTCTGAGTAAGATGGTTAAAGTGATAGTCTGTAACTCTAAATGAATTACAAATTTTAGGAAATGTGTTAAATTGACATCCTGGCCTTAAATGTTGATATAAAATAAGTCATTTTATTAATTCTAATATTACGGGCAAGTCCCGCCTTCCCTGCTCTTAGCTATAGTTCAGAATCCACGGTGCCGTCGAGGTTAACCAATCGAGTCATGCCAAGGGCTGTCAATCATCGGCGCTGATGCTCGCAGCTGCGCGCATGCTCAGTTGTTTGTTTTTGCCTAGCCTCCGAATCAAGCCTCTATTAGGCTCTGGAACTACATGAAAACTGAACAAAGAATAGCACTTCCTGGTTTGCCGCAATTGCTTTTTTTGTGCATAAAAATATTATTTTTTCATTAAAACGTTCACAAATAATTCTGAAAACCTCCGTGAATGTGTATTAATAATGTATATGTATAATGTGTTCTCTGATTAACATTTAAAAGTGTTACGGAAACGTAGGCGTAGACCAATCAGAAAGGAAGGGGGAGGAGCTTGCGTGGTTTTTTTCCAAATCAAGTACCTCTCTGTCTCTCTGACAAACTCCAGACAATCACTTTAAGGTTAAGGTTGAGGTGGTCTGAGTAAGATGGTTAAGGTGGGTTGGGATTATTCTTTGGTAATGGCTGGTTAAGTTTAGGCATAAATAGTTGGTTATAGATAGTTACTTCCGCTTCCCTATATGATCTAGTGCTGACCGAAGTGAACACCAGTGTGAATGCTAATGCTAGCTACAGTTCAAACCTGGACAAAAACACATATAGAGAGAAGTCAGTCATTCTTTTCACTGCTCTGCTCCCAACACCTCTCTGACCCAACACCTCTGACCCAACACCTCTGACCCAACACCTCTCTGACCCAACACCTCTGACCCAACACCTCTGACCCAACACCTCTGACCCAACACCTCTGACCCAACACCTCTGACCCAACACCTCTCTGACCCGAAACTTCTGACCCGACACCTCTGACCCGACACTTCTCTGACCCGACACCTTGTTATTAACATAAACATTGACCCTTTGCTACAGACCCCAGGGACCCCCTCTGGGCCAACATGGCAGACTCTCTACGCTCTCAGTCTTCAGCCTCATTGGACTGGAATAAAAACTTAACCATGTTCGCAACATTAATTATTATGATAATGTAAACAAATCCCTTTGACAGTCAGAGAGGAGGCCTGTCTCACATTTTCAGGAAGACTGTTCCAGATTTTGGCTGCATAAATCTGAAAGGCTTACTCCTCATGTTTAGTCCTGACTCTGGGACCAGCAGGAGGCCAGTCCCTGTGCTCCTCAGAGTTGGTTCATATGGCATTAACATGTCGCAGATGTACTTTGGTTCGAGGCCGGGGAGAGACTGAGCTGCTTCAGTCTTTTCTCTGAGCCACAGGTGCAGAGACATGAGACCAGGACGAATGTGATGTTACTTCCTGGTTCTGGTCAGGTCTCGAGCTGCAGTGTATTGACTGTTATGGAGAATGTGTGTGTTTACCTCTGGTCCATCTGGAAAAAAGTGTGTGTGCTTCTTTCTTGACCTCTATTTACCAGAGACAGTTCTGCTGAGCTCACAGAATCTTTAATCAGGGAAGTCCCGATCCCAGAGGGAGGATCACTGACAGCTGGAAGCCATGGTTACCAAGGAATTTTCCAGTCCTGGTCCTGAGGCTGTAGACCCAGGGTTGAGACTGTAGACCCAAAACGGAGAATCTACAGCCTCAGTCCCTCGTGTGTTTTTTATTATTCCATTTCTTGAGTATGAACTGATTCTCTAATCTGTTGTTGGTGAATCCACAATCCTCAGAGACGCTGCTGTGGTTTAAGGGAAAACACAAAAACATGACTTGAGTTTGTTTGTGTTTTATACCTGACAGTTCTATAGGTTTCATTCTCTTTTTGTCTCCTGTAGAGAAACTGTCTCTTGTTCTTCCCCAAACGACTCATGGGCTGTGGCTGTGTCTGCCTCTGCTTCAGATTAGTGATAATCTGTAGAATTTATCCACAAAAGCTGTGTGGCCTCATTCTGAAAGTCTGAACTGTAGCACAGGGACAAAAAGTCTTCAGTCAGAAACAAAAGTCCATCTAAATGGCATTGACAGAGGTCACACATGTTCTATAAGGCCCCGGAGACGGAGACGCTGGGGGTGGAAACATCATGCTTCAGGCTCTTTTTCCTGAACAGCTCCCAAGACGATCCCAAGACAGGGACTAGCCTCCTGCTGAGACTCTGAGGAGCACAGGGACTAGCCTCCTGCTGAGACTCTGAGGAGCACAGGGACTGGCCTCCTGCTGAGACTCTGAGGAGCACAGGGACTGGCCTCCTGCTGAGACTCTGAGGAGCACAGGGACTGGCCTCCTGCTGAGACTCTGAGGAGCACAGGGACTGGCCTCCTGCTGGGACTCTGAGGAGCACAGGGACTGGCCTCCTGCTGAGACTCTGAGGAGCACAGGGACTGGCCTCCTGCTGGGACTCTGAGGAGCACAGGGACTGGCCTCCTGCTGAGACTCTGAGGAGCACAGGGACTGGCCTCCTGCTGGGACTCTGAGGAGCACAGGGACTGGCCTCCTGCTGGGACTCTGAGGAGCACAGGGACTGGCCTCCTGCTGGGACTCTGAGGAGCACAGGGACTAGCCTCCTGCTGGGACTCTGAGGAGCACAGGGACTAGCCTCCTGCTAGGTCGTGCTTTACTAATAACCTTGCCTTGTGTTTCAGGCGGGGGCGTCCTCCATGTGGGCGTCGTGCTGTGGGTTGCTGAATGAGGTCATGGGTACGGGCGCGGTGCGGACGCCGCAGCCGGCCTTTGGGGCAGGGGCGGGGCCTTTCCGCTTCGCCCCCAGTGCAGGGTACTCCACCTACCCCCCTCCCAGCTCCGGCAGTGCAGCCCAGCTCTGCAAGGCCTGTGGGCTGGCCTTCTCTGTGTTCCGACGCAAGGTACCACAGGGACACGCCCACTTGGACACAGACACAAGGACACATGCTAACATGTACATTAGCATCAAAGGCTAACATATACAGTAGCATCACATGCTAACATGTAGTAGTAGTAGTAATCTTTATTTATATACCGCCTTTTCACTGCAGATCTGAGTCTCAAAGCAGTTTACAATTGTTAATTTGAGCATTTGTCTCTCACTCCACACAGAGATGGGAGGGGCCAGTACAGGAGGCACATGCCAGAACTATTGGACATATTTTTAGTGGTAGGGGAAACCGGAGTACCCGGAGGAAACCTACGCAGACACGGGGAGAACATGCAAACTCCACTCAGAAAGACCCTGGTCCGACCGGGATTCGAACCCAGGACCTTCTTACTGAGAGGCGAGAGTGCTAACCACTCAGCCACCGTGCCATGTACAGTGGCATCACATGCTAACATGTACAGTAGCATCACATGCTAACATGTACAGTAGCATCACATGCTAACATGTACAGTAGCATCACAGGCTAACATGTACATTAGCATCAAAGGCTAACATGTAGAGTAGCATCACATGCTAACATGTACAGTGGCATCACTTGCTAACATGTACAGTAGCATCACATGCTAACATGTACAGTAGCATCACATGCTAACATGTACAGTAGCATCACATGCTAACATGTACAGTAGTATCACATGCTAACATGTACAGTAGTATCACATGCTAACATGTACAGTAGCATCACATGCTAACATGTACAGTAGCATCACATGCTAACATGTACAGTAGCATCACATGCTAACATGTACAATAGCATCATCTCTATTTTAAAATTCAGAGCTAATGGCTTATTGTTTCAATTTACATTATATCTTGAATATTATGTCCTCGATACTAAATAGTCCTATTTACCACGTGATGTGGTGTGTTTCATTCATGAACTGAAACAATGGCTTAGTCCCAGACACAGACTGTAGACAGATCAAGCCCCGGCGATCCAAGATGGCGTCCTGTTCAAATGAATGGTTGTGCTCAGTGGCGCTTTGTGACGGTATGGGAGCTGAAAGATTAGCGGAAGTCGCCTGGAACTCGCAAAGATCTGTATTTGGGCATCGTCTGGTCCTCCCGGTTCTGTGCAGTGGATGATCTCCCATAATGCGTTGCGCCAAACACGCGTGTGTGGGTCTCACACCGGGTCTCACGCACGTGCACAGAGGGGCTCGGCCGCGCTCTGACCAATCAGAGCAGTTCATCAGAGCGGGAGTTAGAGCGAGAGCCAGAGGAGCAGAGTTTGTGGCACTAAAGTGTGGATTTAAACAAAACCGAAGGATTTAAGAAGAAAAAAAGTTCAGGATGACACGGGACACTAAAATCCCCACAAAATCGTCCTTTATGAAAGCTGTAGGTTCTCTGTCAGCCGAGGTCGAGCTGTTTCAGTTTACATTGAGTTCTAAGTGACATATTTACTTAGTCTGCAGTACCACAGCGCCCCCTGTGCCCGTGGGTGGGACAGCTTTAAGCTAGTAATACCCTATCCACATATTAGTTTGATTCCTCTTCCTGGCTCCTATTGACTTCCATGTAATAAAAGTGATGATGTCACACAGTGATGATGTCACACAGTGGTGATGTCACACAGTGGTGATGTCACACTGTGGTGATGTCACACAGGGAAAGCAGAGGTTCAGTGTTTATGTAACTGTCTCTGAGTTCAGGACCACATCCATTATTAAAATCACCTTCAGCTCAGATCCACGCTCTCTCCACAGAAACACATCACTGCGAAAAGACACAAATCGTATAAATTCAATGTATTTAATGTATCAATCAATCAATCAATATATATATATCCATCTATGTAGTAATTAGAACATGATAATAATAATGATTACACATGATGGTCCTTTTACTGGTGACTGATCTTTAGAATCTTTATGACACTAGACTGTGTTGGAAGCAGTTTCACTGTGGTTTACTCTGACATGGCATCTGGCTTTATCCTCTCCATCCTCTCTCCTGTGTGTGACATCACTCTCCTGTGTGTGACATCACTCTCCTGTGTGTGACATCACTCTCCTGTGTGTGACATCACTCTCCTGTGTGTGACATCACTCTCTTGTCTCCGCAGCACGTGTGCAGTGACTGTCAGAAGAGCTTCTGTGCCCTGTGCTCCGTCCTCACAGAGAACCTCCGCTGCTGCTCCACCTGCCACCTGCTGCGCAGCACCGCCTTCCAGAGGGCGCGGCTGATGCAGCTGCGCGTCAAAGACCTGCGGCAGTATCTGCTGCTACGCAACATCCCCACAGACACCTGCAGGGAGAAGGACGACCTGGTGGACCTGGTGCTGGTCCACCAGGTCCACCAGGTCCAACAGGGCCACCAGGTCCATCAGGGCACCAGCGACAGCCCGAGCGCTGTGACGGAGCAGGAGGAGGAGGAGGAGGACCAGGAGGAGGAGGACCAGGAGGAGCCTGAGGAGGAGGAGGAGGAGGACAGTCTGCAGGCCTCTCCTCCCTCCGCCACACGCTCCCCCTCTCAGCTCTCCGTCCTGTCGTTCCAGGGAGACGCTCTGAGTCCCAGCGACAGCTCCAGCAGCCAGGTCTGTGACTCTGAACAATAAAACACTTATTTATGTTGTTCTTTACATTTACTACATTTCCATGAAACCTCAAAGAGCTCAGATACAGAGAGATGCTTCTGTCCGGCAGCATCAGAACATTGTTCTGAAAGCTCCAGGACTGGCCCCGTACCATGGCGTGGTCCTGGGAGCTCTGTGGTCTGGGGCTTTATACCCCTGGTCTCCCACTGCAACAGGTATTATGTGAGAAAGGTGAAGAGCAGTCCAAAGCCCACCATGGATTGTACTTTGAAAAAGAACTGTTACATCACCTGGTACAGCGCAGGTGATGTAACAGAGCTCTCAGATCCATGTTAGAGCTCTCAGATCCATGTCAGAGCTCTCAGATCCATGTTAGAGCTCTCAGATCTTTGTTAGAGCTCTCAGATCCATGTCAGAGCTCTCAGATCCATGTTAGAGCTCTCAGATCTTTGTTAGAGCTCTCAGATCCGTGTCAGAGCTCTCAGATCTTTGTTAGAGCTCTCAGATCCGTGTCAGAGCTCTCAGATCCATGTCAGAGCTCTCAGATCCATGTTAGAGCTCTCAGATCCATGTTAGAGCTCTCAGATCCATGTCAGAGCTCTCAGATCCATGTTAGAGCTCTCAGATCTTTGTTAGAGCTCTCAGATCCGTGTCAGAGCTCTCAGATCCATGTTAGAGCTCTCAGATCCATGTTAGAGCTCTCAGATCCATGTCAGAGCTCTCAGATCCATGTTAGAGCTCTCAGATCCATGTCAGAGCTCTCAGATCTTTGTTAGGGCTCTCAGATCCGTGTCAGAGCTCTCAGATCCATGTTAGAGCTCTCAGATCCATGTCAGAGCTCTCAGATCCATGTCAGAGCTCTCAGATCCATGTTAGAGCTCTCAGATCCATGTTAGAGCTCTCAGATCCATGTCAGAGCTCTCAGATCCGTGTCAGAGCTCTCAGGTCCATGTTAGAGCTCTCAGATCTTTGTTAGAGTTCCTTCCCTGTGGGGGACTGGTCCCTCTCTGTTGTTGTGCCTACGGGCCAAACAGCAGAACCTTCATAAAGTCCGTTGGACTTTAACGCCCATTTGGGAACTGCCAGTGACAATTGGAGAGGGATGAAGCGGAAGAACATCCCTGATCTGAACCCGAGAGGTGTTCAGGAGTTATGGACTTCTGTGTCACTTTGTCCAGAACCAACCTGAAGGTCTGAGGTCTGAGATCTGAGTCTGAGGTCTGAGTCTGAGGTCTGAGTCTGAGGTCTGAGTCTGAGGTCTGAGTCTGAGGTCTGAGTCTGAGGTCTGAAGGTCTGAAGGTCTGAGTCTAAGGTCTGAGTCTGAGGTCTGAAGGTCTGAGGTCTTGAAGGTTTGAGGTCTGAGGTCTGAGGTCTTGAAGGTCTGAGGTCTGAGGTCTAAGGTGTCTGCCCTGAGGCAGAGTGGCAGAGAGTGGCTGCACCTTCTGTCTGTGTCATTTGCACTGCACTTTTTTGACCAGTTCCATCAGAGACCTCTGTGGTCTAGACTGAGACCTCTGTGGTCTAGACTGAGACCTCTGTGGTCTAGACTGAGACCTCTGTGGTCTAGACTGAGACCTCTGTGGTGTAGACAGAGACCTCTGTGGTGTAGACTGAGACCTCTGTGGTCTAGACTGAGACCTGCAGGGGGGCCGCGGGAGGTCATTAAAAAAATAATATAATTATTTAATGTTACATTTATAATGTTTTGTTTGTAATATTAAAATATTTGTGTTCATTATTTGACTTGAATAATCCACTGTAATCATTTTTGTATTACAATGTTTGTAGCAGAGGCTATTTCCCCAAAATAAAATAACCAGAAGAGCCTATTCTTAATGTTGTCTTCTTGGTTATTATTTTGGGGGGCCACGCAGACCCGTCAGATTTTTAAGGGGGCCTCGGTGTTACTGAGTTTGGGAATGGCTGGTCTAGAGACTCTAGACTGAGACCTCTGGGTCTTTTGCAGGAGCCTGATCCAGAGGAAGCTACGACTGCGTCACTTCTGAACCTGGATCCAACTGAAAACCTGATGGAGGTGAAACATTTGGTTTGTGTTTGAGAGACTTCTGGACTGAGACCTGAGACCAGGACTAATGTGAGAGGACTTCAGGACTGAGACCTGAGACCAGGACTAATGTGAGAGGACTTCAGGACTGAGACCTGAGACCAGGACTAATGTGAGAGGACTTCAGGACAGAGACCTGAGACCAGGACTAATGTGAGAGGACTTCAGGACAGAGACCTGAGACCAGGACTAATGTGAGAGGACTTCAGGACAGAGACCTGAGACCAGGACTAATGTGAGAGGACTTCTCTCCTCCTTCCCTCTCTCGCCCCCTCTAACCTCTCTCTCCTTCTCTCTCTCCCCCCCCTCCCCCTTCCCCCTCTCTCTCTCCCCCTCTGACCTCTCTGTGCTGTGTCCTGCAGGTGAGTCCAGCGTCCCAGCGTCGGACCCGGGCCTCGCTCTCGGACCTGGACACGGAGGATGCGATCCAGAACCTATCGGTGCGGCAGCTCAAGGAGATTCTGGCTCGAAACTTTGTGAATTATTCTGGATGCTGCGAGAAGTGGGAGCTGCTGGAGCGAGTGCACCGCCTCTACCGGGAGAACGAGCACAACCGGAGATCCAGTCAGTCCCCAACACGCAAGACACATGGTCCTGGAGAGATTGATGGTCCTTTATGGTTTCGGAATATTGTAGTATCGTCTATAAGAGGCAGAGCTCTGACTCCAGGTTCTAGATCAGTCGACGGAGCAGAGAGAGACCAGCGAGAGACTGGAGAGAGACTGAAGAGAGACCAGAGAGAGGCCAACGAGAAACAAGAGAGAGACCAAAGAGAGATCAGAGAGAGACAAGAGAAAGACCAGAGAGAGACTGGAGAGAGACCAGCAAAAGAGAGATCAGAGAGAGAGACCAAAGATAGACTAGAAAAAGACCAGATAAAATATTAAACCAAATAATTATGGTTATTACCTCCTTGACAATAGACTTTAGTTTTATTTGTAACTGTTTTTCTCTTTCTTTTCTTCCAGTGGAGAACGTCAGCATCACTGCAGGTAACGACCTTTAACCTTTAGTTCTATTTCCTGTCTCTATGAGCCCAGACCAGAGAGAGAGACCAGAGAGAGAGACCAGAGAGAGAGACCAGAGAGAGAGACCAGAGAGAGAGACCAGAGAGAGAGACCAGAGAGAGACCAGAGTGAGACCAGAGTGAGAGACCAGAGTGAGAGACCAGAGTGAGAGACCAGAGAGAGAGACCAGAGAGAGAGACCAGAGAGAGAGACCAGAGAGAGAGACCAGAGAGAGACCAGAGTGAGACCAGAGTGAGAGACCAGAGTGAGAGACCAGAGTGAGAGACCAGAGTGAGAGACCAGAGTGAGAGACCAGAGTGAGAGACCAGAGTGAGAGACCAGAGTGAGAGACCAGAGTGAGAGACCAGAGTGAGAGACCAGAGTGAGAGACCAGAGTGAGAGACCAGAGAGTGAGACCAGAGAGTGAGACCAGAGAGTGAGACCAGAGAGTGAGACCAGAGAGTGAGACCAGAGAGTGAGACCAGAGAGTGAGACCAGAGAGTGAGACCAGAGAGTGAGACCAGCGAGAAAGACCAGAGAAAGATTTTGTGTCAGGACTTTCTCAGATTTAGTTTGAACCTAACAGAGCTCTGTTGTTGTGTCAAACACGTAGTGGTTGCGTTCCCTCCTCCCGAGCGAAACAGAGAGGTCCGAGGTAAGACATGTGACATCACCTGTGTACGCCCCATTCTCACATGTGACATCACTTCAAGTCTAAGTCACATCACCTGCAGCATCTGTGTCAATGTCCGGTCACTCTTTCTCATCTTTTTCCAGTCTCTCTCTGGTCTCTCTCGGATCTCTGTCTGGTTTCTCTCTGGTCTCTCTCTGGTCCCAATGGTCGCACTCTGGTCTCTCTCTGGTCTCTCTGTTCCCTCTGGTCTCACTCTGGTCTCTCTCTGGTCTCTCTCCCTGGTCTCTCTTTCTGTTCTCTCTCTGGTCCCTCTGGTCTCACTCTGGTCTCTCTGGTCTCTCTGGTCTCTCTCGCTGGTCTCTCTCTGGTCCCTCTGGTCTCACTCTGGTCTCTCCCTGGTCTCTCTCTCTCTGGTCCCTCTGGTCTCACTCTGGTCTCTCTCTGGTCTCTCTCTGGTCTCTCTCCCTGGTCTCTCTTTCTGTTCTCTCTCTGGTCCCTCTGGTCTCACTCTGGTCTCTCTCTGATTTCTCTCGCTGGTCTCTCTCTGGTCCCTCTGGTCTCTCTCTGGTCTCTCGCTGGTCCCTCTGGTCTCAATCTGGTCTCTCTCTCCAGATACTGTGGTGTCGCAGCTCTCTCTGGATGAGAATCTCTGTCGGATCTGCATGGACGCCATCATCGACTGCGTGCTTCTGGAATGTGGTCACATGGTCACGTGCACCAAGTGCGGGAAGCGCATGAGCGAGTGCCCCATCTGCCGCCAGTACGTGGTGCGAGCGGTCCACGTCTTCAAGTCCTAGAGGGGGTTTCTCTCTCTGTCCTAGAGGAGGTTTCTCTCTGTCTCAGGCTCCTGCAGTGACTGTGGGGGACTCCAGGGGGCGCCACAGACACAGATGTAGCGGTGAGAAGACTCTTTGTGCAATACCAGAAACACAGACCTGAGGGTTTTAGACGAGGATCCATGCGACTGTGCAGCCCGCAGCGTTCCCCTCGGAGGCCGCCATCTTTAAATCGCAACATTCCATTCACGGTCTCGCCCTGAGTCACAGCGGCACAAACATCAGGTCCTCCAACGTCCGGGATCATCGGGATTCTGAGAAATTCCTCCAAAAATATAAAAATGTTCAACCAGTTTAAAAAAAAGCAAGTGATTGATAATGTTTTTACCTGTTCTCACTTTTATTAAGTGCTAAAACTGGTGAAAATGACTGAAAAATGGAAGAAAAAAAAAAAAAGCTAACTCTTAACAGTAAGCAGTGTGTTGCTATGGTAACTAACAACAAGTTGACCAGGATCAGAACAGGACCAGATCATACAAGGACAAGACCATACCAGGACCAGTCCAGGACCATAACATTCTATAACATGAAATGACAACGTAAATAGTCTCATTGAATGGGCAATGGGTTTCAATAGTCTCAGCAGGAGGCCAGTCCCTGTGCTCCTCAGAGTCCCAGCAGGAGGCCAGTCCCTGTGCTCCTCAGAGTCTCAGCAGGAGGCCAGTCCCTGTGCTCCTCAGAGTCTCAGCAGGAGGCCAGTCCCTGTGCTCCTCAGAGTCCCAGCAGGAGGCCGGTCCCTGTGCTCCTCAGAGTCCCAGCAGAAGGCGGGCCCCAGGGGAACACTGCGTCCTGAACCTTTCACCGATGCTCCTCAGCGTTGCCAGATCAGGGGTGCCAGATAACATGCCTTGAGCGCGTGGTGATCGTCATAACCAGCACGTTCAGTGACATTTGATTATTGTTAGAAAACTATTGTTTTTTGTATTTGTTTTATGTGACTTTTTTTTTACGCTGGAGTTGAATGAACCATGTGCGAAGATAAAGAAGCTCGAAACCAGGACTATGTGAAGAGTTCATTTTCAAAACATATCTTGTTTAAAAAATATCTTTCTCTCCGGTCTCTCTCTGGTCTCTCTCCGGTCTCTCCCTGGTCACTCTCCAGTCTCTCTCTGGTCTCTCTCTGGTCTCCCTCAGGTCTCTCTCTCTCTGGTCTCTCTCTAGTCTCTCTCTGGTCCCTCCCTGGTCTCTGTCTGGTCTCTATTCCCTCTCTGGTCTCCCTCTGGTCTCTCTCTGGCCTCTCTGGTCTCTCTCTCTGGTCTCTTTCTGGTCTCTCTTTGGCCTCTCTGGTCTCTCTCTGGTCTCTCTCTGGTCTCTCTCTGGTCTCTCTCTGGTCTCTCTCTGGTCTCTCTCAGGCCTCTCTGGTCTCTCTCTGGTCTCTCTCTGGTCTCTCTCTGGTCTCTCTCTGGTCTCTCTCTGGTCTCTCTCTGGTCTCTATCCGTTTTTACTCTGTGCAGAAATGTAGAGACTTTTGTCTTTGGGTGAAATCTGGTAAAAGTCGGTGAACTTAAACTGGAGAAAAGTCGTGAGAGCAGAAGAACTGTTCCAAACAAACAAATCCATCCGGAAACTTCTTTGACGGGGATCAGCACAAGGGCCTGGGTTCCACCTCCAGACGCAGCATTACTTTCCGGAGTTTGCATGTTCTCCCTGTGTCTGCGTCAGTTTCCTCCAGGCCCTCCGGCTTCCCATACCACTAAAAGAAACCACTCTTTCAAATCACAAACTTTATCTTGATGCAAAAGTTAGGAACCCCAGCTTTAGTTCACGGCTCAAACACTCGTCCAGACAAAGGGGAGCTACTTTACATGTTTAGCAGAAACCGGAGCACCTGGAGGAAACCTTTGCAGACATGGGGAGAACATGCGACAGAAAGGCCCTGTTCGTACCCAGGTTGGCGTTTGTGTTACACAGTAAGAAGGTCCTGGGTTTGACTCCACCTCTAGACCTTTCTGTGTGGAGTTTGCATGTTCTCCCTGTGTCCGTGTAGAATTCCTCCAGGTGTTCCGGTTTCCCCCTACCTCTAAAAACTTGCAGAGTAGGTCTGAATGTAATGATCTGATTTCACCCAAAGCCAAATGATGTGAATCCTTGCGTCGGTTGCGAGTTCGATTCTGTCTGAAGCAGAAGATTCTGTGTGTTCTGAGAGATAGGTGCTATGCGACATCACTCGTACTGTTCAAGCAGAGATTTGTAGACAACGCTGGTTTATTTTAACTTATGCAAATACAGCAGGGGTGTCCAAACTTAAGTCCAGGCCGAGGTGGAACAAAACCTCTACTGCCACCTACTGGTACCACCTGGCTGCAGTTTTCTCCCTCTCAGATACAGACCAGAGAGAGACCAGAGACCAGAGAGAGCAACCAGAGAAAGACCAGAGGGAGCAAGAGAGACCAGCAAGAGCGCGGATAGAGAGAGACTAGAGAGAGATCAGAAAGTGATCAGGGAGAGACCAGAGAGGGACCAGTGAGAGTCCTATGAACTAATCCCAGCGGTGCACACAAGCCTCACGTTTTCTTCTGACTCTGAAACATGTTACACTCGTGTTTCTTTGATGTTTGAGAAACTGCTGTTTCTGTGATAACCCAGAACAGAATCCAGTCAGAACCGGTTCCGCTGTGGTCGGGCCCTGGACACGTCTGACAGAAGTTTGGACACCCCTGCTCCACCTCATCTCGTCCTCTTTGTTGTGCTGTTCCAGAAGCTGTCACATAAATGCATAAATGGTTAAATGTATATTTTTACACTGAAGTTGGTAGAACAGATTAGTCTAAAGGTTATGAAATAAATGCACCTTTTCTGAATGTACTTCTTCCTCTGCTTCAGCTTTGGTTTCTGTCTGAGGCTCGACCCGGACTGCACCCAGATTTATTTATTCATTTGAACAGTATTAATACTGCACAAAAGGAGTGGGCTGAAGCAAAAAGCTCATTAGCAACACACCTCCAGCTAATGACTCAGGAAACAGGTGCAGAGAGAAGAGACCTCCATGTGTTAGTCTGACAGAACTGAGAGACACCAGAGAGAGAAACCAGAGAGAGACCAGAGAGAGAGAGATCCGCAAGGGACCAGAGAGAGACCAGAGAAACCAGTGAGAGACCAGAGAAACCAAAGAGAGAGACCAGAGAGAGACAGAGAGAGACCAGAGAGAGGCGATAGAGAGACTGAAGAGCAAACAGAACTACAGTAGATAAGTGACCAATAATATTCTAGTGCAGATACAGCTGTGTTTAATCTGTACATGAGACCGCAGTGTTTATGTGACTAGGGCTGGTGTCAGAGCAGAGTTCAGGGACTAATCATTTTGTCCGGATTGACTTTTAGATAACTTTCACCATCTTTATTTGTATAGCAGCACATTCCACAGACCATGGTCACTCACAGAGCTTTGGTTTCAGAGTGCTGTTCCCACTCTCTCCACACGGGGGCGGCAGAAGCTTCAGTCAGACCTTTTGTGCACGGGTCTGAATCTTAGAGGTCAGAGAAATATAACATTTTTATTATCCAGAGAGAGAAAATAGACCACAGAGAGACTAGAGAGGGAGACCAGAGAGAGACCATGAGAGACCAGAAAGAGACTAGAGAGGGAGACAAGGGAGAGACCAGAGGGAGACCAGAGAGAGACCAGAAAGAGACTAGAGGGAGACAAGAGAGAGACCATAGAGACACCAGAGGTGTGTACCTTTAAAGCCGGTTGAAGCTGCAGAAAAACTCAGACATAAATGATTCAGTGTTTTTTATTATTAAAAGACTTTCTTCTTTTTTGTTTTTAAATTGTTTCTATAAAAACATTGAGTAAAATCTGACCACAGCAAATATGTAAACAGTCACGTCCAAAGAAAACGTTATAAAACAGCAGTAAACGAACAAGTAACAAGTGTCACATGGTAAACCAGTGATGAAACACTCCACCAGCTGCAGTAGAGTAGAGTAGAGTAGAGTAGAGTAGAGTAGAGTAGAGAAGAGTAGAGCTGGTGGAAGCGAGGCATTAGTCCCTCGGACACAGCCCCCACATTCAAACATGTAAACTGCACTAAAACCTGAGTTTGTGGAGAGACCAGAGAGAGACCAGAGAGAGACCAAAGAGAGACCAGAGTGACCAGAGAGACCAGTGAGAGACCAGAGAGAGACCAGAGAGAGACCAGAGAGAGACCAAAGAGAGACCAAAGGGAGACCAAAGGGAGACCAAAGAGAGACCAAAGAGAGACGAGAGAGAGACCAGAAAGAGACCAGAGAGACCAGGGAGAGACCAGAGAGAGACCAGAGAGAGACCAGAAAGAGACCAGAAAGAGACCAGTGAGAGAGACCAGAGAGAGACCAGTGAGAGAGACCAGAGAGAGACCAGAGAGAGACCAGAGAGAGACCAGAGAGAGACCAGGGAGAGACCAGGGAGAGACCAGAGACTAGAGAGGGAGACAAGAGAGAGACCAGAGAGAGAGAGACCAGGGAGAGACCAGAGAGAGACCAGAGAGAGAGACCAGAGAGAGACCAGAGAGAGACCAGGGAGAGACCAGGGAAAGACCAGGGAGAGACCATGAGAGACCAGAGAGAGACCAGAGAGAGAGAGAGACCAGGGAGAGACCAGAGAGAGACCAGAGAGAGACTAGAGACTAGATCTGTATTCAGTCGATGCATGGGAGTAGAAATAGCTGGATCGGTGCGCCCCTAGTGGACAGATGTTGTAACTACATGCAGAGCTACGTGTCACTCAGCACCGTTTTGACACAGAAACCAGGAATCATCACTGCTTAAACGCAACACTAGTTTTAGTCTTTGAAAAAATATCCATTATGTACCAGCTGCACCACACCAGTGTCACTTTAACTCCTCACCAGTGGTAAAAAAACATTCAATATTAAGAAAACAGTGCTTTGATCCGGCTGAAAAAACAGGATTTACAGAAACATCCAACACAGATACTGGCTCCAGGACTAAAGCAGAAACATAGACTTTACTCTTTAAAACTCTACTGTACATTTATAAAAATATCATATCCACACTTTACCTGGGTCTGCTTTGCATCAGGACTACACTGGAGCAGGAGTCACCACTGCTGGACCAGAGGGGCACGGGGAGAACAAGCAAACTACACAGAGATAGGGCCCAGAACCCAGAACCTTCTACTGAGGGGCGTGTGTGTGTGTGTGTTGTCGCTCTCTGTATGTGTGTTGTGTGTGTATGTGTTGTGTAGTCTGTGTGTGTGTTGTGTAGTGTGTGTGTGTTGTCTCTCTGAGGGTGTGTGTGTTGTGTACGTGTGCGTATGTGTGCTGTCGCTTTCTGTATGTGTGTGTATTTGTGTGTGTGTTGTGTGTGTCTGTATATGTGTATGTGTGTGTGTGTACGTTGTCCCTCTCTGTATGTGTGTGTGTGTGTGTATGTGTGTGTGTGTGTGTGTGTGTGTATGTCATGTTGATATTAAAGGAGCTGAAATGAAAATATGTTTTGTGCCGGTTAATCAGCCTAAATCAGACTCAAAGATGAACAGCTGTCGGTGAGTCCTGCTCCAACCACACAAACAAATAAGTTAGAAAGAGGTTCAGAGAGAGAGACCTCCGTGTATTGCTCTGACAGGACTGAGAGAGACCAGAGAGAGACCAGAGAGAGACAGAGAGAGACCAGAGAGAGAGACCAGAGAGAGACCAGAGAGAGACCAGAGAGAGACAGAGAGAAACCAGAGAGACCAGAGAGAGACCAGAGACCAGAGAGAGACCAGAGAGAGACCAGAGAGAGACCAGAGAGAAACCAGAGAGAGACCAGAGAGAGACCAGAGAGAAACCAGAGAGAGACCAGAGAGAGACCAGAGAGAAACCAGAGAGAGACCAGAGAGAGACCAGAGAGAGACAGAGAGAGACCAGAGAGAGAGACCAGAGAGAGACAGAGAGAAACAGAGAGAGACCAGAGAGAGAGACCAAAGAGAGAGACCAAAGAGAGACCAGAGAGAGAGACCAAAGAGAGACTAGCTGACTCTCTGCAGTAGTTTGTCTTCGAGGAGCTGGAACTGGACGCTGACGGACATCTCTGCGATGAACTGTTCACATCCTTCCTTCGTCACTTGTTTACAGAAGCGCAGGTCGATGTGACAGATGCTGCCGCAACGTTTGAAGAAGGTCAGAGACTGGTCTGTCACACGGTTACACACTGGACACACAACAACACACAAGGACACACAACAGTGGCAGGTTAAAGTGGAATTCAGTATTGTATTGGTCAGTCCTGGGTCTACCGCCTCAGTCCTGGTCTATAGCCTCAGTCCTGGGTCTACAGCCTCAGTCCTGGTCTATAGCCTCAGTCCTGGGTCTACAGCCTCAGTCCTGGTCTATAGCCTCAGTCCTGGGTCTACAGCCTCAGTCCTGGGTCTACAGCCTCAGTCCTGGGTCTATAGCCTCAGTCCTGGATCTACAGCCTCAGTCCTGGGTCTACAGCCTCAGTCCTGGGTCTACAGCCTCAGTCCTGGTCTATAGCCTCAGTCCTGGTCTACAGCCTCAGTCCTGGGTCTACAGCCTCAGTCCTGGGTCTACAGCCTCAGTCCTGGATCTACAGCCTCAGTCCTGGGTCTACAGCCTCAGTCCTGGGTCTACAGCCTCAGTCCTGGGTCTACAGCCTCAGTCCTGGGTCTACAGCCTCAGTCCTGGGTCTACAGCCTCACCGGACAGCTTGAGGTCGGTGAGGGAGTCCCTGGAGGTGGTTCCGGCGGCTGTGAGCAGGTTCACAGACTGGTCCGTGATGTGGTTGCAGTAGCTCAGGTCCAGTTTGGAGAGAAGCGGCAGGTGGCGTACGATGAGGCGCAGAGACGAGTCTGTGACGTCCAAACCGGCCAGACCCAGCTCACTCACACACCTCAGTCTGCTCCGGGAGTCTACCTGACCTGTCAGAACCAGCACCAGAAGACAGTATCAGAATAATGTTTGAAGTCGTTGTTATAAATATTAAATACAGCACACGCCGATACAAGAACACATTTAATCATGGAAGATCTGCATCTTCTCCACCGACTTCCACTGTTGACTGCTGTCGTTGTGTCCTTGGGCAAGACACTTAACCCCACTTTGCCCAAAGCCCCCATTGAAAGATCAAGGCTATGCTCACAGTCAGAGCAGCCGTCCTCCTGTGGACTCACCACCTGCAGAGGGTCAGTGAGGGGCTGGTGCTATGAGACTTGGGTGGCATCTCTGATTGCCACCCCCCTGACCCAGAAATGGATTAAAGGGTAGAAAATGGATGGATGGATATTTTATATCAAAGTGTTTTTATACGATGTGTTTTCAGCCTGAGGTCAGAGTTTACAGACTTCAGAGCAGACAGTCTTAGAGTTTGTGTCTCCATTGTTCTTTCAGAGAAGTGGGAGTCTCATCTTGCCAAAAAGGGAGAACAGGAACCAGACCAGGACTCAGACCAGACCAGGACTTGAACTTCAAGTCCAGGGGTTTTACCAAATATGGAGCAAAAATGACGTCTTTGGCGGCTCTTCCTCTTCTTCTAAACTTTGTAATAGATTGATTTATTGTTTATTTGTTTGGGACAGTACATGTTCATGAACACACCTCTCCAGGTCGTAGCCTTGAGCTAGTTTCCATCCGTGGTGCCACAGCCGCACTCACAAACACAGACTCATGCACCCTGGACTATTGTACATGTTTTTAGTGGCAGGGGAAACCAGAGCACCCAGAGGACACCTACGCAGACAAAGGGAGAACATGCAAACCCCACTCAGAAAGACCCAGTTCCGACCAGGATTCAAAACCAGGACTTTCTTGCTGAGAGCGAGAGTGCTAACCACTCAGCCAGCCATAAAACAGTTTTAAACGACGTGAGTCAGTCTGAGCAGAGGACAGAGAGAGGACTTCACAGAGATTAGTTTGGAGGGTCAGTCACATTTTGGCTCCGCTCAGAGGAATAGTAAAGGAAATAGGGGATAAGAGTTTTGTATTAGTATTTATGGTAAAGAGAATTAAATATTATTCATTTGGACTCTTGCATATCTGTTTTTCAGGGCAAATTCTGAATCATGTCCTCCAATAACATGAAGTGGTAACATAGCCTCATTTTTACTGTGTGTGTGTGTGTGTGTGTGTGTGCGTGTGTGTGTGTGCGTGTACCTGGCCTGTTGTCTGTAGGGGGAGACAGCAGGTCCCTCATCTGAGCGTCCTTCAGTCCTTCGACCCACTGCACGTCCAGCGTCCGCAGCAGAGGACACGACGCCGAGCACAGAGCGGAGACGGAGATCCACGAGCAACCAGAGAGAAGCAACACACGCAGACCTGAGACACACACACACACACACACACACACATACTGAAGGTAAAGTGAGAGAGTCTGAAAGTAAAGGAGACAGTAGTGAGAGAGTCTGAAGGTAATGGAGACAGTAGTGAGAGAGTCTGAAGGTAATGGAGACAGTAGTGAGAGAGTCTGAAGGTAATGGAGACAGTAGTGAGAGAGTGGAACAGCCTCAGAGGTCCCATAGAGCAGTGGTTCCCAAAGTGGGGGTCCCGACCCCCCGGGGGGTCGCAAGATGATTTCCACACAAAAAAAAAGATTTTTTTTGCTAAAAAAAAAAAGATTTTTTTTTTGAGCAAATATAAAGCCCTTAAATATTTATTTAACATTTATATATATTATTATATATATTTTATCATATATTTATAAAATATATTTTAATAACGTTAGTAATTTTGTCCCAGTCATTGCAGCGTCAATCAAAATCATCACGTAACACAGCTCACATCATGCGCAGCGACAAAGCGTATCCTGCTGTTGTTTGCTAAAACTAAAGGTGTTTGGAGGCTACAAATAAATAATACCTGCTTTAAAATGAAACGTGGTTAATATCCACAACAGAAAAACCCGGAGGGGGAGAAAAGTCACTTGTATCAGGGGTCAGGCTGATGGTGCGAAGAGAGGGAGAGAGGGCAGAGGAGGGAGAGAGGGCAGCGGAGGGAGGGAGGACAGCGGAGGAAGGGAGGGAGGGAGTGCAGCGGTAGAACAGCGCGTTAAAGAGGCCCGGCTTTTCGGAGTCAAAGGTAAAGAGGTCCGCACATTAAAAGCGGGTGGCCGGTTTATGCCTTTACTGACAGTAACTTTGGAAAGAGAAGCCGCGGGGATGAACCGCATAAAGTAACAGCAGAAAGCGGCCGCCCGCTTTTAATGTGCGGACCTCTTTACCGCTGACTCCGGAAAGCCGGCCCACTTTACCGCGGTAGGAGAACAGTGAGGGCGAGCCGCAAGAAAGGCACCAAGCCCATCACTGTGTCACTACATGAGTAAAAATATGCAAGCCTCCTTTTTTGGGCTGGACAGTGCAGCTCGGTAGTGGCGTGAGTCTCTAGAAAGCGTTACTCCGTATCAAGGAAATACATGCTCATTTCATGTGACGGAAGGGCTGTTGGGGGGGGGGGCCATAGAGGACCGAGCTCAGAGGGATTAGCACCAGCGGAGAGTGGACGTAGCAGATGTGACATGCCTCACCTGGCAGCCTGTTGAGGAGCCAGCTCAGCTGCTTCTTGGAGATGTTGGTCCAGCTCAGGTCCAGAGCGAGAGGCTGTCTGCGGATGATCCCACTGAGCATCAGGGCAGAGATGGCCTTACAGCGGCTCAGGTTGATGCGCTGCCACAGCCTCTTGTCACAACACCTGCACACAGAGACACAGGACTGTACAACGAACACCGGAGACTGAGAAACACTGGCATCCCATGACCTGCATCTGTGCAATACTGTGCAATACTGTGCAATACTGTCAGAATGGGCAATTAAGGACCACACCTGTCTACTGTCACTGTTAGCCCACACCCTCATGCTGCTAACATGTACAGTAGCATCACATGCTAACATGTACAGTAGTACATGTAACTTCCTCTCCCCCTCTCCTCCTCCCTCTGGGCCCTCATACTCACCATCGGTTCCAGGTGCGGCACACTCGCATACACACACACAGCTCTCTGTGACTCAGCAGATGAAACACGTTGACCCAGGTCTCTCTCCGCATCACGTGAGTGTCTCCCCCCGACAGAGGGAGGCGATCAGGGGGAGGGCTGATGGGCGGCGGCCGGATCACATGACGCTCCATCTGTACACATCTGGGCGGAGAGCGAGAGGGGGGAGGGCGGGGGCAGGAGGGGGGAGAGCAGCCGTTCAGGTTCTTCCCCCTGAGGCCCGGCCAGGATCCCAGGTCCCCACGACCGTTCAGGACCCACGTGGGCTCCTCTGCTTCCTGCTCAGTCTCTGCTTTGATTGGCCGGTGGTTCTGATTGGTCGAGCCTCTGTCCTCTGTCTTCACTGGGCGGCGGTTTTGATTGTTGAGTACATCCTCAGATTTAAGGCTCTTGCGGTGGTTCAGGCTCGGGTCTTCTGCTTTAAGAGGTTTTCGGTTCAGACTCGGGTCTTCTGTTTTAAGAGGTTTTCGGTTCAGACTCGGGTCTTCTGTTTTAAGAGGTTTTCGGTTCAGACTCGGGTCTTCTGTTTTAAGAGGTTTTCGGTTCAGACTCGGGTCTTCTGTTTTCAGAGGTCTCCGGTTCAGACTCGGGTCTTCTGTTTTCAGAGGTCTCCGGTTCAGACTCGGGTCTTCTACTTTAAGAGGTTTTCGGTTCAGGCTCGGGTCTTCTGTTTTCACGGGTTTTCGGTTCAGGCTCGGGTCTTCCACTTTGATGGGTCTCCTGTTGTGAGTGGCTGAGCCGTCTCTCCCCAGTCTCTCCTCTGACTTGGACGTGTCCTGGTGGACTGGTCTTCGGCGCTGATGGCAGGTCTTCAGGAGCCTCTTGTCTGCATGGGTCAGCTCCACACTGGAGCACGCTCTGTGTGCGGTGGTCTCGCTCTCAAGTCCCCCTGATGCCCTCACAGGGTGAATGTGGCCCTTTGAGCTGTCATCAGTTGTAAATCTGCCTCTCCTCAGCTCCTCCTCATCCTCCTCCTGATCTTCGTCCTCCAAGTCGTTCTCAGTTTTTATTTGTCGGAAAAGTTTAGGAGAAACTGGACCATCGTATTTCAGAGCTTTTTTCTGTGAAAGAAAAATGAAATTTGACTCATACAGAAAAATTAATATCAGCTACAGTAGTCTGTGTGGGTTTTCTCAGGCTGTATCTGCTCTCTAATCTCTCACTGTTTATTATGAGTAGTTCAAATGTTATTAAAGTTTTAAACCTTCTTCTTCAGGAGGACAGGTTCCTCGTTGGTGTCAAACAGCCTCCTCTTCTTCCTCAGTGGGTTATCGTCAGGCTTCAGACGCGGTGACTCCAGAGAGAGCAGTGGAGGCCTCTTCAGAGGCTCCAGGTCTGTCCTGGTGGAGAGGTCCTCTCTCTCTTTCCTCTTGGAGAGGTCCTCTCTCTCTCTCTCTTTCCTCTTGGAGAGGTCCTCTCTCTCCTTCTTCTTCACCGGCAGTGCAGTGGAGGAGGTGCTGAGGCTCAGAGGGGTCTCGTAGTCCTCCTTCTGGTCCCGGTTCAGCCGAGGTTCTTTGAGCAAAGATCCAGGGAGGTTTGATGCATATTTGAAACCCGGACCCCGTTTTTGCTTTGAAGCCAGAAACATAGAAAAAGAAGCAAGACATGATTCACCTTTAAAGATCCAGGATTAAACATAATTCACCTTCAAAGATCCGGGATTAAACATAATTCACTTTTAAAGATCCAGGATTAAACATTATTCACTTTTAAAGGATTAAACCTGAAACACTGTGTTCTTCAACAAAGACACTTACTTTCCCAGTCTTTCCTGCGTGGTTACATTTAGGACACTCCCAACAGTTCGGCAACTCATCGTTCACCACGCCACTCGAGTCTTTCACCTGGAATATACAGGCGTAATCTGAGATAAACCACAGAGGTACAGGCGTAATCTGAGATACACCACAGAGGTACAGGCGTAATCTGAGATACACCACACAGAGGTACAGGTGTAATCTGAGGCTGAAGACCTCTCTACACAACAGACTTCTGACGGATGTGTCCTACAGCAGTTCTCTGCCATCATCATCATCACTGAGGACAACGCAGAGGACTGTGACCTCTGACCCTTCAAGCCCTGACCTTCAGGCCCTGACCTCTGACCTTCAGGCAGCTGGGGTGCAGGATCTCGTTGCAGATGGAACACTCCATCAGCATCAGGTTGAATTTCTCGTCCTCTGCGTCAACAGTTTCTTCTTTTCCTGCTTCTCCACAAACGAGACACACAGCAGTGTGCGGCAGGACAGGCTGCAGACAGGGAGGGTGGTGAGTGTGTGTGTGTGTGTGTGTGTCTCTGTCTGTGTGTGTGTGTGTGTTTCTGTGTGTGCGTGTGTCTCTCTGTGTGTGTCTCTGTAAGACCCTTACCGCAATACACTGCCTGAGGATGCAGGACTGCTTCATTCGTCCTGGTCCTCCAAACTTCTTCATGTCTTTGCAGAAGTGACAATCTCCACACTCGGTGCGAAGACACGCCTCGCAGCGGCGGCATCTTGTGCGTCTGCGCCGTGTACCAGATGTCGAGCGACTTGCTGTCAGCTTCACCGCCGCCGGCACCGCCATCTTGGGCTTCGGCCGGTTTTGAGACCGTGGCTGCAGAGACAGAGTCAGAAGAAACGTATTGCGGATGTATACATTCTGTGTTAGCATTGTCCATCTGTACACAGTCTGTGTTAGCATTGTCCATCTGTATACAGTCTGTGTTAGCATTGTCCATCTGTACACAGTCTGTGTTAGCATTGTCCATCTGTACACAGTCTGTGTTAGCATTGTCCATCTGTATACAGTCTGTGTTAGCATTGTCCATCTGTATACAGTCTGTGTTAGCATTGTCCATCTGTATACTGTCTGTGTTAGCATTGTCCATCTGTATACAGGCTCAGGACAGACGCAGCTCCAGTCTTTAGTTCCAGTGCAGATTCCTGGCGTCGGCATGGCAACAGCTCCTACACCACCAACACTTGGGACCAATAACATCAGCACATTCACTCAGAGGACATGAGATAATTTAACTACACTCACACTGAAAAAGCAATGACAGCTTTCTCCCTGCATCTAAAACTCAAAGTACATTTCCAGTTAAAGCTCAGGTCCCTAACTTTGAAATAACAACATATTTAGCTGTGAGATAAGATAACTGTGCAAGCTCCAAACAGGTGGCAGCCTCAGTCCTTGATCTACAGCCTCCGTTCTGGGTCTTCAGCCTCAGTCCTGGGTCTACAGCCTCAGTCCTGGGTCTACAGCCTCAGTCCTGGGTCTACAGCCTCAGTCCTGGATCTACTGCCTCAGTCCTGGATCTACAGCCTCAGTCCTGAATCTACTGCCTCAGTCCTGGATCTACAGCCTCAGTCCTGGATCTACAGCGTCAGTCCTGGATCTACAGCCTCAGTCCTAGATCTACAACCTCAGTCCTGGATCTACAGCCTCAGTCCTGGGTCTACAGCCTCAGTCCTGAATCTACAGCCTCAGTCCTGAATCTACTGCCTCAGTCCTGGATCTACAGCCTCAGTCCTGGATCTATAGCCTCAGTCCTGGATCTATAGCCTTCATGTCATTATTCCACAGACCACCAAGACAGCAGGCCACCGGTGCATGTGTTTGTTGTGCTTGTGTGTTGTTGTTGTTGTTGTACTTGTATGAGCGCCTGGAAGGGAGTGTGGCTGGGTTTTTTTTTTTCGTTTTTGAGTAAAATCCTTTGTTAATGTGTAACTCCTGCAGAAACATCTTGGGAAATTTCAATCACCAGCTCAGAAATGCTATATTCCTGTATCCAGACGTATCTCAGCCTTTACAACACAGATGCTAACATATGATGTGTGTCTGCAGAGAGCTGAGGCTGCGAAGGCTGAGGCAGAGGAGGCTGAGGCAGAGGAGGCTGAGGCAGAGGAGGCTGAGGCAGAGGAGGCTGAGACAGAGGAGGCAGAGCAGGCGGCGGCAGAGGAGGCAGAGGCAGAGGCTGAGGCAGAGGGGGCTGACCTGCTCCGAGTCTGAGTCGTAGTCTTCATCCTCTGCGCTCAGCGACTGGGCCATGGCGTCTCCCCCTCACAGCGATGGGACATGGCTCTCTCCTGCTGCTGTGGCCTCTACAGCCTCCTCCTGCACCACAGCAGCAGCGATGCAACAACACAGAGCTGCCTCATCCGCATTCACCGGCTCCCAGGGAGAGGGGAGGGCTGTGGGGGAGAGCCGGCCAATCAGGAGCCTCAGAGGGACTACACATTTACAGCTCTGAGCCAATAGGAGAGCAGGATGGGGCATATTCATGAGGACGAGTGGAGGGGGCGGAGCCAGATGGTTTATCAACACAAAAGGAATACAAAGAGAGAGACTGATGTGTGTGTGTGTGTGTGTGTGTGTAATTTTAATTTTTTTTTTGCCTTTGTTGAACACAAAAAATAGGCCATTTACGATATAAGAAAACAAAAAAGAGTGCTGAGATTGTGCTCCAAAATAAAATAAAAAATACAGACATGAAAAAGAGGTACAACAAATAAAAGTAGGAAATAGTAACAGAAGGTAAGGCTCAATTTGGGTAAAAACAACAACCTAGAAAAATTAAATTGAAAATTGTCATAGAAATTATCATAATAGAAAGAAAATATTATACATAGATATATAAAAACACACGTATATACATCACCAACCAAAAATGACCAACATAAAAATATAAATGTTTTAAGTTGTAATCGAGCCGTTAATCCTTCCATCAAAGAAACATGTGACTTTTGTGTCCGTGGCTGGAGTTGGCTTGAGAATGTTTGAGGTGATTATTAAGGTGCGACACGCCGCGATGAGCAGCGCCATCGCTTGCGGTCTCTCGCTTGTGGAATGAGAACTTATTGCGCACAAGTTTTGACTGATACAAGCAGCAGCAGATGGTCACAGCTGCACATGGTTAATGAAAAGTAAAGTTGCGATGGATCGAAAAAGAAACAGCAATAAGTTACTGTATTGTCGATAGTTAACGCGTTACTTTACTTTTCCCCCAGAAAAGTTTCGTTAAACACTGCTCCTGAAGCATCACACTGTGAACGGATGCAACCCACCTGCTGGAGCTCACACACAAACAGTACAATATCTGTGAAACGGATAATGAAGCTAAAGCAGAGAATCATGCAGCAACCCTCCTCCTCCCCATCACCGCCTCGTCAGTCAGACCAGCTCGTTCTCCTCCTGCTCGCTCCCTCCAGGGTCGAGGCCCAGAGGGATCTCATCTCATAACATCACAGGGCTCTGAGTCTGTGCTAAACCTGAACCACATTTCTCTACAGCAGCAAGAAATGTATCCTGCAAACATGGTCTCCAGAGTCGTATGTGTTTGGTCTGTTCCAGTCTCTGCAGATGGAAAAGCCCTAAGACCTTACCTTCACCTTGGACCTGAAGACCACAGGGACCCCAGTGACCGCGAGGAGCGAGTCGTCGTCAGCGTGCTCCTCCAGGATCACCTGCACCAGAAGAACCATCAACCTCTGCACCAGAAGAACCATCAACCTCTGCACCAGAAGAACCATCAACCTCTGCACCAGAAGAACCATCAACCTCTGCACAAACTCCCATTAAACCTTCTTCTTTCTCGTCTCTCTCTCATTTATCTCCTCTTCTTTCCTTCTCTCTCATCTCTCTCCTGTTGCTCCTCTTTCTCCTTCTCTCTCTCCTCCCTCCTCTCTCTTGTCCCTCTCCTCCTCTGTCCTCTCTCCTCCTCTCTTCTCTTTCCTCCTCTCTCTCCGCACTCTCATCTCTCCCCTCCTCCCTCTCATCTCTCTCCTGCCCTCTCTCCCCTACTCTCTCTCCTCTCCCCTCCTCTCTTTCCTCTCTCCGCCTCTCTCTCTCTCCTCTCTCTCTCCTCTCTACTCCTCTCTGGACTCTCCTCTTTCTCTTCTCTATCCTCACCCGTCCTCTCTCTCCTGCCCTCTCTCCCCTCCTCTCTCTCATCTCTCTCCTCTCCCCCCTCCTCTCTCCTCCTCTCTCCTGCCCTCTCCTCCTCTCTCTCCTCTCTCAGTCCGGTTCTTACCTTCACTGTTTGGAGAAGTCTTTGAGGATCTACAATTCCTTCTGGAACACACTTCTTATTTTCTGGCAGCGACTCCAGTTTTTCCACCAACAGCTTCAGTCCATTCAGTTCAAACTCTGTCAAATACGTCCACTTCCCCTGATGACCCTCAGTGTGAGACTCAGAGTCCGGGTCCAGGTCCAGGTCCAGGTCCGGGTCCTGGTCTGCTCGGAGGCTCCTGGGTCCTGGAGAGCGGTCTGCGTAGATCCTCTCACACCAGTCTTCGTTCACATCTGGACTCCGCGGGTCAGAGAGAGGACTGTCCACATGTGTCGAAGAGTCCAGATCTGGAAGACAGAAGGTGTTAGATCACTGCTCAGTTCAGGAAGCTTTCAATCATGCAGCAACCCTCCTCCTCCCCATCACAGCCGCATCATCACGGTGCTCTGCCAGGGTCTGAGCCAAATCTGAGCCACAACTCTGTACAGCAGCAATACATGTAATCTAATGTAGAGTCAGAGTGATGTAGACTGATGTAGTCAGGCCAGGAGGAGACCAGGAGGAGACCAAGAGGAGACCAAGAGGAGAGCCAGGAGGAGACCAGGATGAGAGCCAGGAGGAGACTGGGAGGATAGCCAGGAGGAGACCAGAAAGAGACCAGGAGGAGACCAGGAGGAGAGCCAGGAGGAGACCAGGAGGAGAGCCAGGAGAAGAGCCAGGAGGTGAGCCAGGAGGAGAGCCAGGAGGAGACTAGGAGGAGAGCCAGGAGGAGACCAGGAAGAGACCAGAAAGAGACCAGGAGGAGACCAGAAAGAGACCAGGAGGAGAGATAGGAGGAGAGCCAGGAGGAGATCAGGAGGAGAACCAGGAGGAGACCAGGAGGAGAACCAGGAGGAGACCAGGAGGAGAGCCAGGAGGAGACCAGAAGGAGACCAGGAGGAGACCAGGAAGAGACCAGGAGGAGAGCCAGGAGGAGACCAAGAGGAGAGCCAGGAGGAGACCAGAAAGAGACCAGGAGGAGACCAGGAGGAGAGCCAGGACGAGACCAAGAGGAGAGCCAGGAGGAGAGCCAGGAGGTGAGCCAGGAGGAGAGCCAGGAGGAGACTAGGAGGAGAGCCAGGAGGAGACCAGGAGGAGACCAGAAAGAGACCATAAAGAGACCAGGAGGAGACCAGGAAGAGACCAGGAGGAGAGCCAGGAGGAAACTGGGAGGAGAGCCAGGAGGAGACCAGAAAGAGACCAGGAGGAGACCAGAAAGAGACCAGGAGGAGAGATAGGAGGAGAGCCAGGAGGAGATCAGGAGGAGAACCAGGAGGAGACCAGGAGGAGAGCCAGGAGGAGACCAGAAGGAGACCAGGAGGAGACCAGGAAGAGACCAGGAGGAGAGCCAGGAGGAGACCAAGAGGAGAGCCAGGAGGAGACTGGGAGGATAGCCAGGAGGAGACCAGAAAGAGACCAGGAGGAGACCAGGAGGAGAGCCAGGAGGAGACCAAGAGGAGAGCCAGGAGGAGAGCCAGGAGGTGAGCCAGGAGGAGAGCCAGGAGGAGACTAGGAGGAGAGCCAGGAGGTGAGCCAGGAGGAGAGCCAGGAGGAGACTAGGAGGAGAGCCAGGAGGTAAGCCAGGAGGAGACCAGGAGGAGAGCCAGGAGGTGAGCCAGGTGGAGACCAGGAGGAGAGCCAGGAGGAGACCAGGAGGAGACCAGGAAACCCAGGACACAGAGGACTACGTCTCAGGGAACGCCTCAGGATTCCCCCAGATGAGCTGGAGGAGGTGTGTGAGAGGGAAGTGTCTCTGCTGTAAATGGACGGACTTTCGGTTGGAGTTTTCTTGGAGCACTGGTTCTCCTCAGGGATGTATTTTGAGTCCTTTGCTTTTGTAAGGTTAAACTTAGGACAGGGCCAAGCCTGTCCACTCTGTTTACCATTGACCAAATGGAGAGATACAGCTTCAAAGGAGCCATGGGGTCAGCCACAAGCCGCCATCAATCATGAGGATTACCGACGCCAATCGGACCCATAAAAACAGCGGGATACCCATCTGGTGCCCTTTTTCACGTCAACAGAGGATCTGATACAAATCAGCATTGTCACAATGCATTCCACGGACCAAGAGGTCCACCCGCGGCCCTCTGGCGCCCCCCAGTGGATACTGGACGCCATCACACCCGAGGCGGACGCTCAAAGGACATTATTCGATGACATTATGATTGATAACCGTTACAGACCTTACATGTGTGTATCAACGTCAAAGTAATGAAATACGGTGTGTGTTTGTACATGTGTTATGATCATTGGCATCAATCTGATGTGTTTCCTCTGAAGTATGTCTGTTGTGAAGGGGTCTGTCCACAGAGGGGGGGAGGCATGGACACGCCTCCCCTGGGGAAGCCTATATGAGCACCCACACGCCATTGTTCTTTCTCTTGCCTTCTCCTGAAATCACTATTCCAACCTCCCTGGCCATCGGCGTCCCGCGGCACGTGTCTCCTACTACGGTCGCGCCAGCACGCATCGGGCCTTCTACTCCGCCAAACATACTCTCCTCTGGTCGGGATTTATGAACTCTTCATCACCAGCCGGCCCTGGCTCTGGACTCTGCGCACGTGACTCATTCCGGACTGAGTGTGCACGCCTGGATCCAAAGTTGGACTGCCGTCGCTGGCTTCATAATTCCCGCCTGCCCGGACAAAGAAACCACGTGGACGACATCGCCTCCACCCTATTCTTCATTCTCATCCTCCACTCCATCCTCATCCCAGTCACCCACTTCCCTCTACGCTCCTTCAAAGTAAGACTGTTCCTTTGTTAAATGTATGATTTGAATGATATGTGTACAACTCCTGCTTTTAATGTGACCAGAAATCCCTTTTCGTTATATTTTTACCCTCATTTTTGTAATCAATAAACTACTTTTCTTTAACTCAACCCCTTCAGAGTCGCGTTGTTAGATCTCGGAATATCACTGGCCGATAAAAGTACTCACTACCTATTAGATTTATAAGACTGACTCGAGGAAAAGTTGGTTTGGATCTGTGCAGTGTGTCATACACTGCTGGTGCCTAAATAAATATAAAGCAGATCCCCCACTCGAATAGGACGGCCAGACTCTGATTTGAAGACTAGCCGCACTATTCTTCTCATAACATAACCTGGAGAATTATTACCCTAATATATATAAATAGTTACCCTACAGTATTGGTACCCTGTTTGTGAGATCCGCGAATATAGACCAGATTTATCGACTCGTACTCTGTGAATTGACCGGTTAATATACGCTAACTTAGACTGCTGCTCCGCTCAAAGCGCTTCCCCCCACTCCCGCACCCCCTCTGTCCCTGCTACCCCCGTTGCTATAGTGACTTCAACGGCAATCGAGCTCCCCTACGCCCCACGCTTGCGATAAAAGCGTCTCGTGCATGCACCAGACTATTAATTTAGTCTCAAAAATCCTGGCTTTTGCACAGGTACTACGCATCTCCTGCAACGTGTCGCCCGCTTGGCCAGCGGGCAGCGTGGAATGTGAAGCCGCTTCCCTCTGAAGAGAAAGCGCACAAACTTATTCTTATAACTCCACTGTACACCGTGTCCAGAACACGGGCGTACGGATCTATTGTGTCCCTTTGTGACCCAAGTCACACAGGATTTTAACCGAGTATATCTGTGTAAAAGGCTGTAAATGGCAGCTGTTTGAATGTGATGCTATCGTTTTGCTAAAGGCGGCTAACGCTAACTCTGTCTCACCACTCTCTCTGCCTGCTAACCTGCTGTTGTATACACACACCAGCACCCTACAGTACATACATACAAACCCCATTCCACCACTGCAAATACGTGCTTGTGCGAACCGTATAACTCGCTCCAGACTTTCGTTGTATAAACTACTGCTAAAACCTGCCGCGCTCGGAAGCTAACTGCTAGCTACGCTCCTTTGTTTTAGCATACGGCTAACTTCCGCCCTGGCGCGCTAAAAGCCTCAAAGCTAGCCGCATCCCCACTGCTCCCACTATAAGCTGCTTCTCTACCGTTAAAACTAGTACCACTCTGTTTAACCGAACTGCATTCGGTCACCAAAACTCATTGTTTATTGCCTAAACTGCTGCTACAATGTACCGTTGCCGGCAAGCTAAATGCTAGCTACGCTCCTTTGTTTTTAGCATACGGCTAACTTCCGGCCCTGGCGCGCTAAAAGCCAGAGCCGCATCCCCACTGCCTAATACCATTCTGCTGCATTGTCTACCTGCTGTCTAACAATAACACTACTTACTATACTTCGTACTATCCTATCCCACTCTGATTCTGTGTTCTGACGATCATAAGGCGCCAGCCGTCTCGGCATACTGCTAAACGGGCCGCACCTCTTATTATCTAAACACAAAATTGCTTTCCGGTCCCGGCACTACTTCCGGGACCACATTGCTGCTGTCTTGACTTTTACCCTGCACCACGTCTCATGATCAAGTGATTGGCTGTGGTTGTAACGTTAACACTGTTTTGGCTGTTGTCCCTTGCTGTTTCTGTTCCAACTAAAATCTCTACTTTGCCAAACTTGATGTTTGATTGTAATAAACTACTACGCTAATTCTACCCCTCCTTCTGCATGCCATATGTTTTTCTTTTCCCTTTCTTTGTGTTAAACCACATTGCTGCTGTCTTGACACTTCATTCTGCACCCCGTCTTTAATCATCTGTGAATGTGGATCTAACATTAACACCGTTTTGGCTATTGTCCCGTGCTGTTTCTGTTCCAACTAATAATACATTACTTGGCCAAACTTGATGTTTGATTGTACTAAACTAATACGCTAATTCCGCCCCTCCTTGCACTAAACTAAAACTAATAATTTTAATCCTGCCCCTTCTTCTGCATGCCACGCCTAGACCACACTGCTGCCCATGGTGGTAACATTAACACGGTCTAGCTGTTGTTCCATGCTGTTTTGATTGCTCAAACTAATAACCACTCTATGTTTGATTGTACTACACTGAAACGAATCATTTTAATTCCGCCCCCTTCTGCATGTCATATTGTTTTATTAGAACACATTACTGCTATACGTAACAACAGCTAACACTCTGCTTCTGCTTCTCCTCTTAAGCATAATTGTTAGGCTACATTACTGCGTTGACCAAGTTTCACACTGTAACTCTGCTACTTCTAGCGCATGTTGCTATTAGAACACATTACTGCTATACATAACAAAAGCTAACGCTCTGTTTCTGCTTCTCCTCTTAAACATAATTGTTAAGCTACATTGCTGCATTAGCCAAGGTTAATGCTGTAAACTCTGCTCTCCTTCTGCTGCATGTCGCTGGTGATACGCATTCTATGCTTTATTCCTGCTCACTC